TCTGAGCCAAGCAGCAACCTTACATAGACTCAATAACTTCGGAAAGGTCAATTAGGAGGTCAGAGTAATTTACCGGAATAAATTATCAGGACCTCTCATACTCTAAACACTACAAACGCCATTGTAACACATAATCACTGATGTTCCGCTGAAACGATGGTGGACTCCTCAAAACAGAGTGGGCGAGCTGACCAATCAGAGCACAGTGGGCTCATAGGGAGGGCAGGAGCTCCAACAAGCCGTGTAGGACAGAGAGTGAATACACATACTATACAGAGATGCTGTTTGAGAAACTAATGTGAGTTTGGAACATTGAATAATATAAATCTATTCTAGTAGACCTCAACAATGGAATTATGATCAGTAGAAATGGTCATGACATGGGACCTTTAAGTATAACCAAAACACAGGTAGCAAAGTGCACACTGGAGATGTTAATGTCACTAAATCACAGCTTCACAGGAACGTGAGCTGTGGACTTTAAACGGCCCCTTGCTGATCACGTTTTCTCCGTTGTTATGAAGATGTCTCAGTTTTCACAATGTGATGAGTGTGTGACCTCAGGCAGGGTCCAAAGTTGAGAAAGATATGAAAAGCTCAACATGTTTAAATAAAATACGATATATATACAAAAGACTAAGTACAGTAAACATATATTTTTTAAAACCAGTGAGAGGAATTAATTTGTTAGAAAATTAACAATAATAACACTTAAAATGTTTTGAAACCATAATGACAAAATAAATTAAATAATACATATATTTCACAAAATCAGGATATTCAAAAAGTACAGTTTGACCAAAAAATAAAAAATCAATATTTAAACATAAACACAGTAGGGGTAAGAAAATGATGTTGCTGATATTCAGGTGTATATCAGTATATAGTGTCTCTACTTTAAAGAGTCCTCTCCTGCTGATGTTCAGGTGTATATCAGTATATAGTGTCTTTACTTTAAAGAGTCCTCTCCTGCTGATGTTCAGGTGTATATCAGTATGTAGTGTCTCTACTTTAAAGAGTCCTCTCCTGCTGATGTTCAGGTGTATATCAGTATGTAGTGTCTCTACTTTAAAGAGTCCTCTCCTGCTGATGTTCAGGTGTATATCAGTATGTAGTGTCTTTACTTTAAAGAGTCCTCTCCTGCTGATGTCCAGGTGTATATCAGTATGTAGTGTCTCTACTTTAAAGAGTCCTCTCCTGCTGATGTTCAGGTGTATATCAGTATGTAGTGTCTCTACTTTAAGAGTCCTCTCCTGCTGATGTTCAGGTGTATATCAGTATGTAGTGTCTCTACTTTAAAGAGTCCTCTCCTGCTGATGTTCAGGTGTATATCAGTATGTAGTGTCTCTACTTTAAAGAGTCCTCTCCTGCTGATGTTCAGGTGTATATCAGTATGTAGTGTCTCTACTTTAAAGAGTCCTCTCCTGCTGATGTTCAGGTGTATATCAGTATGTAGTGTCTCTACTTAAAGAGTCCTCTCCTGCTGATGTTCAGGTGTATATCAGTATGTAGTGTCTCTACTTTAAAGAGTCCTCTCCTGCTGATGTTCAGGTGTATATCAGTATGTAGTGTCTCTACTTTTAAAGAGTCCTCTCCTGCTGATGTTCAGGTGTATATCAGTATGTAGTGTCTCTACTTTAAAGAGTCCTCTCCTGCTGATGTTCAGGTGTATATCAGTATGTAGTGTCTCTACTTTAAAGAGTCATCTCCTGCTGATGTTCAGGTGTATATCAGTATGTAGTGTCTCTACTTTAAAGAGTCCTCTCCTGCTGACGTTCAGGTGTATATCAGTATGTAGTGTCTCTACTTTAAAGAGTCCTCTCCTGCTGATGTTCAGGTGTATATCAGTACGTAGTGTCTCTACTTTAAAGAGTCCTCTCCTGCTGATGTTCAGGTGTATATCAGTATGTAGTGTCTCTACTTTAAAGAGTCCTCTCCTGCTGATGTTCAGGTGTATATCAGTATGTAGTGTCTCTACTTTAAAGAGTCCTCTCCTGCTGATGTTCAGGTGTATATCAGTAGGTAGTGTCTCTACTTTAAAGAGTCCTCTCCTGCTGATGTTCAGGTGTATATCAGTATGTAGTGTCTCTACTTTAAAGAGTCCTCTCCTGCTGATGTTCAGGTGTATATCAGTATATAGTGTCTCTACTTTAAAGAGTCCTCTCCTGCTGATGTTCAGGTGTATATCAGTACGTAGTGTCTCTACTTTAAAGAGTCCTCTCCTGCTGATGTTCAGGTGTATATCAGTATGTAGTGTCTCTACTTTTAAAGAGTCCTCTCCTGCTGATGTTCAGGTGTATATCAGTATGTAGTGTCTCTACTTTAAAGAGTCCTCTCCTGCTGATGTTCAGGTGTATATCAGTATGTAGTGTCTCTACTTTAAAGAGTCCTCTCCTGCTGACGTTCAGGTGTATATCAGTATGTAGTGTCTCTACTTTAAAGAGTCCTCTCCTGCTGATGTTCAGGTGTATATCAGTATGTAGAGTCTACTTTAAAGAGTCCTCTGAGTGTGTGGGACAGAGGGATTTTAGCTTATATTTACTAAGTTCTCCATCATGTTTTGGCATATTTGTGTTTTTATATGCATCGTTTTTGAAACTGCAGCTCGTTTCTTTAAATCTAAATGTTTTGGGCTGTTGAACGCGTTTGATGAGGTCAAAGACATTTTTAAGACAGATTACCATGGAGATTTTGAATTGGTTTGACTATATATATATATATATATATATATATTACTCACTGAGTTCTTTGAAGCCACCACTTTCTTACTATGACCTTTTATATTGTCTGAGATTGTAAAGACCCTTGATAGCATATCAGGCAGGACTGTTACACTGCGATCTTTGCTCTAATCAAGTTGTTCTCGGCTGAACACTTCCTCGTTGGAAAACAATTTAGATAATATCATGACTGTTATTTTCCACCTGCACCGTCAGTAGGGAGGCGTGTGGTGCAGTGGGTTAGTGCGTTGGTGTTGGGATCAGGGGTCAGAGGTTCAAACACCACTACAGGCAGCATGTCGTTGTGTCCCTGAGACCCTTCACCCCAAAGTGCTCCTGTGGAGATTGCCCTCAGTATTGAGTATGTGAGTCGCTTTGGATAAAATTGCAAAAAAGTTAGCTCTAAAAATGGAAACTGAACTCATATAGAAACGTTTTTTATACAAGCAGTTTAAAAAATAAGAAGATTAAAATAAAATAAAAGCATTTGTCATCAAAAATGAACACATTGTCTGCTGAAGGCGTAACCAGGAAATGGTTATCGAAGGAAAGCCCGAAAGACCAGTGATAACAAATCTTGATAATTAAATAAAATATAAACAAAAATACAGAATAAATACGTGTTAAATACACAAAAAGTCTAAAAATGGAAATGGGAAATGTACTCGTATAGAGTCGTTTTTTTAACATAAATATATTTAAATATTGAAAAACCAGTTAAAAAAATAAGAAGATTAAAATAAAATAAAAGCAGTTGTCCTCAAAAATGAACGCATTGTCTGCTAAAAAAGGCGTTAACCAGGAAAAGACCTCGACTCTGAATGGATGGACATTTATAAAATGGAAAAGAGAGAACAGCTTTTCAATCATAAACTGGGGCTATTTACTTCATACTGGGAGCAGTGGACTCACTATGTAATGCCCCATACGCCTGATTTAGTTTTCTTAACTCTGCGCTAAAGACATGACTACTCCCTATTTGTTGATGTCATTTTTCTTCATGTTATGTTTCTTTAGTTTATATATTCTAATGTTTTTTCATCTGTTATTTGTGTCCGCATGTGTATTGCTGGAAAGTACTAGGAACATATTTATGTCATTTACTGTATGCTGTTATGTTTAACATTTCGACAAAAAGTACATTACAAAAATATTTATGCATTGTGTTTCTCAAAAAATACCAAGAAGGTCAACCACATATTAAATCCCTGTCAATATAACGGATTTCATTAAATTAATATCTTCAAAATGGAAATGTTTCCTTATTTAGAGGGACGGGTGGCGCAGTGGTCTGTGCATCCGATCATCAGATCAAGGGGGGTGCTGGGGAACTCCAGTTCGAAACCCGCTCCTGCCGCCACTGCGTCAGGCCGTTGTGTCCTTGGGCAAGACACTTCACCCGGATTTGCTCCTGTGGGTATTGTCCACAGTACATGTATGATACCAATGTGTACTTGTAAAAGCGCCTCGATGACTTTGAGGCGTGAAGATGGACGGTGTGGCGCAGTGCACTGTGCAATGATCATCAGATCAAGGGGTGAAACCCGCCGCTGCTGCGTCTGTAAAGCCGGTGTGTCCTTGGGCAAGACACTTCACCTGAACTTGCTCCTGTGGGTATTGTCCACAGTACATGACCATTATGATATGTGTAATGTGTATTTGTAAAGCGCTTTGAGCATCTGGAAAAGCGCTATAATAAATGTAAGGAATTATTATTATTATTATTATTTAGATATCAAAAAGTTACTTGCTGGACCCCAAAAAACTAATATTAATATTAATATTCAGAAGTGTTTTGCTTATCTTTGTATTTCTTTAAACTTTCCCCTTAAAATAGGAGTTCAATACTTGAGTGCATGAACTTACTGTAGTGACATTGCACCACTAACACTAACAATACAACTACAAAGCTAGTTGATCTCAACACTCATGGTTGCATCCTCCCTTTCTGAGTTGCAGAATAATTCCAACACCAGACACTTTTTTGTTACGCTGCTATGGACATCGTTGCACTAAAGTACATTCTCAAAGATATTGAAGTGACTGTTATTTTGTATATATTGATGTTTTTATTTAGGTCTTAATGTGGGCATATGTATAAATGTGTCTGTTGATTGTGTATATATAGGATATAAATATTTTTATATATATTTGTTTTTGTATTCAGGATTGTGGGAAACGGTATTTCGATCTCTGTCTGTGCACACAAACTGAAAGATTGACAATAAAGTTGACCTTGACTTTGATAAATAACGTGTACCCTCTTTTCTGTCTCCTCAGGTGTTTTGAAAATGTCTTATTTGCCACGTTAATAGCTGAACTATTAACTGAGGAGGGAGAAGACCTGCTGCACGAACACCGACTGAAAACCCTGAGAGTTAATCTCCTCCAGCCTCAGAATCAGAATCAGAAAACCTTTATTTGTCCCTCAGAGGGGACATTTATTTGTTACAGCAAGAAAAGAGCCAAAGACAGCTTAATATTAACCTAAGTTTTAGATTTAGTCTCAGGGGAAGAAAGAGGGGAGAGATTTAGTCTCAAAGGGGGAGGAAAACCGTTCAGCCAGGTGCCTTAAACATGGCGAAAGTCATCCACGTCAGTAAAAATGTGGGCCTGGGGCTTCTGGTGCTGGCGGCCATTGCTCTGGTTACAATTATAGCTTTATCCGTCGCCTTAGATAAAGAAAAGGCCAAGAAGCGAGGAGGAAACAGTGAGGATAAAGCAACAGGCAGCACCAGTGTTCCCATTACTACACCTTTCACCCCAAAAGAGCCGTGGGACAAATACAGACTCCCAGAATCCCTTTCTCCCGTTTCCTATAACGTCACCTTGTTTCCTCGGTTGAAACCCGACGCTAACGGACTCTATATCTTCACTGGAAATTCGACTGTGGTGTTCAAATGCGTGAAGGAAACAGACCTGGTCATCATCCACTCCAACAAGCTGAACCTCACCAACTTCGATGGGTTTTTCGCCAAGTTCAGCGCCGTGGGTGAAGCATCTTCTCCATCGGTTCTGAAGTCGTGGCTCGTTGTGAAGACGGAGTATTTGGTTCTTCAGCTGAGTCGCAGATTAAGTGTTGGAGCGATGTATGTTCTGCACACTGAGTTTCAGGGCGAGCTGGCAGACGACCTGGAGGGTTTCTACAGGAGCGAATACACTGATGACGGAGTGAAGAAGTGAGTAAAGATGAAGCCAAACGGTGCACGATCATAGTTTAAAAGTAAGATTTGAAAGGGACATGAAATGCTCTTTTTTGGGTTTTAAACCTCTATTTTAGGTTTCTATAAGAACATGTTTAGATGCTTTTATTGTCAAAAAACAAAATGTTGATCATGTCGGCAGTCTAATTGAACCTGTATTCACCCACGGTCTGAAACGCACAGTTTTAGCGCCTGTATCTTAAAGGCCCTCTCCCAGAAAAAAGAGAGTTTTCCCTTTCCTGTAGTGAGTCATATGGGTTTTAGTGCATGTAAATGGTCTGCAAAGGCTAAAATCCTTGTGTTCCCTCCAGAGGGAGTTTCGCACCACCATCAGCTCCAGAGGACTCTTTAAAATAGAGACACATACTGGTATACACTTGAAAATGGGCATTATACGTCCTCTTTAAAACTTAACAACAGTAATAAACATGACACATTTAAAGCTAATTTTCCCATTCTTGTTGGAGTGGTTTTTTAACTTACCTGTTCAAATTACTTTCACTTATAGTTAAGCATTATTAGAGGTCATCTAACTGCTCAACTTTACCAATGACGCCCAATTTGTAACTAGCCGGGGTCATCCACTTTGAGCTGATCAAAACCATATTGGGGACATCACTAGAATATGTTTGAATCCAAGGTTTTACCCAGATGTTTGTTCACGGACGAAGTGAGTTTTTTAGGAAATGTCCCCTTTAATTGTCACACCGTGTTCCTCTTGGTTGATTATTTATCTATCTAAATCACCGCAGTAAACCGTATTTAATGTTGTCTTAATGTACGCTATTTAATTTCATATTCTGTTCTTGTACATATCATATTGTATAAAGATTTTTTTTGTTGTATTTTTGTATTTTATTATATGTTGCATTGTTGGAGGAGTTCTGGTCACAAGAATGTCATTGCCATTTCTACACTGTAGCTTTGTGCATATGATAAAACCTTGAATTGAATTGTTAATGTTTAATTTGAACATTTTGCAGAGTTGTTGCTACCTCACAGATGCAGGCTACGTATGCCAGGAAAACTTTCCCTTGCTTCGACGAGCCGGCCATGAAAGCTTCCTTCAACGTCACCATCGTTCACGAGAGAGAAACCGTGGCTCTGTCCAACGGCATCGAGACCGGTTAGTTCCTCAGGAGAAAAACAACGAGTAAAACCAGATCAGAAAAGGAACACAGTGTTGGGAAGTGAACTACATGCACAGCAAGTCTACTACACTTGGCAGTAGCTTCCTTGTAGTTCAAGTAAAACATATTTGCATAGTTATTTAAGTAGTTACATATCATAACATTTACATATAAGTTTTCAAATATCTCCACAACATCTACAAAACATCATGCCCACTACAACGGGATTATAACACCAGGACTCGTGGACACTGCCTCAAGTTGAAGAAACAGCACTGAAGACTGGCTATCCGCCGCAACTTGTTCAGCCTGCGTGTGGTTGACTTGTGGAATGATCTGCCAGAAAGCGTTGTCACATCCAAGACGGTTAACTGTCTCAAGTCCCGCCTCGACCACTACTGGTCAAACATCACCTTCACTTTGGACGATGTGACTGTTGCCAGCATCCATAGTAAATAAAGAATCAGTGATCTACTCATTTATTTATGAGCGACTAAAAGGGCTTAGGCCTATTGCAGCCGTATCCTATTGATTGATTGATATGACGACTTGATCAATTTCAGTATTTCAGTAGTCTGACCTTTTTCTTTCTATGTATATAGAGAACCGCAGTGACGCCTCCTAAAACCCGGAAGTAAACTTCTTCCGGTTCCTTCGACAAAAACGCAATTTCTCCATAGGATTTAGGAAAATAGCTGGAAATAAGGTCAGTGGTTGAAACACATTTAAGAGACGGATCACGTTTTGTTCAGTCGGATAATATCCACATGTCTACCCATCTCTTATAGATTTTCTAATCATAAATCTACCGATCATAAATCTATCGATTAGATTTATGATTCGAAAATGATAAAAGTAGGGTAGACATGTGGAGATTATCCGGCTGAACAAAATGTGATCCGTCTCTTAAATGTGTTTCAACCACAGACCTTATTTCCAGCTATTTTCCCGAATCCTATGGAGAAATTGCTTTTTTGTCGAAGGAACCGGAAGAAGTTTACTTCCGGGTTTTAGGAGGCGTCACTGCGGTTCTCTATTTGCTATACTACATTTCTCCCAGGGCAGCTTTGCTGTAGTTCAACCTTTACATGAGCTCTTTTTGGCAACTCTTGGTGGTTTTATGGTGGATATTTGACGTGCTATTTAAAAATAATAATAATAAGTAACTTATACAAGTAACTTTTTTAATTTTAATAAAACAAATGCTACAAGATAGATAGATAGTAAAAAATACTGCAGTTTTTAGCAGTTGTATGCTTACACTACAGGACGTTACTTGAATACACATAGGATAGTATAACATGTACAGATATCTGACATGTTTGAAAGTGAGCAAACATCAGAAACTTAACCTAATTAGATGATTTCTCTCTCTGAACAGACTCTGCAGACTCCATCATTGACGGCGTTCCCGTTAAAGTGACGACGTTCGAGCCCACAGCGAAGATGTCCACATACCTGCTGGGCTTCATCGTCTGTGACTTCGTTAGCATCGGTTCCATCCCAGACAGCAACCTGCAGGTGAGATATATATAGAAAAGTGTGCTCAGGAAGTGCATTCACGTTCCCGTTGCTGTATGTGTACTTTCCATTTTATGCCACTTTATACTTTGTCTACTTATCCACTATGTTTATCTGAGAGCTTTTTACGGTGGCCGACGGGTGCAAACTCTTTACAACCTGCTGCAGTTTCAAAAGCAATGCAAATATAAATACACAAATGTGCCAGAACACATGAAGAAACATCTTCACCAAATTGAGGAAATATGAGCAGCGTTTACTTAAAGCGCTGCATAAACGAAACGATGCAAGAAGCTCAAAACACAACGGAGACATGGGGACACTAAAGAGTGACACACACAGCTGGGGGACACTAAAGAGTGACACACACAGCTGGGGGACACTAAAGAGTGACACACACAGCTGGGGGACACTAAAGAGTGACGCACACAGCTGGGAGACCAGGGGACCCTAAAAAGCGACGCACACAGCTGGGAGACCAGGGGACACTAAAAAGTGACGCACACAGCTGGTAGACCAGGGGACACTAAAAAGTGACACACACAGCTGGGAGACCAGGGGACACTAAAGAGTGACGCACACGGCTGGTAGACCAGGGGACCCTAAAGAGTGACGCACACAGCTGGGAGACCAGGGGACACTAAAAAGTGACGCACACAGCTGGGAGACCAGGGGACACTAAAGAGTGACGCACACAGCTGGGAGACCAGGGGACACTAAAGAGTGACACACACAGCTGGGAGACCAGGGGACACTAAAAAGTGACACACACAGCTGGGAGACCAGGGGACACTAAAGAGTGACGCACACGGCTGGTAGACCAGGGGACCCTAAAGAGTGACGCACACAGCTGGGAGACCAGGGGACACTAAAAAGTGACGCACACAGCTGGGAGACCAGGGGACACTAAAAAGTGACACACACAGCTGGGAGACCAGGGGACACTAAATAGTGACGCACACGGCTGGTAGACCAGGGGACCCTAAAGAGTGACGCACACAGCTGGGAGACCAGGGGACACTAAAAAGTGACGCGCACAGCTGGGAGACCAGGGGACACTAAAGAGTGACGCACACAGCTGGGAGACCAGGGGACACTAAAGAGTGACGCACACAGCTGGGACGGAGCGCTTGGTGACGTTCAGGATTATAAAGCTGTCCCCGTTGTTGGAAACTCACCTGAAATGTTTTATGGTCTTATTTGAACAATGTGATCACATGACTCCTTACTGCAGATCTGCTGTAAGCTAGCTAGTAGGACCTAAATCTGTTCAAATATATTTAACATGTTCATACAAATGCTCAACGTTTTACTGTGATATCTTGTTTCAACAGTTACTTCATCACTTTGTCTTTATTTGTACCTTGGGTAAATCCTGTTTTGCACTCTGAACCTGTTGCTGCTAGAAACGCCTGAAGGGGATAAATAAAGTTCCAACTTATCTTATCTTTCATTTTTTTGCAGATCCGAATCTGGGCTCGCAGGAAAGCGATAGAAGACAAACAGGGAGATTACGCTCTGAACGTCACAGGGCCGATCCTTCACTTTTATGAAAAATACTACAACACATCGTACCCACTCTCAAAGTCAGGTATGTCAACATGTTAATGACCTTTCTTATCTCCCTTAGCCAAGCATTATGTCTTTCCATTAAAAGACATAAACCTTTCTTGCATTGCTGTTGGACGTTTTAACAATTGTTGGAGTAAATAACTTCGAGAAATTATCATATTTTAGTGTTTTTTAGATAGCAACAACATTACAAGGGACTAAAAATAGTGAATCATTAGGCGCTTTCACACCGGAGTACTTTTCCCAGGAATAGTTCCGATAGTTCCTGGGATTTTGCGTTCACACCAAAAAGATCTGGAACTAGAACCTAGTTTCTGATTGGATGGGCGAATTGGGCGAATTGCAAACCACTCCCCGTAAAACTCAGATTTTTTTTAAGCCGCCATTTTATTTGCTCACATTAGCATTATTAGCATTAGCATTAGCCCAGCTCACCAACGGAGAAGGACTAACTTATGGCAACACAAAATAAAACATGGGAGCGGTGGAGTGATGAGGAGGTGTCGGCGTTCTGGCGATGAAGTAGTGATGTGTCGGTCGCGAACGAGCCGATTCTTTTGAACGGCTCTTTGGTACGAACGAGGGGAACCGAGTCGTACTTGGTGAGAGCCGTTCTTTTTATCGTTCAATCGTTGGTCCGCACTCACTGCCAAAATCCACTCGCCCTTTTAAAAAGCTTGATTTTGTTCCCCAAACGCTCTGCCCAAACGTATTCTGTGAAGACCCGCCCCTACTCTGATTGATAGATTTCAGTGAAAGCGCCTAATAAGACCATGGGTCCATAAACATGCTAATGGCTGTGTGAGACAGTTCTTACAAGAAAACAAGCCAAAAAAAGAGACAAAAATATGCAAAAAGTTGGGAAAACCACCACATACAGAAAGAACAATGAACATCAGGGCTTTGATGGCCCATTCGAGACAGTTGGTGTATTTTCTGATATTTTTTCTGATGTATTTTCTGATGTATTTCTGATATTTTTTCTGATGTATTTCTGATGTATTTTCTGATGTATTTTCTGATATTTTTTCTGATGTATTTCTGATATTTTTCTGATATTTTTTCTGATGTATTTCTGATATTTTTCTGATATTTTTTCTGATGTATTTCTGATATTTTTTCTGATATGTTTTCTGATGTATTTTCTGATGTCCTCCCCAGATCAGATCGCTCTCCCTGACTTTAACGCCGGGGCGATGGAGAACTGGGGTCTGGTGACCTACAGAGAGACGGCCCTGCTGTTCGACCCCTTCATGTCCTCTAATGGAAACAAAGAGAGAGTCACCACCGTCATCTCACATGAACTCGCTCACATGGTAAGAAAATAACATCCCTGCCATCGTATTCTCTTAAAGGTCTCCTATCATGCAAAATGCACTTTTGGATGTCTTTTATACATAAATATGTGTCCCCGTGTGTCAAGAGACTCACAGAGTGTCAGAAAACAAAACCCTCTCTCTTTTCCTCCGTTCCCACATCTCTAAAAACAGGCCCAATAACAAAACGGAGCTGATCCAGATTTGGCCTTTAATCACGGCAGCATTTAGCTGTATCTGCGGTATAATTCTGAGCAGGCATTAGCTCTCCTCCAGAATCAGCACTTTAGTAACAGGGCTGAAATAGAGGGGTATGAGGGATTTCTAAAATGCATGATTTGTTTGGTATTTTGAGCAAAACACTTCATAGACATGTTTTTTATATATTTGTATATATCTGAGACCCATAATATATGCCCCTCGATTCTATTGGCTCTAACGGTTCAAAAGAGGTGTCAATCATCAAAATCGACCAATGGGATCCAGAGATATGGAAAATGCACCCAAATGGCCCCAGAGGTGGGGTTTATTTTTCTAAACCTCTCTAAAAAGGTCAAATGTCACTTGTTTTGCATCAATTTTGATACAGGGTACTTATTATATGTTATAGTTTGGATTCCTAAAGCTTTTAGTCTACTATCCCATCATCCAAGGGTGGTTTTCACTATAAGTAATGTTTTTATTTTTGGACGGACACAATAATTTACATTTTTTTACTATGTTCAATCTGAATTTACTTTAAAATAAAACAATTCTATATTGATTCTGACTTTTCTACATCCAACTCGCAGGTTTATCATTGCTTTGAGAACAAATATGATTAATTTACCCCTTTTAGAAGTTAAGTTATAGTCATTTGTTCTGGGAATGTCCTTTTGGAGCCTGAGACCTGAAAAACAGGCTCAGGGCTTAACAGGTTAATTAATGCACTTTGAATTGCCTTGTGTTGAAAGGTGCTGTCTAAATAAAGTTGCCTTGCCTTGAATAAAGGTTGTTTTCAGTTCAAACCATCGTCTATGTGCTCTTGGGCTCTCCCTGCGCAGCTCAAACTTAACATATGTAATGTTTTCCCGTCTTCTCTTCAGTGGTTTGGAAACCTGGTGACTCTGCAGTGGTGGAACGACCTGTGGCTGAACGAGGGCTTCGCGTCGTACGTTGAATACCTCGGGGCGGACTACGCAGAGCCCACCTGGAACATTGTGAGAACATTTAACACCTTCAAGATAATTTACTATTAAAGACAGACAAGATGTAGAAAATGGTGAACAGCTCACAGACAGGTTTTTACTGACTGTCCTTTATTTGTATTTTTTTATTCTAACCTTTTATGCTCTTAACCTTTTTTAGATTACCATAGTGTATTCAATATGCTCCTTAGATAACGTCTATTTTCTCCTCATAGCATTGTGAAGCACCTTGAGATGACATTGTTTTTAAAGTGTGCTATACAAATGAAATGTATTACTATTATGTCAGAAATAATGAGTTGTAACTCTATGGTTGGTTAAAAGCGTGAAATTAATGAACTTGGAATAATACTGATAAATGTGTAGTTATTAGGGCTGTCAGTCGATTAAAATAGTTAATCGCGATTAATCGCAAATTAATCGCACATTTTTGATCTGTTCTAAATGTACCTTAGAGGAATATTCTTCAAGTTTTGAATACTCTTATCAACATATGAGTGGACAAATATGCTTTATGCTAACGTTTATTATCATTTGAACAATGACAAATATTCTCATGAATATTAAACACAACAACCTCTGAACATTACAAATATTCGCCTCAATTCAACCTGGAACCTAATACAATAAAAATGGTGTGTGTGTGTGATGGATCGTTGGAGCTATGTGCAACTCAAGGCATATGCTCGAACGGGAGCTGCCTGGGCGCTGCAATCATGTTGCGCACTATCCGTGCTGAGTGTGCTGACTTCTCGTACAATGTCCCACTGTCTGGCTTCCTGCATAAAGTCAAGTGCTCGGCGCAGTTGTGGCGAAATGCCGCTCCCGTTTTCATTTAAACAGCTCCTTATATCTGTTAGCGCAGCTAGCTAGCACCATATGCTAACAACAACAATGCACGTAAGGTCTCTCTCTCGCTCGCTCGGGCCACACATACACACACCCTCCCGGTCCTCCCAACAGCCAGTCGGTGCCTGCCGGTGAGCGTGGAAGTGTGGTCTGCCACAAGCGGGCGGCAGGAGCGGGGCTGTCAGCATCAGCTTGTAGATGGTATTTTAAACTCGATGCGCTCTGAAACTACGGGGCGGCCGAGGAAAAAAAATACACATGCGTTAATCGCGTTTAAATAATTAGTGGCGTTAATTTTTTTTTGCGTTAACGCGTTATTAACGCGTTAACCTGACAGCCCTAGTAGTTATATGTTGATTTAATCTGGCCCTTATTTGTGGACGTTTAATCGAGACTATGTATGCTTTTGTGTGTACATGTTGATTATGTGTGAACCTTCCCAGGGACTGCAGATGGACATTGCTAACAGCTAAATCTACCACCTTCTCTCTTTTTTTAAATAATGTTTTTTTATACACACGGTTCATTTCAAAGACTTACCAATAGCCCCCTCACTCATCTCTATCTGTAAAAGTCTCATAGCATCTATAAAGTTTCTCTGTCTCTCTCTGTCTGCAGAAAGATCACATCGTCCTGTCTGATGTCCAAAAAGTGTTCGCTGTGGACGCTCTCGCCTCCTCTCACCCTCTGTCCCGCAGAGAAGAGGAGGTCAACACCCCGGCTCAGATCAGCGAGATGTTCAACACCATCTCCTACAGCAAGGTCTGCTCCTCTGACTCCATGTAACCAGAGTAGGCAAAAGTACACACATCCTTTACTCAAGTAGAAGTACAGATACTCGAGTTTAAAAATACTTTGGTAAAAGTAGAAGTACTGACTAAACTTCTTTACTCAAGTAAAAGTAAAGAAGTATGGGCTTTGAAATGTATGTAAGAAGTAGAAAGTACAGGTATTTGTGTTCAACATGTAAGAAGTAGAAAGTACAGGTATTTGTGTTCAACATGTAAGAAGTAGAAAGTACAGGTATTTGAGTTCAACATGTAAGAAGTAGAAAGTACAGGTATTTGAGTTCAACATGTGAGAAGTAGAAAGTACAGGTATTTGAGTTCAACATGTGAGAAGTAGAAAGTACAGGTATTTGAGTTCAACATGTAAGAAGTATAAAGTACAGGTATTTGAGTTCAACATGTAAGAAGTAGAAAGTACAGGTATTTGAGTTCAACATGTGAGAAGTAGAAAGTACAGGTATTTGTGTTCAACATGTGAGAAGTAGAAAGTACAGGTATTTGTGTTCAACATGTGAGAAGTAGAAAGTACAGGTATTTGAGTTCAACATGTAAGAAGTAGAAAGTACAGGTATTTGAGTTCAACATGTGAGAAGTAGAAAGTACAGGTATTTGAGTTCAACATGTAAGAAGTAGAAAGTACAGGTATTTGTGTTCAACATGTGAGAAGTAGAAAGTACAGGTATTTGAGTTCAACATGTGAGAAGTAGAAAGTACAGGTATTTGAGTTCAACATGTAAGAAGTAGAAAGTACAGGTACTTGTGTTCAACATGTAAGAAGTAGAAAGTACAGGTATTTGAGTTCAACATGTGAGAAGTAGAAAGTACAGGTATTTGAGTTCAACATGTGAGAAGTAGAAAGTACAGGTATTTGAGTTCAACATGTGAGAAGTAGAAAGTACAGGTATTTGAGTTCAACATGTAAGAAGTAGAAAGTACAGGTATTTGAGTTCAACATGTAAGAAGTAGAAAGTACAGGTATTTGGGTTCAAAATGTAAGAAGTAGAAAGTAAAAAGTCGTCAGAAAAATAAGTAGTGGAGTAAAGTACTGATACCAGAATAATGTACTTCAGTACAGTAACGAAGTATTTGTACTCCACTTCTTCCCACCTCTGGTTGTTATAAGAATTTAAACCAGCCACTTCTTCACTGGTTATCTGTTGTGTCTCTCAGGGAGCCGCGGTGCTCAGGATGCTCTCAGAGTTTCTCACTGAGCCGGTGTTCGTCAAAGGACTCAGTGTGAGTGTAAACTGTAATAAGACCTGCTTATTTATTAACTACTTCCACTGGGAGTGTTTGTGTGTGTGCTTTGCGTGAGTGTGTGTTTATGTGTGTCAGTGGGTGTCACATTGAAAGAGTTTGTATGATAAATCAAATCGCATCCTTAGTTACTGTTAATCTGACAGAAGTGTGTGTCTGTGTGTTTATGTCTGTGTGTGTTTATGTTTGTGTGTAAGTGTGTGTCATATTGAAAGAGTTGATAAATCAAACCACATCCTTACTGTTACTCTGAGATGTGTGTGTGTGTGTGTGTGTGTGTGTGTGTGTGTGTGTATGTGAGTTTGGGGGTATGATGAATCAAACCACATCCTTAGTTACTGTTACTCTGACAGACATGTGTGTGTGTGTGTGTGAGTCTGATGTATCTTTAAATGATTCGTGACTTCCTCTATGCTGTAGACTCTGACTAATAGCACAATGATTTTAAAACATGTAGTCTAATAAAGTGGTTCCCGAAAAATAATTTCCACACCAGACGGTTGTGGAGAAAAAATATATATATTTAAAGTAAAACATATTTTAGAATGGGGAGTAGCTTATACATTATATTGCCTCTACAAGTAATATGTGCTGAACGATAAGGCCCACAGTAACTGCCAAATGTTTGATCGAAAAAAGGCATTAAAGCACTTGCAAGAATATTGTAGATCTGCACAACTAATAGAAATTTAGCAAAATTGCAAAACCGGATGGGGCAACATCCAAATTCAGGTGCGGAAAACCCCGATATTTTTCAATGATAATTACAGTAATGGATAATGTCTTTAAAAAAAGTGAGCCATATCCCAATTGCAATATCTGTCAAAAATAATCGCTACAGGTAATTTTCTCAAAATCTTGCAGCCCTAAATGATTGCAGACAGTTTATGAACGATACATGTGTCTGCATGTGAAGGGAGGGGGGTTGCAATCACTGCAATACTCACACAAGCTTGGGAACCACTGGTCTAATTTAGCTTTAGCATCTTAATTATAGCACTGTTGATGCTTGACCTGCTCATAATAACTGTTTTCTCTTCTCAGTCTTACCTGAACACGTTTGCCTTCAGCAACACGGTGTACACAGACCTGTGGGACCATCTGCAGCAGGTCAGTGTGTTTAAAAAAAACCGGTATAGTCACACATGTGCAGTGGTGGAAATTAACAAATTATATGTACCCAAGTTTTTGATATACTTGGAAATAGGAGGTACCAAACAAAACCTCATTTGGTAGAACTTTTCTGCCTCGCACTTTGTAGACGGTCCCTGTTCACTCGGCTGCAGATAAAAGTCGTCCAACAGGCAAGGCAGGCAACTGCTTGGGACCCCAGACCAGTAGGGGGCCCCCAAAGAAGGTTAATCACATCGGTCCACAGCAATGACCACATGGAAATGGCTATGTAAAACGCACTGCAATGACATCCAGAAAAAGCCCCCCATGCTACTTGGGAAGGGGAAACCCACAGACGGTTTGGGCAGGCGTCTTCTAACCCAGTGTCTTGAAACGCTCCTGACGGCACGTATCTGCTTGTTATGATAGAAATAAGTTTGTAGCTCATTGTTGACAATGCTACGGTTGTTAAGAGACATTATTCATGTTTTTCAGAATGGTTTGTGTTTACTTATTTATATAAATATTTATCACCGCAATAAACCGTATTTAATTTCGTCTTAATGTACAATATTTAGTTTTACATTATGTTCTTGTACATTCTATTCTTCTATTTACATATAGACTTTTTGCACTATTTTTATTTTTGTATTTTATGATATATGTTGCATTGTTGGAGGAGCTCAGGTCAGAAGAATTGCCATTCCTACACTGTAGCCTTTGTGAATAAAACCTTTGAAATCTTGAATCAAGTTCAAATCCGTGATTATCTTTCAACTTTTCTGAAATAGGCAAGCCTTCATCCCAGTTCCTGTGATTCTGTTTATTGCTAGGCAGTTGAAAACACACCCGGTATCGTTATTCCTCACACCGTCCACGACATTATGAATCGCTGGACTCTTCAGATGGGCTTCCCAGTCGTCACCATCGACACTCAGACAGGAAGTGTTACCCAGAAGCACTTCCTGGTGGACCCTGACTCTGTGGTGGAGAGACCCTCTCAGTTCAGGTAGGAATCCATTTGTTAGAAAACTCTCACTGGTCACCGGCTTGAGCTTCAATCTCAGGATCCATGTATCTGTGATCCTCTCAAGAACGGAAGTAGTCCTCACATACAGAGCATCAACTAGTTCCTGAACAGTGTCCTTCACATGCTGATATCCAAGAGAGGGAGTTACACAGTCACAAGATGGAGTGTAGCTCCCTCCAGTAAATGACACGAGGCTGAGGTCTTGATTAAATACGGGGTTTATTCTTGTGGGACCTATTCCAACCCGTGAGAACTGGGTTGTAAGACAACAAATATATAAAAGGTAAACAATAAATAAATATGGAATATATGCATGTAATTGCTGTTAATGCCGCTAAATAAAACAATCAACGGCACACATATCCCACACAGCATGTAGCACAAGCTAACAATAGCATGTAGCACAAGCTAGCGCATAGCATACATATAACCTGCAGCTCAACCGCACACATTTAGACAAACAACCAGCACAAAAACGTACCTCGTAGGCTGCTAGTCATCTAGAGGGGCTGATATCTTTAACTGCATTTTCCCCTTAGTTTCCTTAGATTTTCTTTACATTCTGCAATGCTCTGCAGTTGCGACTATCAAGTGCGTCAATTAAACAAACAGGTGTAACACAAAACACAGCAGATTAGTTCCGCCCCTATTAATGTTGCACATAAAAGGTAGGAACCAAAAATACAACGTGGAACAAAATAAACAACAGAGAGTGAAGACAGTTACATGGAGGAATACCGGTTCTTGTAGGTCAGGGGTAGGCAAGTAAGTTTGGCCGTGGGCCAATTTTTTGCTGAGCCGCAAGATGGCGGGCCAGAACATAATCAAAGCCTAATTCAAGGAATTGATTTTGGCAGGGGCGGATCTAGACAAATATTCATGGGGTGGCAAGAGGGTGGCAGGAGATTTTGAGGGGTGGCATCCTCTGACAGAAGTATATGCTGATTTAAATCGCAATCATATCAATCAATTAGGGGTGTAACGGTACACGTACCCGTACTGAAATTATTCGGTACGGGCCCTTCGGTTCGGTACACGTGTGTACCGAACGAATATAGCGTTAAACATAAAAAATTGAGAACATGAACAACTTTCTGGAATTAATCTATATCATAGAGCGACCAAGTCATTTCATTGGACGAGAGGCATACTATGAGAGCTGGTCACAGGGATGCGTTCAAATGTAGTCAGTAATTTGAGGAACTGTCGAAATGGCGAACGCAGACAAAGTTGAGCTGAAAATCCTCCAGCATCATTGAAGTCTCCGGTTTGGGAACATTTTGGTTTCGCAGTTACGTACAAGGATGACGGACAAAGACAGGTGGACCGAACCAAAGCTGTTTGTCGGCATTGTTCAACTATCATTGGTTACGCGGCTGGCAATACATCACTCATTTGAAAAGGCATCACCCGAATGTGAATATCACCGGTACCAAAGGAAAAAAGACTGAAGTGCAAACCCAACTCCCACTAGCATGTAAGCCTCCACCACTCGCAAAGAGTTCAGACCGAGCCAAAGCTATTACAAACGCCAAATATCCTTATGTTGCCATGTTAGCAAAGCGCTACCTGGCTGTATCTGCTGCCACTGTCCCTAGAGAGGGTGTTCTCCACAGCAGGAGACATTGGTAGTGCCAGCAGATCTGCCCTTTCAGCAAGCAATGTGGACAAGTTCATCTTTCTTTAAACAACATGAAAATACAATGACAAGCAAGTCCTAATGTCAAGCTGGCTGCTTAGGTACTAGTACAGTTCAAATACAGATTATTTCAGTTCATCGAAATGCTGCACCTTTACTATATTTTGTATTTATTTGAATACATTAGTCACAGTTTAATAATAATTTTAAAAAAAATATTGAATGTTTTGTGATAATTGTTTCTGCTGTACCGAAAACGTACCGAACCGAACCGTGACCTAAAAACCGAGGTACGTACCGAACCGAAATGTTTGTGAACCGTTACACCCCTACAATCAATGTTAACTTGGAAAGCCACAATATTAATATTTTAACTCAATCACATAGGTGATATCATTGTGGCACATCAGTAAAGCCTTATAAGGTGGCAGACGTAATTTAATGAATTTTAACTGAACAATAACTGAATGAGTTTGTTTCACTCTTAGACCAGCAGGGGTACCAAATCTATGCAGACTGCTGCAATAAGTACATTAATTAACTGTCTCATCGATGTTTGTCTGAATGAATATGATACTATTAACAATCATATTATTCCTATCAGCTGTCAATCACTGTTAATAAATAATAATAATAGATTTAATTTGTTAGCGTTTTTACAGGTGCTCAAAGACGCTTTACAGATATAATGAACTGTTATGATTCACATATTCATTTATTATTGAATAAACTATATGATGTTAATGATGAATGTTCATCAAGATGCTTGCTCACCTTCCTTCAAATTTGAAAAACAAGTAATTATATCATTATTAATATACAGTTACAACCTTGACTTTACATCAGAAAGAACAAACATTAAAGAAGTGACTAACTGCATCAGTTAGGGTTAAAAAACGTGTATTCAGCTAAAACATCGCTGCAGTTATTATCCTTACCTACTGGCCTAGTTAAATCAAAGTGGTTACTTTCTGTTGGCTGGGCAGTGTAGTTTTACACACCGTCTTATTTTACTTTCTCAGGACTTAAAACTGTTTTTTGGGGGCAGACCCCCTCAAAGAAAAAAATATATACACGCATACAAGGTCATCATCTTAACAGTTTGTTATTCTCATCGAGTCATCCGTGAGCAGAGCATCAAGTTGGCACGTCTATTACAGCTGAATGCGGCGATTATTATTTTGTTCAGCAAAACGCCTCACAAACTTATTAAGATCAACAGCTGTAGTGCGTTTTGATTCAATGCTGAGTACAGCCAAACTTCACAGTCTCTTCTCTGTCAGTGTAGACCGCAACTACCTCATTCCTTCAGTGCTTGGGTCCGAAAGGCTTCTCGTTTTGCGCCGTCCCCCCGTTCAAGTGAATTCGCCACCAATCATATTTCCACTCTCGCGCCAGGACCGGGGGAGGGGTTACATGACGTGCATCTTGTGCTGCATTCACTTGCACTCGGACATTAGAGACTTTTTCTCATAAATGTCCGATGAGCCACAACTTTCTTTCAAAACAAAGATGCCAACTGGGGTGGCAGCTGGGGTGGCAAGGCTGTTGTTTAGGGTGGCAGTTGCCACCCCATGCCACCCCGGTAGATCCGCCCCTAGATTTTGGTAAGAGGGCGCAGAGCCCCTGTTCCCCGGTTCAGAAAAAACTCTGATATCGCTGATGACCCTCCCCATCAACACTCTGATGCGCAGTCAGATCCGCTGATTGGTTCACTGATGATATAGGTGCCCAATCCAGAGCCTGTGGCTAGACCCGCCCAAAGGGAGGCTCGTCCTCTCTAGCCCCATTTCAGTCCCAAAGCCAGGGCTATTATCTGTATTTTAACAGACTTATCTTTTAAATTGAGGTGTATTTATTGTTCTCTTCAAAGTCTATTTGTCTCTGAAACTGTAGGGAGGATGGTCTTCCCTTTCCTCAATGGAGGAGCCTCCACTGAGTAAAGTAACTAGCAGTGTTATTTAACATATTCTGATAAGTATTGTCAAGTTCTCTGGGTTTTTGGCATTTATTTGAGTGTTTGCCCACATTTGAGAGGCTTGAGGGACAACTGGAATCCTTTTTCCTTTTCTTTATTTCAACTTTTCAAGGACACATTAGGATTCTTTCAGGTTGAAAACCTTAAAAAAATTAAATTACAGCAGTTTTGCTTTGCAATTTAATATATTATAGCCTATATTAATCAATAACCAAGTATTTTACTCAAACTCAATGTATTTAATAGTTAAATAAGTAGTTTAATTGACCTGGTTCCCCCCAACCACACATTTGCCATATGTGACCAGACCCGCTCTATCGAAATCAGTCGGAAGTCGCAACGGCTCATTTCAAAATAAACGTGGATTTGCGTAAAAAAATAGTTTTTCGGGGTTCGGGTGTTTTATTTGATTTTAAATAAACAAAGTCTTGGCTTTCAGAATATGGAAATTTTATTTCCAAAATCACCCGATAAATACATGTTTGAAGCTTGTAAAGGGAAGATGACAGCTCTCCCTCGCCACTCTGCTCTTCCACAGCGCCGCTTCCCCTCCCTCCGCTTACATTATGAATGTAAGCGGATATGTCGGGACAGAATTTATTTTACCGGACAAATCTGAAACTTACCGGTCATGTTTCAATAAGAATAATAAGAATGTTGTAGCAGAGTTTCCGTTAGCAGGTAATCACCGGACTAGGACCGGATATGCTGATGTTTAAAACTCAGTTAATGGGGCTCATTTTTTATATCGCTTCAGTTTATAATCGTTACAGATCAAAAAGTTCAGATTCATTTTTCAATAAATGATTCCACAAACAACATAATTATTACATTCAAACAAACTACTTGTAGATGAAGACGTACATTATTCAAAAGTTTACAATAACTTTGAATAATAACACGGGAGAAACGGATCCTCTCTTTTCCCCTCTCCCTCCCTCTCTCTCCTGACAGCTCGTCAGTTTCTCATGCAGCTAAACAGAGGCGGGGCTTCAGGTGATTATGCAGCAGCTGATCTGATCTCTCTCTCGGGTCCGGTTACACTTCACTCGCGTTTATGTCCATATCGATCAGATCCAGCTCTCCTGATCGGGCTTTATAGAGAGCACCGATCAAACTATTAAGAGTGAATATCGGCCGATAATGACCGGCGGCCGATCGATCGGCGGCTAACGGAAACCCTGATGTGCGACTGTCGGTCCTATGTTGTAAAAAAAATAAATCAAAATAATGTTTTATTTTTGATTCTCAAAATTACGGGCCAAATATTATTGCTGGCGGGCCAACAATGGCCCGCGGGCCGCCTGTTGCCGACCCATGTTGTAGGTAATCATACATCCTGGCATGTACAAAATACTGAGTGTTTTCTCAAAATGTTGGCTTTTTTCTGAAAATCTGAAAATTCTGATTTTCTCTAAAAATTCTGACTTTATTAAAACATTCAGACTTTTTTCAAAATCTCAAAATTCAGACTTTTTTCTCAAAATCGTAAAATTCTAAATTTTTTCACAAAATCTCAACGTTCTGATTTATTTCTCAAAATGCTGAATTATTTTGAAAAATCTCAAAATTCAGATTTTTTCCCTCAAAATTCTGACTTTTTTCAAAAAATTCTGACTTTTTCTGAATACATTGTTAAATATCACTGGTCCCCGGCTTGAGCTTCAATATCAGGATCCATGTATTTCATCACATACAGAGCATCAACTAGTTCCTGAACAGTGTCCTTCACATGCTGATATCCAAGGTTTAGGTAATCATACATCCTGTCATGAACAAAATACTGAGTTCTTTCTCAAAATGTTGGCTTTTTCTCAAAATCTCAAAAATCTGACTTTTTCTCAAAATTCCGACTTTTTCAGCTACAGTTGGGATACCTTTGTTATGTTACTCTCATTGGAAGAGTACATTCAGTATTTTCCCCACACCATTCAACCTTTATCCTGCTAGTTCACAGTATAATTTAAGAGATTGATTCACGTAGTATCCATCATTTGGATTAGGGCTGCTCAATTAATCGTATTTTAATCGCGATTACGATTATGGTTTGCAACGATTACGAAAACAACATAATCGAAAAAAAACGATTCTTTTTTTATTATTACTTTTTTTATTTATTTTTTTATATATATATTTTTTCCAGTTGAATTATACTTAAAGTTCAGGGTAATCAACTGTTAAAAACATACTGTTCACATTTTTTTTCTCCAATAAATGGATGTTTTCAAAGTCAATGAATAATCGCATTTAATAATCGCAATTATTGACCCAAATAATCGAGATTATGATTTTTGCCATAATCGAGCAGCCCTAATTTGGATTATATTCTACCACTACTGGTTTAAGCACAAACTCGTACTGCACTCCTTCATTTCCTTGTCAAATAGTTTGTATACAAAATAAAATTCCCTTAAATTTGTGTTTGTTTTCCTGGGAATGTGCAGCAACACGCATTCAGTCTTTTTTTTAAATAAATGTTTTCCTTTTCTTTGCCTTTACCAGAAACAACTTGGTGAGGTTAACTCCAAAAACGAGATGGTTAGGTTTTGAAAAAGTCAACGTTGTATTACTTTAAAACTACTGAGAAATATATTATATATATATAATATAATATATATATTATATATATAATATAATATATATATTATATATATAATATATGTCTGGCATAAAGCTATCTTCTGGGTAAAAGTAAGAGTGTTGGACCCCAAACTCTTCCCTAAACTGACGTCAATCCCATTTGATTAATTATATATAAACCAATTGATTTTGTTGGAAATAACAAGGTACAGCTTTTTTTAGTTATTGCTCCAGGCAGTGTGAAAACAGTCCTCTACTCCTACAAATTAAATACCAGAGTGGGTATGCTGATATGACACATAATTTGCACCTTATATGAACATATGAAGTAAAGTAAAGGAGAGTTCAGTCGAGGCTGTTGGAAATGTATTAGATTTGCTTGGATGTACACACTGAATCATCCAATGGTTAAGATATTTCACTCTGAAAGTTCTAGATGAAAAGCCAGCGGAGTTTCAATGTCAGTAGGATTAATCCTCTGGGGAACATGCATATCTGTACCAAATATCGTGACAATTCATGCACATTTTAGCCCGACTAACTGCCAAACATTGCCATCTAATTTACAAAGCCATGTTGGATAAACTACCATCTTATATCTGCTCCCTGATCTCTCTGCGAATTGAAAGTACTTATTGCTTGAGATCGCATGCTGTGGTTTTATTAAATGTGCCAAGTGCTAGGACTGTCTTAGGGAAGAAAGCTTTTAGATGAGCAGCTCCACTAACAAGGAACAGTCTGCAAAAAGAATGGAAAATTACCAAGCTAGTACCACTACATGTTTTTAAAGCTCGGTTGGATGCTACTCAATCAGATGCTGTTGGTACCTGTACATGCGGTTAGATATGTAAATTGTAATCCCTGTACATTTTTCTGTATGATGTCCTTTTGTTGTTCTGTTGTTTATGTTTTTATGTCTTCTTGTGGAACCTACTGCTGCAGGTCTCCCTTGAAAAAGAGATCATTGATCTCAATGGGATTTTACCTGGATAAATAAAGGTTTTGAATTGAATCCCAAAAGACGTTTCGCACGACTTAAAACGGACTGTCTTTATCTCTGTTTCCGTCCAGTTACACATGGTTTGTCCCGATTAAATGGATGAAGACAGGCGTAGAGCAGCAACAGTACTGGCTCCTTCAAAAGACAGGTATTATGGTTGTAATACATACTTCTATGTTAGATTTGAGAAGAACTTCCTAACAGATTCTTGGACTCAAACCACTGGTCATGGGAAGAACTGAACATCTGAGTATCTGTCTTTAATATTTCCCACCAGACACCCATGAGATGATGCGAGTTTCAGGAGAGGACTGGGTTCTGGCCAACACTAATGTTTCCGGGTACTTTAGGGTCAACTATGATGCGGAAAACTGGGATCGGCTCCTCACCTTGCTCAACACCAACCATCAGGTGAGCCAAAATGTTTTATTCAATGCATTGACAGTTGTTTTAGTGGCCATTTATACATCACCTGGAAACAGAAAGACAATGTTTGTTATTGATTACTCTGCGGATCGTTTTCTACTTTATTCTATTAGTCTATATCAATAGTCAAATAGAACAGAAAAACATCAAATATGCTTATAAATTAGACTGAAAACAGCATTTTCCACCACTTTGTAAGAAACATTTCTGGGACAATCAACCAATGATCAGTATAGTTTGTGATAATGTTTCTGTCAATTAAACTAAATGATTGATCAACTTGGGATAGTTCTAGTTAGATGTCTTTTAAAAACAGTTTCTGACTCACACACTCAATATTTTTGTCCCTTTTACTTTAAAATGGAGCCTCAATAACAATAACATAGCACTACGTAACCCTAACCCACACAGAAAAACAGAGAAATCCTATTTTTATTAATTTTCAAAAAAGGATAATGGACCTCCAGTAAAGAGCTGGTCAAAGGGCAAAGTCTGGAAGAAATGCTTTCAGAAACACAATTGGATTTTATTTACTTAAAGGTCCCATGTCATGGCCATTTCTACTGATCATAGTTCCATTGTTGAGGTCTACTAGAATAGATTTACATTGTTCAATGTTCCAAACTCACATTGGTTTCTCATACGGCATCTCTGTATAGTATGTGTATTCACTCTCTGTCCTAAACGGCTAGTTGGAGCTCCTGCCCCCCCCCCCCCCCCTTCCCTGTGAGCCCACTGTGCTCACAGAAATGTCCAACGAGGCGTTCTGGGGCAGCACAGACAGGTCTTTTCTGTGTTAGAGTTTTACTCGCTACAGGGTGTACTTTGAGGGTTTGTGACTCTGCAGACCGTTAACATGCATAAAAACCTTCATAACACACAAGGGGACGGGTAATAACCGGAAAAGTATGACATGGGACCTTTAAACTCGTAATTTCCTGTTCCTTAAATGGAGGTTTTACTGGATATGATTAATAAAAAATTTGCTAGCTTTGGCGTTTTCTATTCTTGGTATTTGATTTTCTGTTTGTCTCAAATAATGTTCCTGTTAAATGTGGTTTCTGAAACTGCAGACACAAAGTCTATCGTATAAACAAAGAATAAATACATTTGATATTTTTAGAACTAGTGGCTGTTCTGTTTCCATCCATTCTGTTGAATTTGAACATTTTTCAGGCTTTATCAATCATCAACAGAGCACAGATCATCGATGATGCATTCAACCTAGCAAGGTAAAGACTACTAAGTATTTAAAATATTAAATCCTTTACACATTCTGTGTCTGCAAATAATGTTTCCTTTGTGTAGGGCCAAGATAATCGATACAACATTGGCCCTGAGAACGACCAAATACCTGTCCAATGAAAGAGAATACATCCCCTGGGAGTCGGCCCTGAGAAACCTCAACTACTACATCCTCATGTTCGACCGCACGGAGGTCTATGGAGCTTTACAGGTGAAACTGCTTTAATACTAATAGAGTGGTGCAGGAATGAGTCCTAAAACCCGCAAATGAGTTAGCATTTTACCACTTCCTGTTCCCTCATGTAAGTCAATGATTTGTTGAATGCCTGAAATAAGGTCAATGGTTAACGCAAACTGAAGAGATTATCACGTTTTGTTCTATAACATAAAATGCCTCAGTAAGTGGTGGTGAATATATGAAGCTATTATGTGACATAAAAACGGCGTTTGTGTCTAAATGAGACGACTAAAACGTCATCACGCCCAACATTAGCCGCCTTTAGCTTAGCGGTGGTGACCTGAAGTCATGTGACCGTGCTTTTGTTCCTTTATAGCCCAACATTAGCCGCTTTTAGCTTAGCGGTGGTGACCTGAAGTCATGTGACCGTGCTTTTGTTCCTTTATAGCCCAACATTAGCCACCCTTAGCTTAGCGGTGGTGACCTGAAGTAATGTGACCGTGCTGTTGTTCCTTTATAGCCCAACATTAGCCGCTTTTAGCTTAGCGGTGGTGACCTGAAGTCATGTGACCGTGCTTTTGTTCCTTTATAGCCCAACATTAGCCGCTTTTAGCTTAGCGGTGGTGACCTGAAGTCATGTGACCGTGCTGTTGTTCCAAATAGCCCAACATTAGCTGCCTTTAGCTTAGCGGTGGTGACGTGAAGTCATGTGACCGTGATTTAGTTCCTTTATAGCCCAACATTAGCCGCTTTTAGCTTAGCGGTGGTGACGTGAAGTCATGTGACTGTGATTTAGTTCCTTTGTAGCCCAACATTAGCCGCCTTTAGCTTAGCGGTGGTGACGTGAAGTCATGTGACTGTGATTTAGTTCCTTTGTAGCCCAACATTAGCCGCCTTTAGTTTAGCGGTGGTGACGTGAAGTCATGTGACCGTGTTGCAGTTTCTTTATAGCCCAACGTTAGCCGCCTTGAGCTTAGCGGTGGTGACGTGAAGTCATGTGACCGTGATGTCGTTTTATTAAAGCCTAACGTTGGCTTCTTCCATTTCGATATTTGCAATTATGCTTCAAAACCCGTTCAAGTCTTGTTAATATGTGGATATTATCCTGCTAAACAAAATGTGTAAGCTGTAATCATAAAGCTATGTTGGCCATAGATCTTATTTTCTGCAATATTCCGAAATCCAATGGAAAAATCCCATCAGCTTTTTGTCAAAGATGACTTGCAATGCTAAGTTATAAAATAGGTCATCACTGCACCACTCTATTCTTCTCATTCTGAAGCTAGCAGCAGAAATGTAAAAAGAAAGTGTAAATCAAATGGACCTCAAACAGTTGCTCATACATCTACATTTTAGCCATACTTCAAACGACAAGTTGAACCATTGTTTGAGTACTTCAAGATGATTACAGCTAACTGGACCAAAGTACCAACAGGACACACTGACCAGTAAGAATTCGTGCACCAGAAGATGTATTATTTTAGAAGCAGGTGACTTACCGTTGGTGACACAATTTAATTCAATGCAATAATACATTTTTTGTCTCGGGTTTGGTCGTGCTATATTGCATTTTTTTTTTTTACCATTTCCCTTCTCAGGTATAATGAGATCAATGCTATTGGAATGGCATGCACTATGGGGGTGAAGGGCTGCAGGGAGCTAATCCAAAGATGGTATGGAGAGTGGATGGAAAATCCACAATTAAACCCGTGAGTAACGACCACTTGCATCTATTTTAGGATTTCATATATGAACACATTTGGCTGTTTGTCTTAATTCGTCCCAGCTAGCTATTGAAACGACTCTACAGACTTTAGCAGCATGTAGCTAGCAATGTAGTTATGTGGCTTTTGTTTTTGTGTAGATGAAAAGCCAGGGGATTACTAATGTCTGGGGACCAAATTTCATGGCAATTCATGCACATTTTAGCCAGACTAACAGCCAAACATTGCCTTCCCAAAAGCCGTATAGCATGGTTAAAAATGGTTTGTATAGTTTGTGTATATTTGTCCCAGTTAGCTAGGTAAACAACTATACAAACGTTAGCAGTAGCATTCTTATCATTGTGTTCAAGATTCATTCTTTTGAATAATCTTCTGGTTATTTTTACCTAAATGTTGACTAGGATCCATCCCAACTTGAAGAGCACAGTTTACTGCTATGCTATAGCTGCTGGAGGTGTGGAGGAGTGGGATTTTGCCTGGAAAATGTTCAAAAACGCCACTTTAGCATCTGAAGCCACCAGACTCCGAGCCGCCATGGCCTGCACCAAAGCACCCTGGCTTTTAAACAGGTACGTTAGAGAATCCAAATATTAAATGTATATTTCCTCAGTGCCGTATTGACACGAATATAAGACAGGTTTTTTATCCTGTAAAAATATCTGAAAAATACTGATATTCGGGGTCTAGACTTTTTAATGTATTACACAAACAACTGATTGCGCCAAACGAGTGTTTCCCCAAGTGGGACACCGTCTTAAAGTAACAGTACAACAAGAGAGATAGAGATGGAGAAACACAGAGACCAACTCCAACAAAGTGGATCAAAAGTAGGCAAGTTAATAAACAAGAGAGGCGAAGTTACGATGCCAATTATAAGATAATGGTGATCAACGAAGTCATCAAACAACTGTCGAGCAGCAAAGAAAGATGGTGTCACGGAGTGTAACGTTAGAAGATGGTGAGCCCAAAAAGACCGCCTTAAAAATGTAAACAGTCAGAGAAAAGCATTCTGCGATCCGCAAAGGGACCGTTTCCCCTATTTCCCAAAATGAGTCTTGAAAAAGAGATTATACAGAGTATTATAATCGGTGCAATGCGGGCATTTGGAAATCACATACAGCATAAAGCCTAATGATGGTATACTCCTCAATTTGCCCTTACATTTTTCGGGAGCAAGACATTTGACGAAGTCATATACGGCGGTGGTGGTGAAGTCCATAGGGACTTGGCTTGGCAACTGGACGGTCACCAGTTCAAGTCCCGGAAAGACCAAGTGCTACCGAGGTGTCCCTGAGCAAGGCACCGTTCCCTAAAACTGCTCCCCAGCTATGGACAAAATAGCAGGGGCAGGTGGGGCTCATAGCCATGGAAGGCAACCCATCTAGGAGAAGGACACTCTGAACTAAAACCAGGACTGAGAGGAGTTGCGCCCCCGGTCAGCATAGTAAAGCCAACCATGAAGAACAAAGTCATCCCAAATCCTATGCTTCCAGCGGCGGGAGTCCGCAGGAACATCGCAGCGGATGGTGAACTGGCCAGATGTATGGGGAACCGGCATGACTGGAAGCGACGATGGAGGGCTCGTCTGAGGACGACCTAGAGAGAGAGATACTGACTTATATTATTTAATAGTTATCCATTTATTTGATTGCTTTTCGGTTGATAGTAAATCTTCTTTTTATTCTAGTGTAATTCAAGTTATCGAATAAGTATAAGGCGTATGGTTTTTACCATAGGGTAAGCATGAGGCAAGAAAAAGGACAAGAAAAAAAACTGTTGTTCTTTTCAAATCTGTCATCAAGACAATAAAATGCACAGAAATGACTTTTGCATTTGAAACATCCATTAGTGGTTGTTCTGTGGCAATTCAAAAGGCAAACTTAGACGTTACCAATCGGGCGATGTATGCCCTGTGAACATACATTAAAAACACCTGAAACGTTGACTTGAATTAAGTGTATTAGGGTTAGGGTTATAGTTTGAATAGGTTAGAGTTAGGGTTAGGGGCTTTCAACTAACCTAATACAGTTATGTGCAGTTCAGTGACATAATACATTTAATTAAAGTCAGTGTTTCAGTTTATTTAAGCCACCATGCTGTCTGAATACTTAATTAAAAGCTCTATTAACTATCGACCGGTCAACAGTTAGCACAAACACTAACAACTGTGTCACTCTTTATTTTATGCTCCTGAGTCCTGTACTACGAAGCCGGTTCAACATAACCTGGATATGTTTGAGTTAGCCGGTTGGCCTAATCCAAAACATACGCGCTCTCCCTAAACTGTACTACGACGCGGGTTATGAAGTAGATCGCTCAAGCCAGCTAGTTAGATGCGCGTTCACATAAAAGGGGCGGGGTTAGCAACATTTGACCAATCACAAACATGGAGAAGCGCACTGACAGCGCAGCGTCATACAGTATGTGACACTGTGAGTGTTGCACGGCCAGATACGGCTCAGCTGACTCAGATAAGGAAGTATATGATACATTATGATGTGATATGAATGATAATGAGACACATCGACGTCTGCACTCACAGTGCCGCGGACTGTACGTACTGTTACTCTGATCCGGTTACTTATGTTGTGGCAGATATTTAAGTAAGCTTTCTTAATGTTATAATAGTCAGATTGCTCTGAAGATGGGAGGTGATATTCTATTCATTTTCACGTTCACACAGACGGTGATTTGAACTGAAACGGCAGTTTAAACTGTATTTCCTTTATCCTGTAATATGACTTGATCGCTTTAAACTCTGCACACTGTTGTTATCAGCTGTCCCACCACGGTTTCTACCTCAACCTGTAATGGATTTATCCTTATTGAAACCAGTGTTGGAATTGGGCCGGTACTCACCGGTACGCAGTACCGGCACTTCTGGTTCTGACCCATGGAGTACCGGCACTTCTTGCTCAGTACCGGTATGCTGGCGGTACTCCGGTACTCATGCACCGTGCCAGTACTCAACACTCTCCCGCCGTTCTTATTATGCATCCATATATATATATATACAGCCGCCCGGTACTCAGTAGATGCGTCATGAGGTGCCGAACGGACATTCTCATCGCTCTAACCGCTGGAGTTTCACAGCGGCTGTCAGCTGTTTACTCCTGTCATTCAAACAGAACGTGCTGGAGAGGGGGCGGGGCTTATCTTCTCCATGTAAATACTGTGGTGGAAACGACTATGTCAAATTAACCTATTTGACCGTGATTTAATAGTAATACACGTTTCAAAATAATAATAATAATAATAATAATAATGCCGAAGTAACAACATACTGAAAACTGTTAGTAAAACCATGTTTTAATGCTTTACAATTTACATACCTAGATGCACGTGTGTTGTGTTTATGCAGTGCAACTCCCACCCAGTGGGTGGCTATGTAGAGTGATAGAACAGAGCAGGCACGCCCCCGAGAGAAGGAAAGCAAGTCACGTCACAAATTAGCATTTCTAAAATGTTAGCCTGGATTAATAAAAGTGCAAAAAGACAGCGGTTGTCGCCGGAAGAAACTTCAAATACAGAGAATGCTGTGCCTGTGTTGGAAATTGTGTCTGATGGGGAGCTTTCTTTGGTTGATCCTCCTGCTCCAAGTTCTAGTGCATTAGCATTAGCACTAGCTCCGCCGCCTCCTCCAGAGCCTCTAACGTTAGCTGCTGCTGGCGCAACTGCCACCACCAACACCGGGCAAAGCGATGCACCTGACTGCTGGACAACGGACCAGGTGCAATATTTTTGCAAGACCAATGCATGGCTCCTTCTTAAAGATAAGAAGCTAGGATGTCGGATATGCAGAGATGTCAAATCTTTGGGAATACACACTGGACAAGGACTGAAACTGTCAACTGAATGGGGTGAGTGTGCAGTGTCTCATTTCGGTGTTGACAAGGGCAAACAACAAGCTAGCCTGAGAAAAAAAATCAAAGAACATAAAGAATCACAAGCCCATGTAAAAGCTGCTGACATCCTTACATCTGCTTCACGTGAAACTATTCAACATCAAGTGCAGTCTATGCATAAATCTGAATTAGACACCACTATCAGAGTTTTTCGAACGGCATATACAATTGGCAAACATAGCCGGCCATTCACAGACATGCCAATTGATTTGAATGTACAGAAACTGAATGGGCTGAACGTGGGCAGGGTTTTGCACTCCAATAAAACCTGTGGCGAAATCATCGACCACATAGCTCATGAGCTGAAGAAAAAAATGGCAAAAGACATTACAGAAAACCAAAGAAAACTCTGTGTTTTGGTCGATGAATCTACCACTATTAGTGGTAAAACGGTGCTTGTTGTGTGTCTATGCTCAGCATTAGCTGATGCTGAGCCCGAAACGTTTTTTTGGGAGCTGATCGAGTTGGATGGAACAACGGCTGATGACATCACAAAGGCGTTAATGGAGTGTCTTGGAAGAGATTTTAACGAGGACTTTTTAGGTCAGTGTTTCGTTTATTTTGCATGTGATGGGGCTTCAGTCATGCTAGGGAAGAGAACAGGCGTTGCTACCCAGTTGTGTAGTAAATTCCCAAGCCTGTTTGTGTGGCACTGCTCCAATCATCGTCTAGAGCTGGCAGTTGGGGATGTGGTCAAGGAGGTCTCAGGGCTCAATCATTTCCAGATCTTTTTTGACAAACTCTATTCCTTGTTCCATGCCTCCCCCAAAAATCAGAGGCAGTTAGCGCAGTGTGCGCAAGCAGTCGGACAGCGTCTCCTGGTGATAGGGCGTGTTTTTTTCCATCCGCTGGGTGGCTTCAAGTGAAAGGAGCGTCAGAGCAGTCTGGGAAAACTACCGAGTGCTTCATGATCACTTCACAAATGCTGCAAACGACACGAGCAGGGATTCCAGAGACAGAGCAAAGTACAAGGGCCTGGATGATGTGCTCACATCTGCAACGTTTGTCAGCAATCTGGGACTGATGTACGATGCGCTCACAGAGCTCAGCGACCTCTCTCGGCAACTCCAAAAAAGAGAGATGACACTGCCTACAGCAGATAGGCTCTTAACTCGAGAAATACGAGTTTTTGAATCCATGGTCACCATGCCTGGCCCACACATGACTACAGTTCATACAGCTCTAGCTGAGAAGTCCTTCAAGGGTGTTGCCCTGCGTGAGAATGGCAGGCTTGTACAGATTCATGCAGGTCAGTTTTTCCGCAGTATGGTAGAGAATCTGAGACACAGAATGACTTCCACAACCTCCTCTCATGTCAGCACAAGAGAAATCCCATTACATGGCCGGGAGGCCCGGGACAATCAGCTAATCCAGGACATGAAAGTTATCCATCCTGGAAGTTGGCCTGAAGAGGAGTTAGACGTACAGTATGGGGACGTAGAGGTGCTACGTTTGTGCGAAGTGCTGAAAGTGGACAGAAGAGAGACTGTTCAGGGCTTTCGCGAATACAAGGAAACCAGGGCATCCCGTACACCTGCTGCCATGGAGCCTCTACTGAAAGCAGTCCGAACCATCGCTGTCTCCACTAGTGAGTGTGAGCGGGCATTCAGCTGCATGAACGATATCCTTACTGCAAAAAGGAATGCTCTCTCTGTCAGCCGACTGTCCAGCCTGGTTTTCATTAAATGTAATGGACCATCTCTAGGACAGTTCAATCCGGAACAGTATGTGAGGTCCTGGCTGGCAAAGGGAAGGAGAAGTGCTGATGAAAGAGCCTGTCCAGCTCCAGCCCCTGATACTGATGTCCCCAAGGCCTTCTGGAGCCTTTTCTAACAATGTGAAGTATATTGCAAAGCAGCTCACCCAGTGAGAAGACTTTTGGCATAATGTGCCGATTTGTACAGATCCTGGAGATAGAAGGACTTCAGACCAACCAGGGAGTTATCTGATCAGCTTGGTGTTCAATGTAACTCTTTACCATGGCTCAGACTTTGTTACTTGCAGTTACAGTTTCTCATTTTAGATTGTGCACATTTTGCATTTGTTTTTACATGTTCTTTGTTCATGCTCTTTATCATTTTTCTGAGTTGGAAAGTTAGATTGCATCATAGTTTACTTTATACATATTTGTATTCTTCAGTGGTGAAGTATATTGCAAAGCAGCTCAGCCATGTGAGAAGACTTTTGGCACTTTTTCGTTTTCTGAGTTGGAAAGTTAGATTGCATTCAAAATGTACAGAAATACTTAATTTTGTTAAAGCTTTTTTATAAAAAATGCTTCTGACCAGAGCTTTGTTTCCTTGTCATTAATGTTGAACACCACCAGAGGGGCTCTCACCTGAAAGGTCTCTGCTTCATGTGTCTTCAGCAGAAGATCTAGACTTTGATTGCTATATTTTCAGTTAATATTGACCTTACTGAGCTTTAGCCATATCCGCTGCCTATCATAAAAAATGTTAAGTACAGTGAACCTTTCTAAAATATACAGTAGTAAAGAGACAAACCCACCAGCATTATAGTAGCCAAATTCTTGTTTGTGGGCTGTATATATAAAATTGACTTGAAAAAGTTGCTGATTTTAGAGTACTGGCACCTTTTTCATTCCAATTCAAGCACTGATTGAAACGGTTACATTCAATGAAAAATAAAATCAATGTGCAGGCTTACGTGAACACTGTTCTACATGAACAATATGGGCAGTTTATACATTAAATAAATCAACAGTATAGTGGCGATATGCTCCAAGTGGAAGCGATTCGCCATTAAAGCAAAGAAGAAGAAGAACTCCGCACAGTTGATCTCTTATCCTGGAACCTATCCTGCTCCGGCGCATGCTAGCCGTTCAGAATAAGTTATCTAGCCCCCTAAAAAGAGAACCAGCTTCGTAGAACCAGAAATCCCTGAAGTTAGCTTGCTAAACGAAAATCTTGATTCACAGTATAGGCCCCAGGCTAGCCGCTCAGCATAGGTTACCATGGAGATCTAGCCCGCTAAAAAGAGAACCAGCGTCGTAGGACCGGAAACCCCGAGTTTTCCCTGAAGTTAGCCGGCTAAGCGAAAATCCGGCAGTTTGAGGTGACTGTTTTGTAAGGAAATGTTTTTTATTGATCCAGGTATCTGGAGTACACCTTAGACACAACGAAAATCCGCAAGCAGGACGCCACCTCGACCATCCGGAGCATCGCAGGAAACGTGGTGGGGATGCCGCTCGCCTGGAACTTCGTCAGAGGGAGATGGAGCTACCTTTTCAACACGTAAGATTCAGATTCCCTTTCTCTCTCTCTCTCTCTCTCTCTCTCTCTCTCTCTCTCTCTCTCTCTCTCTCTCTCTCTCTCCAACTCTCTCTCTCTCCAACTCTCCAAACAGGTAATCAATAAGGAGGAAAAATAACAAAATGAAGAACATTTTGTGCGGGATTTATCTTTTTTTTAACCTGAATTATTTGCAGACTCCTCCCTTCAGAGAGATGTTTATCTGGTGTCCCAGACAGAGGTCAACGGCAGGATTTGAATGATTTCCTTCTGCTGATCAGCACGATTAAATCACAATAAAACCTCTTTCCTTTTCTTTATTAGGTACGGAAAAGGATCGTTTTCCTTCTCTAACCTCATCAGCGGCATCACCAGGAGGTTCTCCACTGAGTTTGAGTTACAGGAGGTATGAAGCTCACGCAGCTATCACTAAACAGACCTTCCTCATATCATTTGAGTCCACACGATAATTCAACTCCTTCAGTATCCAAAACAGTTTAAGATAATTTAAGTTCAAAGCTCCTTCAGACTGGAATAACTTACCACCGAATATACAATTTAACTTATTTTAAATGTTTAAAATGCTTTGTCTTTTTTCGATGAATTACAAAACACTATGTGTATTTATTTATTTTTGTATTGCTATGTATTCATTGTCACCATGTTGTGGATGTGTCTGCATTTGTATCTTTAATTGTTGTGATGGCAGTAATCTTGTGGTTGTATTGTGATTTTCTTTTCTTTTAGTTACTGTCTTGTTCTTGTTCCATATGTTAGGACCCCATTATCCTAAATTAGGATATATAAGTATATAAGTTTTTCTTCTTCTTCCTCCAGCTGATGAAATTTAAAGAAGACAACCTCCATGTTGGATTTGGCTCGGCCACCTTGGCGTTGGAGCAGGCGATCGAGAAAACCACGGCCAACATCAAATGGGTGACGGAGAATAAAGCTCCTGTGATGAAGTGGTGTACAGAGGAATCATCAAAATGACACACAGGGACACGCAATGAATGATAATCACTATAATCATATTTTTCTTGGTAACCGTTGCGCAAAAAAAGGAGAATTACGTCACCGGTCATCCACGTCAGTGCTGGAGAAAACACATCATTATATATCAGAGCTGGAAATAGACACACACTCGCACCTCTAGTGTGTGATTGTCAGAGAAAAAGGTATTTTAAAACATTTTTCTACACGGGAAAAACGGATATATTGACTTTAATTAAATGGTTTTACTGTATGTCAACAGAGTTCACATAACTGTATTAGGTTAGTTGAAGTCAATAATGTTAAAGGGGACCTATCATGCAAAATGCACGTTTTGATGTCTTTTATACATCAACATGTGTCCCCGGTGTGTCAGGGAACTCACGCAGCGTCAGAAAATAAAACCCTCTCTCTTTTCCTCCGTACCCAAATCTCTAAAAACGGGGAACAACGGAGCTGATCCAGATTTGCGTCCGATATGACGTAATATCTGAAATGTGTCCGAATCAGCACTTTAGAAACAGGAAGTGAAATAGAGGGATATGAGGCGTGGCTAGAATGGGTGATCTGTTTGGTATTTTGAGCAAAACACTTCATAGACATGTTTTGTATATATCTAAGACCCATGCTATCGCCTATAAATAGCATGATAGGTGACCTTTAAAGTGTTCTATTAATTAAACGTTATATTATTGTTTTGAACTAACCTAATACAGTTATGTGTACTCTGTTGAGATAATACATTTAATTAAAGTGAACATTTCAGTTTTTTCCGTTTTTTCATATTTCTTTATTCTCAGAACGGCGTGTCTTTTTCTTTATACTTCAGATTATATTTTGCCGCTTACTATGATGTTTGCAATGCATTTATTCCATTAACATGAAGCATTCAGCCACTTTATGTACGTTTATTTGCATTAATGTGCCTGAAGCCTGTGAATAATAGGATGTTAACTTCATGTATTTTTTAAATCGACTGCTTTTATTGTTCAGAATCAGAAATGATGTATTAGTCCCACAGCGGGGACAAAGTGCACTTCTCATAACGTCTCTTTAATGCATTATTATTATGCATTAAAATCAGCTTTTACCACTTAATTATCACAGCTATAAGCACTCATTAATATGTATAACAATATTCATGATAAATCATTTTAAGAACTTGAAAGAACCTGTTTTATAATTATTCATAATTTCTGGTCACTCATCGACATCAGTTGTTTAATAAAGCATTAAAAAGAGATAATTAGATACACTAAGTAGTCATTTGGTGGTTTAATTGAGGCGTGTGGCGCAGTGGACTAGTGCGTTGGTGTTCTGATCAGGGGAGCACAGGTTCAAACCCCACTGCAGTCAGCATGTCGTTGTGTCCCTGAGACACTTCACGCCAAAGTGCTCCTGTTGGGATTGATCACAGTATTGAGTATGTAAGTCGCTTTGGATAAAAGCGTCCAACATGTCATGTAATGTTAATTAAAGTGGACAAAATATAATTTAATCCACATAAGAACTTGAAGCACCTAATGCCTTCTTAGATTACATTTAAATCACATTATACTGCATTGTGTATAACAACTACGAGAATTAAAGTAAAACATAGTAAATATCTTACCTTAAAATACCTTTTAAAGAAATATGAATGGTTTTATAATATTGACCGTATGAGTCAGTTTTCAAATGACGTTATTAATCTTGTTTTAAACTACCGGTATTTTGAATATTTATGAGTGCTTAAAGCTTTCATTAAACAGTGCTTTAAGCAGATGATCACATATACATGTGTTTATAATGCATTAAAGACTTATAGACCTTCAATTTTAGGATAAAAGTTCCTATTTTTGTTTTTTAGTACGCTTTTGCTTGTCTATTTTTTTTTATCTTGATGAGTAGATCATAAATCATTGCACTACATGATACTCTAAATGTCTGCCAAGTGAAATATCGAAGGAGAAATAAATCAAAAGTTCAGAAAGACTGTCTCTACTTTTCTCTGTGGAAAAATGTGAAAGAAAATCATGTTTTTTTTGTATAGGCGGGAACAGAAGCTGGTGACTGCTCGTCTGTTTTTAACATTTAAGATAAGGTCAAATGGACTTTAATAATCCCTGTGTCAAGTTCAAGTGTCAAGGCAGCAACAGATTAAGAAGAAGCACAGGCATTACACAAGGAACATGTCCGGACCTCGACACAAACTGATGAACCCAAATGCACGACCCAGAGACAAAGTCTTGAATGTAAAAAAAGGTATATTTATTGTCACAGTGCGGGTAATCCCTCTTAACAGAGTAGATGGTGGAAATAACTAAAGGAGCTCACAAGGAGGAACAAACTAGCATAACAAAAAGAGGACTTAATAAAAACTTAAGCCAACAAAAAATAAACAAAATAACAAAACCTGACATGAGAGAAAAGCGATCCTTTCTGATCTGAGGCTTGGCACGACCATTCGGGGAAACAAACAAGATGAACTGACACAGGACAGGGGAGAGACAGGACTATTTAAGCATGAGGTGAGTGGGGACAGGTGGAAACAATCAGGGGCGGGGCAGACGCTGATGATGGCGGGAAAAACACACAGGGGGAGGAAGAAAACAGGGCCTGAAATTAAAGACAAGAGGTAAGTACAAAATATAACAGGAAATGACGGACAAAATACATAAACATAACTAACACATTTGACGAGACAACAGAATATACACCAAGAAAAGTTAAATAAGAATAAACACTTATTAACAGTGAAATAATAAGGGGAGTTAAACTATGATCCGGTGAATGTGAAGATGACGAATCAAGTCAAAGTCAACTTTATTGTCAATCTTTCAGTTTGTGTGTACAGACAGAGAGATCGAAATACTGTTTCCCACAATCCTGAATATAAAAACAAATGTATATAAAATATAGAAATATGTGTGCAAATATGTATATACCTATATATATATATATATATATATACAAGACACCAGTGGCGAGCCGTCAGGGCCCTCTAGGTCCTCTGTGATCTAAGATATCTAAGATGTCCTCTAAGATATTCTAAAAAATAATATTTGAAAACATAAAAAAAAACTTTTTTTTTAAAAATACTATTTTTTATATTTTGTTGTTGTTACATTTTTCATTAGTTTGACCAAAATAACTTGATTTAATTGTATTTAAAATAAATCCTTCGAATCTGCCTGTTCAGTTTCTGTTGGAATGTGAAGGGTTAAATGCCGTCTCTGCGAGTTATGTGAAGACGGGAGAGCTTGTTGGTCCCTCTCTACATTCACAGTAGTAACTCAATGAGAGAGTAATGTCAAATGACAGTACAATTGACCAATCATATCTTCCCTCTAAATGGGCGGGCTTTATTTTCGCGGACTTTATGACAAGTTCCGCCCGCTGTGAGGTCTATGCAAGTGGTGCAGTGACGCGTCCTAAAACCCGGAAGTAAGCTTCGCTCGGATTCCCTCGACAGAAAGCAATGGGATTTCTCCATAGGATTTTGGAAGATAGCTGGAAATAAGGTCTGTGGAAAATGAACCTGTTAGATAAATGCACGTTGTGTTCAGCCGGATAATATCCACATGTCTACCCTACTTTTATTATTTTCGAAGGGCCTAGGTATAAAAGTCACGGCTCGCCACTGCAAGACACATTTTTAAAACTGTATACAGTTAAATCCACCAGACTTCTTTCTGCAGATGTGAGCGTCCTTAACAACGGTCAATAAATCCTTGACAACGGTCTGTACTACTGGATTAACAACGTGTCACGTGTTCTGAATTGACCAATCAGAATCGAGTATTCAACTAAACCATGTAATACATTTTAAGAATCCCAAAGACATATACTTTATTAATCCCAATTTGGGAAATGATTTTGTTACAGATGCATTACAGTTATGTTATATATACATTTAATGTGCAGGTATTTAAAAGGAAAGTATTCCTTTGTGGGTATGACTAAACTTCTTTGGGAATCAGTCATGCTGTCTTTATTGAGCTCTGGAAATGTCCTGTTCAGAGTGAGATTAGAGATGAGTTTTCTCTGTTTCAGCCTCTGACAGTTCAAGGAGACGACAGATAAGATGTTTTACACAATGTTTATGACCTGTATACAGTTTGAAATAAAGGGTCCCTCAGGCAAAGGTGATCAGGGAGAACAGAACATCCCGTGGAAACAGTTGTGTAATGTTTCCGTGTTTTATTTTCCATGAGTTTTACCTCATTACATCACCTGGCTATCCAGGCTTGGCTTGGAAAATACAAATGAACCTGCTTCATGTGAAAAATACAGTCTCCAAAGATACTTAGAGTCAACAAAATCACATCTAATTGTTCTGAAAAAATAGCCTGTAATCAGAGGTGAGAAGTAACTAAGTACATTTACTTAAGTACAATTTTGAGGTACTTGTACTTTACTTGAGGTATTACCATTTTGAGCTACTCTGTACTTCTACCACACTAAAGTTCAGAGGTAAATGGTTGTACTTTCTCTACTACTACTTTTACTTAAGTTGAGGGTGTGAGTACTTCTACTTTTACTTAAGTAGAGGGCGTGAGTACTTCTACTTTTACTTAAGTAGAGGGTGTGAGTACTTCTACTTTTACTTAAGTAGAGGGCGTGAGTACTTCTACTTTTACTTAAGTTGAGGGCGTGAGTACTTCTACTTTTACTTAACTAGAGGGTGTGAGTACTTCTACTTTTACTTAAGTAGAGGGCGTGAGTACTTCTACTTTTTACTTACTAGAGGGTGTGAGTACTTCTACTTTTACTTAAGTAGAGGGCGTGAGTACTTCTACTTTTACGTAAGTAAAGGGCGTGAGTACTTCTACTTTTACTTAAGTAGAGGGCGTGAGTACTTCTACTTTTACTTAAGTAGAGGCGTGAGTACTTCTACTTTTATTAAGTAGAGGGCGTGAGTACTTCTACTTTTACTTAAGCAGAGGGCGTGAGTACTTCTACTTTTACTTAAGTAGAGGGTGTGAGTACTTCTACTTTTACTTAAGTTGAGGGCGTGATTACTTCTACTTTTACTTAAGTTGAGGGCGTGATTACTTCTACTTTTACTTAAGTAGAGGGTGTGAGTACTTCTACTTTTACTTAAGTAGAGGGTGTGAGCACTTCTACTTTTACTTAAGTAGAGGGCGTGAGCACTTCTACTTTTACTTAAGTAGAGGGTGTGAGTACTTCTACTTTTACTTAAGTAGAGGGCGTGAGTACTTATACTTTTACTTAAGTAGAGGGCGTGAGTACTTCAATTTTTACTTAAGTAGAGGGTGTGAGCACTTCTACTTTTACTTAAGTAGAGAGCGTGAGCACTTCTACTTTTACTTAAGTTGAGGGCGTGAGTACTTCTACTTTTACTTAAGTAGAGGGCGTGAGTACTTCTATTTTTACTTAAGTAGAGGGCGTGAGTACTTCTACTTTTACTTAAGTAGAGGGTGTGAGTACTTCTACTTTTACTTAAGTAGAGGGTGTGAGTACTTCTACTTTTACTTAAGTAGAGGGTGTGAGTACTTCTACTTTTACTTAAGTAGAGGGTGTGAGTACTTCTACTTTTACTTAAGTAGAGGGCGTGAGTACTTCTACTTTTACTTAAGTAGAGGGCGTGAGTACTTCAATTTTTACTTAAGTAGAGGGGTGTGAGCACTTCTACTTTTACTTAAGTAGAGGGCGTGAGCACTTCTACTTTTACTTAAGTTGAGGGCGTGAGTACTTCTACTTTTACTTAAGTAGAGGGCGTGAGTACTTCTATTTTTACTTAAGTAGAGGGCGTGAGTACTTCTACTTTCTACTTAAGTAGAGGGGTGAGTACTTCTACTTTTACTTAAGTAGAGGGTTTGTGAGTACTTCTACTTTTACTTAAGTAGAGGGTGTGAGTACTTCTACTTTACTTAAGTAGAGGGCGTGAGTACTTTTACTTTTTACTTAAGTAGAGGGTGTGAGTACTTCTACTTTTACTTAAGTTGAGGGCGTGATTACTTCTACTTTTACTTAAGTAGAGGGTGTGTGAGTACTTCTACTTTATTAAGTAGAGGGCGTGATTACTTCTACTTTTACTTAAGTAGAGGGTGTGAGTACTTCTATTTTTACTTAAGTAGAGGGCGTGAGTATCTTTCTACTTTTACTTAAGTAGGGGCGTGAGTACTTCTACATTTACTTAAGTTAGCGGGGTGTGAGTACTTCTACTTTACTTAAGTAGAGGGTGTGAGTTCTTCTACTTTTACTTAAGTGAGGGCGTGAGTACTTCTACTTTTTACTTAAGTTGAGGGTGTGAGTACTTTTACTTTTACTTAAGTCGAGGGCGTGAGTACTTCTACTTTTACTTTAAGTGAGGGCGGTGATTACTTCTACTTTTACTTAAGTAGAGGGTGTGAGTACTTCTACTTTTACTTAAGTAGAGGGTGTGAGAACTTCTACTTTTACTTAAGTAGAGGGTGTGAGAACTTCTACTTTTACTTAAGTAGAGGGTGTGAGAACTTCTACTTTTACTTAAGTAGAGGGTGTGAGTACTTCTACTTTTACTTAAGTAGAGGGTGTGAGAACTTCTACTTTTACTTAAGTAGAGGGTGTGAGAACTTCTACTTTTACTTAAGTAGAGGGTGTGAGTACTTCTACTTTTACTTAAGTAGAGGGTGTGAGAACTTCTACTTTTACTTAAGTAGAGGGTGTGAGTACTTCTCCCACCTCTGCACATAATTATTGACCTTGCATCAGCTACCATGGAAAGGTGCTTCATTTATGTGGAACTATCTACCAGAAATAACCATAAAAAGAGAGGTGATAGACCTTCAGCCTTAATATTGAACTTTGTTATATTCTAATTCCGGGAAAATGCATCAAACTGGATTGAGTTCTTTGGCGAGACAAGCCAGAGCAAGTTCACAACTCGACACTGGAGGAAAAGCGTGTGAAAACTGTTTTATCAGTTGTGCAATATTCTGTTGCATTATCCTGACAGACTTGTTCTGGATGTTTTGGGGAAGTTACACCCCCCATCACTTTTAGCCTGATGTGGTATAAATAGTTTTCCTGAACAAACTCTTCAGGACACATTTTTACATGACAGATTTGACACATTTCTTGGAGGAACTAACGTGCCAGACTTCACTGCTTCAAAATCTGACTGCACATCGACAGGGGGAAAGGCTGCTGTCATCTTAACTGAATTGAAGGTAAGAAAAATACCCAAGAACAATTAATTAATGTCATTACATCACACTGTAATTAGGTGAGACATGTTGTAATGCTCATGCTATTTTGAGGTGTTGGGACAACAGAAACACATCTCTGATCAAAATAAATTAATGTGCAAAGTTAGTTAGAGTAGTAGTTTTTTTGGTTGGCGACCAAAAGAGGTGAATAATAACGACCCGGAAAGCTTTAGTGTTATATCAATGATTTTTAAAGTTTGTTAGATGTTTGTTTGCACTATTATGGCAATCATTGACCACATTACGATGAAATCAGGTTTTGAGTTGAATCAGGATAAACTTAGTCTAAGATAGCCATGCATTAGCTGAGGCTTAAAAACAATGCATTTCTCTTTGCTTTTGCTTATATTTCAGTGCAGAAAACACATCAAATAGCATAATATCTTATCACAATGCACAGAAATTGTGTATAGAAATTGTCGGGGAATTGTTAAATGTAGTTCTGATTGCATACAGGACCCAATAAAAGGTGTTCCATCAAATGGGAAAGTGCTTGTTTTGCACCAAACATTTCTTTAATTATATATCAGATAAATCCTTTTCTGTGCTGAAAAAATAAAGAAAGGTGATTTTTTTTTTCTTGCGACTGGCCAATGGAAAACATTTTGAAACAAGACTGAGCTGTGGTTTTGTTTTTATCTATTTAGAATAAATCCATGGTTTTCACACAGCCTTAGAAATACTCATGATACTGTGCACAAAAGGGCGTGGCTCTAAAGAGAAAACACACCTTTCTGAAAATGAAAACTCGAGAGAGATGAGTTATTGTTATTACAACGTGACTTCACTTTTATTTAACAACTCTTTTTATTGGGTTCTTTTATTTGGGGTTAAGTACATTGTCAGAATAAGTTAGAAATGAATTTCACTTCTGTTAGACAGCCATATGCCATACATTTTTGCATATACATTCACAGTAAATATGTATTCAGTATGATAGCTGTCTAACAGAAGTTAAATCCATTTCTCACTTATTCTGACAATGTACTTAACCCCAAATAAAAGAACCCAATAAAAAGAGTTAAATAATAGTGAAGTCACGTCGTAATAACAATAACTCATCTCTCTCGAGTTTTCATTTTGAGCTTTGCTAAAAGCCACTGTGTCAAGTGTCCAACTTGGGTTGCCGTCCGGAGTTGTCCAATATGGCGGACCATCTCGCACATGCGCAGTACCGATCGGGCAGGGGGACGGATCGGGTAGTGACAGTGTCCCCTGGTCTCGCAGCTGTGTGCGTCACTCTTTAGTGTCCCCTGCAGGGGTAGACATTAAGGGTAAAAAGCCACTGGCCCTCCGGAATTGTATTGTCACTGGCCCCACCATTGTAACCACTGGCCCGGAGCATTCGTCCAAAAAAAATCGACTAATAATGAAGAAAATTAACACGTTTGTTGCAATAGTAATTTATGCACTAACTACATTACTACTTGTACTACAACATTTTAATCATCAGTTCTTCCTCATTTTCCTCAATTGTTCATATTTGGTTTATTAAAATAATGATATTGTGGTCATTGTTAAAAAATGTCTGCTATTATTATGAGTATTATTATTTGTATAATGCACTTTCTGCCTTCCTGTCATTAGGAGTTAGAAATGTAATGGCTATAGATCAGATCAGATCCTTCATTAAACTGCTGGGACATCTCCCTCTAGCCAATACCTTTATATGTTCTACTCTTCACTTACTTCAGCATAGGTCGACATTGATGTACAGAGCCGACAGAAGACCTTAGAGCAGGGGTCACCAACCTTTTTTAGGATGAGGGCTACTTTCAAAAAATAAAACAAGTCGGGGGCTACTTTTACTCCTCTTTTTTTTGCAGTGTATATATTTAGCACATTTTAACATTATTATATGCTTATCTTTAACCTTTGTGTGCTGTTTGGGTCTGTGGGACCCGTTTTCAGTGTTTACTAAAATAACATGCAATTTAATTATTTTAACCTGCTTTATTTGGGGGTGGACCTCACCTCCTCTAGGGGGGGGGCCTCACATCCTCCAGGGGGGACCTCACCTCCTGTAATTGAAATGCATCAATCTGGTGCACTTTGAGCACAACATGAATTTATGGATACAGCTCTCAACACTCAGATGAAAGGGAGCTGTATACTTTTCAAGAATCCAATCATCTTTAGAATATGATCACAACCAATAATAAATCATTTAAACTTGTTTATTCTGATCTTGTGTTACCACATTCTTTCTTTTTATTTATGCATATTTTACTAATCACTCCCCTATTAAACTGTTTTTGTACTGTCTTATTGTACACATTGGAATGATTTCTTACTTTATCTATATTAAATAGATAAGGGGTGCACTCACACACACACACACACACACACACACACACACACACACACACACACACACACACACACACACACACACACACACACACACACACACACACAGGCTGTATGCTCCTCCGTGGCGATGACGGCTTGCGTTCACGAATAATAATAAACATATTTGTAAAGTGGGGGGACACAAACGGGATTTCGAAAAGTGCTGGGGACATGTCCCCCCTGGAGATTACGCCATGCGTGTGTGTGCGTCAAGTGCAATAAATAAATATGCAAGTTACAACACACAGAGTAAAACTATGCCCCTCATGTGCTGTATAGGCTGGCATGATGGGCTGTTCAATGGGGCTGATGTGTTGTGTAGATTATGCCAGAAGGAAAATCAGCGGGGAGGTGCCACATTGCTTTTCTTCCCGACTGCAACGCTGGTCCATGGATGTATAATAAGAACGCGCTGGTCCCGCAAATCAAGCAATAACGTGATTGGTCGATATTCATTGTGGGGGTGGGGGGTGGAGGGGTGTTAGATATAGAGTTGTAGTAAGTAGATAGAGTTTGCTATGAAGTTTCGTTTATGCATGTGGTAGATTCTTTTAATTACATTTCCTTTTTTGTTTTGTGTATTTTATACATTTTGGATTTTCTTGGCGAGCTATTTTTAGAACGTGCCCGTCGGGCGCCTCACGTTGCCCCTGCGGGCGACTGAGTGCCCGCGGGCACCGTGTTGGCTACCCCTGCCTTAGAGGTTTCTCAATACTCAAATTTCTCCTCATCGACTCCTATCCTCGACTCCCCTCCTCAAGACTTGGTGCCGCCCACAGGAGATGCGAGCGGAGGACTGAGGAGGGGAACCCCCCCCCCCCACCCCCACCCCTCTCTCTGGTCGCTGAAATGGGGAATTGAAATTACGGGCCAAAAGTTGTACAAGTATTAAAAGTAAGCATAGGACACCAAACCAACTGAGACCCGTCTGTCCGCCGCATCTACACACTGTACCACACACTCCTACTGCTCCTAAACTAAAGCATAGGCTACAGCCGTTGTGTATTTTATTATGTGAAGCACTAAATGGTCTTAGAAAAATATCGAAATTCGCTGAAATTCATTTCCGGGTCACTACCAGAGGACCGAGGAGTCGAGGAGTCGAGGAGGGGAAATTTGAGTATTGAGAAACCTCTCTTTTGTATTGGCATCATATAGATAGGTGCAGTGACGCGTCCTAAAACCAGGAAGTAAGCTGCTGGTTCCCTCGACAAAAAGCAATGGGATTTCTCCACAGGGTTTTGGAAAATAGCTGGAAATAAGGTTTGTGGAAAACAAACCTGTTTGATAAATGCACGTTTTGTTCAGCCGGATAATATCCACATGTCTACCCTACTTTTATAATTTTCGAATCATAAATCTAATCGATAGATTATAAAAGGGTTTTAGGATGCGTCACTGCAGCCAACTCCACTGGTCTCCCATCTGTGTGGGGACGTCACCAAGTGCTCCGGTCCCAGCTGTGTGCGTCACTTTTTAGTGTCCCCTGGTCTCCCAGCTGTGTGCGTCACTCTTTAGTGTCCCCTGGTCTCCCAGCTGTGTGTGTCACTCTTTAGTGTCCCCTGGTCTCCCAGCTGTGTGCGTCACTTTTTAGTGTCCCCTGGTCTCCCAGCGGTGTGCGTCACTTTTTAGTGTCCCATGGTCTCCCAGCTGTGTGCGTCACTTTTTAGTGTCCCCTGGTCTCCCAGCTGTGTGCGTCACTTTTTAGTGTCCCATGGTCTCCCAGCTGTGTGCGTCACTTTTTAGTGTCCCATGGTCTCCCAGCTGTGTGCGTCACTCTTTAGTGTCCCCTGGTCTCCCAGCTTTGTGCATCACTCTTTAGTGTCCCCTGGTCTCCCAGCTGTGTGCGTCACTCTTTAGTGTCCCCCTGGTCTCCCAGCTGTGTGCATCACTCTTTAGTGTCCCCTGGTCTCCCAGCTGTGTGCGTCACTCTTTAGTGTCCCCTGGTCTCCCAGCTGTGTGCATCACTCTTTAGTGTCTCCTGGTCTCCCAGCTGTGTGCATCACTCTTTAGTGTCCCCTGGTCTCCCAGCTGTGTGCGTCACTCTTTAGTGTCCCCTGGTCTCCCAGCTGTGTGCGTCACTCTTTAGTGTCCCATGGTCTCCCAGCTGTGTGTGTCACTCTTTAGTGTCCCCTGGTCTCCCAGCGTTTCGTATATGCAGCACTTTTAGTAATGCTTCTTCATTTGCATGTGTTTTTGCACACTTGTTTTGAAAACTGCAGCGTGTTTCACCGAATGGAGATGCTTGGGCCGTTTGCACCGGTTCGCCACAAAGTGTAATTTCAGGCCTTGAGTTTGTTTCCCTCCATTTAACGAGACTAAACACAGTAATTGGCTCAGAAAGCTGCCAAAATAAGGGCAACAACAACAACACAGCATTACCGTGCTTAAATCATCGGGATGCAGGACTGAAGCTGCTGACATGGCGTAAGTGTCTGACTCATATCACCTAACATCCTTTACAGGATCACGAACAAGTAACACTAAAAGAAGAGTCTGACTCATCACAGTTCTGTGCTCCGCTTCTGTTTTACTCCCATGTTATTGGGCAAGAGGGCAAACTGCAAAGTTATATTTCTTCTTCTGTTTTTAGACCAAATGTCCTGATGATAGAAAAGACATTTCCGTGCAAATTGTGATGACATAAGAAAACATTTGCTCAATTCAATTCAAGGCTTTATCATCATGTGCACATTAGCTACAGTATAGATATGGCCGAAGTCCCAGGCTCCTCCAACAGAGCAACATGAATACAGGACATAGAACAAATACAACAGATACAATGGTGCAAGAGAATGTTTTAAGATGTGCAAGTAAATACAAATAAAATAGAAATAGCTCCCAGTTTATCCGTGGAATGTCTCCATTTCGTAAAGCCACAACTGTTTGGGTCAACAAAAGCAAAGTGAGAATTTGCACAACATTTGAGGCAAAATAAAAGTTGACATGTGTTTCATAAACACATCTTTGAACCATTTCACAAAGCGACTCTGGCTTCTTTACTATCGGACAGCTAGATCTAGGTTGCAAATTGTACACACACACACACACACACACACACACACACACACACACACACACATACCATGTATACATAACTTCAGGGGACATTACATTGACTTACATGCATTTCCTGGAGACTTATCCTAACCTTAACCATAACCAACACATGCCTAACCCTAACCCTAACCAAGTCTTCACCCTAAAATTAATGATCCCCCTCATGGGGACCTCCAATGTGTCCCCATAAGGGAGGCGAGTCCCCACACGTGACTGTGTAAACAGATGTAGGTCCCCACAAGTATAGTAATGCTAGACCACACACACACACACACGCGCACACACACACACACACACACACACACACACACAGTGCAATTGTATTTCCACTACCACACAATGTACAGTACTGAATAAACAGAGAAAGCACAGACCCACAGAGGACCTTTATTCGGAGCCGTTATGCTGGTATAAAGTTCACAGTTTCTCTTATCTCAAGGACTTTTTTACCACCTCACATTTGGCCTTCCTGCTGTTGTCACCATCCAGGTAATCAACCATTAACTTTGGTGCTGAATCCAAACAGGTCAAGTGCTTAAATAGCAATCATTTTCCCCGTTTTGTCTTTTTCCTCTGGTGTAGACATGGGGAAAGGTGTGTTCCTCAGCAAAGCTCTAGCTGTCACCTGTGCAGTTGTAGCCGTCGCTGCTGCAGCCACAATCATCGCCCTGGCGGCGGTCTACGCTCAGGAGAAGTCGAAGAATGAAGTGAAACCTACGTCTACTGCTCCCCCCCCAATCATCACCACCACTCCTTCTACCCCAAAAGAGCCGTGGGACCACTACAGACTCCCAGAATCCCTTTCTCCCGTTTCCTATAACGTCACTTTGAGACCCCGTCTGAAACCCGACGCTAACGGACTCTATATCTTCACGGGAGAATCGACGGTGGTGTTCAAATGTGTGAAGGAAACAGACCTGATCATCATCCACTCCAACAAGCTGAACCTCACCAACTTCGACAGGTTCCTCGCCAAGTTGACGGGCCTACATGGAGCAACTGCACCAAACCTGAAGAGAACATGGTTGGAAATTCCAACCCAATATTTGGTGTTGCAGCTCAGCGGTCCTCTGAAGGTCGGCGACTCGTACGAACTCTTCACGGATTTCGTTGGAGAACTGGCCGACGATCTGGGCGGATTCTACAGGAGCGTTTACGTTGAGGATGGCGTGGACAAGTAGGATGTTCTCTTTCATTTTTGTATTCAAATGTATTTGTTGAGGGAATTTTGCAAAAGGGAAAATACTTAATTTTCCCTTTTGCAAAATTCAAGAAGGCAAGTTTCAAAAGTTTCAAAAGTTTCAAAAGATTCAAAAACCTTGAGGAAAAGAAAGATTTTCTCTTTAATTTCTTTATTCAAATGTATTTGTTTGAGAGAATTGTGCAAAAGGGAAACTAAGTGTATACTTGGCCTTTGAAGTTATGTGAGTTTCAAAAACCCTCTTTATTTTACGTTTTTATTTATAATAATAATAAAACATGGGATTTTTATAGCGCTTTTCCTAATGCTCAAACAAGCTTTACATAAAATCAGAACAGAAACAGTACAGAAAACAAAATAAGCAGTACTCCTGATCCAAGTGTTAAGTGTTGTTACATCTGGAGAAGGATGCACTTGTGAAGAAAGGTGTAAATACATAAATAGACCTGTGTGGAAATGCAGGAGTGAAAAACCCTGACGACTTTACAGACGTACTTAAACTAGACATAGTTTAATGTTAACTCATGTAACAATCTTTATTTGTATTTTTAAATATGTCGGTTGTGCAAAATAGTTTCTTACATTTTACAGTGGGGGAAAATGTTCTTTAACTTCAACTTTTTAAATGATTTGTTTAAAGTTTTGAGAATGTTGCAAAAGGGAAAACCTTTGCATGAATTGGCCTGTGTGGTAATGCAAGATTCAAAGACCTTGACATTTTTACAGACATGCATTTGAACTAGATTTATTTATTTATATTATATATTTAGTCCCAGACACAGTTCGTTTTCTATACTGAGTTTTATCAATACTCATTTAACCCTTTATTTACTTTTCGTGATTTTTGCAATGGTGAAAATAAGTGTAATTATTAGTAATGTAGTAATGCAAGATTTAAAAACTTTACAGACCTGGATTTAAACAAGACGCTGATGGCCTAGGGTAGCAATACTCGATTAACCCTTTTATTTACTTTATTGCATTTTTAAATATGTGCCTTTACCTTTGAGAATGATGAAATGGAAAGGTTTGAAATGGTAAATATTGAAAGCCTTTGTAGTAATGCAAGATTTAAAAACCTTAACAACTTTACAGACATGATCATCTACCTAAAGCTTTTGAATAGACAGTAAACAGAAAGTATTAGAAATATTTTTTACGAACAAATCTAGAATTGGAGAGGGTTCACAGAATCATCTGGAAGCTGAAACGCCTAACACTAACCAAATAACCAAGACATTTCGGATATCTTTTGGCATTTCAGGACTTTATGTGACGTTTCCATATTGGGTTATATAATTAAAACCAAAGTTAATATAATCCACAATGTAAACTGTGGATATAATATGTTATAAAAGCAGCAGCTGAGAGGAAACAAAACTCTTAGTGGTCTTCTCTCCCTACATGTTAATTACCCTCTGTCTCCATGAGGAAATGCCTCTGGAGACATGCAGGGATTTTTAGAAAAGGGATCTTTAAATGGGACTCACCCTAGGTGTTATTCTTTACAGGGGATGTACCCTGTACCCTTGCATTGAGTTGGATGAGATGATTGATAACGCTCTCGTGTCTGAAGCCAAACAGACAGTTAGACAGACTTAAAATAGGAGGGGAAAGCTAGCTTGACTCTGAATACATTTAATAATATAATAATGAATAATATAAAGTTGAACCAGATCCGCCGACCAGCCCCTTTAAAGCTCATGTTCGTTTCATCTGTACAACAACTGAAGTGTAAAAACGACAATCTTCCAGTGTTTTTGACCGAAAGGAGACTGGTATCAATACTCGTATAATAATTAGATCAAGTACCACAGGTTGATTACAAATAACATATTGTGAGTTCAAACCCCTTCATTCATTGTTAAAATATGGTGTTAACACATTATGAAACATTACCTGCATGTTTTTCTTTTTTAAACTCACCTGGAAGAACTCATGGCTGCTGAAACACGGGGTAGTAGTGCCCCCTAGTGGCTGAGGTTAGTATTACAGCAACAAACACAAAACGACCCAGAAAGTTCACTGTTTTTTTTCTTGGCTTTTTAGGGCTTCCATATAAAGGGTTTTTCTAATAATAATAATAATAATAATGCATTTTATTTAAGGAGCGCACAACACACTTAAAATATATAAAACCCAACATTAATTACAGATTAAAAGCAGTTCTGAAGAGGTGAGTATATAAGTGAGTATAACTGTATGAGTGTATCTACAGATAATGGCTTCCTCTGTTAATCCTGACTTCATATGTCTGCTGTTTTCAGAGTTCTTGCCACGACTCAGATGCAGCCGACGGACGCCAGGAAAGCCTTCCCCTGTTTCGACGAGCCCGCGATGAAAGCTGTCTTCCAGCTGACGCTCATCCACCCCGCGGGCACCGTCGCTCTCTCCAACTCCCTCAACCACGGTGAGGAATACTCTCAGTGTATCACTGCTCGTAGTACAACTAGTTAAATGCAGAGGTCATATGTCACTGTGTGTGCTGTGTGCATGTGTGACCATTAACGACTGGGTTTCATCCCTCCGATGCTATCTATATCCAATGCAGCATTTTAGATGTGAAATATCCATCACCCACAACTTCAAGTGCATTGCACCTTAAAGGGGCCCTATTCTGCTTTTCGGGGTACTCGCTTCCCTGTAGTGTGTTATGAAGGTTTTTGTGCATGTAAATGGTCTGCAGAGGCTTAAATGCCTCCATTAGACTCCTTTGTTTACTTCCTGAACACAGTGACATCATCACACTTGCGCTCCTATTGGATAGCGCTCCAACACATTGTACGTGATACGTTAAGGGGCGGGACATCTCTAAGCGGTTGACCAATCACAACAGAGCCGGCCAGCTAACCAATCAGAGCAGACTGGGCTCTGGTTTCAGACAGAGGGTGAAAAGAGGTGCTGCAGCACAGAGAAAAGAGCTTTTTGAACATTAAAGCATGGAGACATGTCCCAGTAGAGAGATACTAATATGAATGTATAGAATACACAATATACGATATACAAAAAATACACTGCAAAAGACAAACTTCCTAATTCAAAAATAAAACATGGGATCATATAGACATACATTTTAGTGTGCAAAGCAGTTGCAGTTTAAAAAAACAAAAACATTTAACACAGGAAAACAGAGTATAATCTAGTTTTAAAAAGTAGCTATAAAGTTGTCTCTGATATCTAAAAGTGAGGTGTTGTACATGTCTTCATTTGTAATGAATCTGCTTTGTGTTTTTCCTCCACACAGAACCTGTTAACGTCACTTTGGATGGAGAGAATTGGACCATGACCAGTTTTCATCCCACAAAGATCATGTCCACCTACCTGCTGGCTTTTGTCGTGTGTGAATTTACTTTCATCACAAACGAACCAGTCGGCGGTCCCAAACCAGAAACCTTGGTAATTTTTGGGGTGGTTTCAGTGTTTTTCTGCTGCCCTCTGCTGGACTGATTTAACATGTCTCTGTAGTTTCTGTAATAATACATCTGTGCTTGTGTGCAGATCAGGATCTGGGCTCGCAGGAAGGCCATCGAGGCCGGACAGGGAGACTACGCCCTGGAGAAGACTGGACCCATACTGCAGTTCTTTGAGGACTACTACAAGTCTCCTTATCCTCTCGAAAAGTCAGGTAGGAACCAAACACATTTCTACTGTTGATATGTATCCATTGACTGCTTATTTATAATGCTTTGTTAACAAGCTGCTGTAACAGAACAATTCCTTAATTCGGGAATGAATCAAGCATATTTAAAGGGGCCCTATATTGCTCATGTTCACGTGTATATCAGTATAGTGTCTCAAGAGATGATTTGATTTACTCAAAGGCAGCAGACCTGCAAGTGTGTTTGTTTGTAACACAGGTGCATGGATGGATTACTACCTGACACAAGCCACATGTCACTGAAAGAGAAACCAGGAAGAGACTCAGAATAACCACAAAAAGCCATGAAATGACTAGAAAGAGAACAAAGGCAAGGCAAGGCAAGGCAAGGCAAGTTTATTTATATAGCACTTTTCAACACAAGGCAATTCAAAGTGCTTTACAAAAAATGAAAGAGATTAAGAAAATGGCATTTAAAATCAGTCATTAAAAAGAAAAGCTAATAAAATAAACATTAAAGAAAAAATACATGGATAAAAGTTACAGTGCTGTCAATTAAACATTAAAAGAAAAAAAGTACATGGATAAAAGTTACAGTGCAGTCTAAGATATGAATAGTTCAATTAAAAGCAGCGACAAAAAGAAAAGTCTTCAGCCTGGATTTAAAAGTAGTCAGAGTTGCAGCGGACCTGCAGGTTTCTGGGAGTTTGTTCCAGATATTTGGAGCATAATAACTGAACGCTGCTTTACCATGTTTAGTTCTGACTCTGGGGACAGAAAGCTGACCAGTCCCTGAAGACCTGAGAGATCTGGATGGTTCATCATTTAGCAGGAGGTCAGAAATGTATTTTGGGCCTAAACCATTCAGTGCTTTATAAACCAGCAGCAGTATTTTGAAATCTATTCTGTGACACACAGGAAGCCAGTGTAAAGACTTCAGAACAGGAGTGATGTGATCCACTTTCTTAGTGTTAGTGAGGACTCGAGCAGCAGCGTTCTGAATTAGCTGCAGCTTCCTAATAGATTTTTTAGTGAGACCTGTGAAGACACCATTGCAGTAGTCCAGTCTACTGAAGATAAAAGCATGGACAAGTTTTTCCAAATCCTGCTGTGACATTAGTCTTTTAATCCTAGATATATTCTTTAGGTGATAGTAGGCTGATTTAGTAACAGTTTTAATGTGACTGTTGAAACTCAGGTCAGAGTCCATGACTACACCTAGATTTCTGGCTTTATCTGTTGTTTTGAACATTGCACACTGAAGCTCAGCGCTAACTTTTATACGTTCTGCCTTGGCTCCAAAAACCATTACCTCAGTTTTATCTTTGTTTAATTGGAGAAAGTTCTGACACATCCAGTCATTGATTTGTTCAATGCACTTACTCAGTGTTTGAATTGGAGCATAGTCTCCTGGTGAAATTGTTACGTAAATTTGTGTGTCATCTGCATAGCTATGGTAACTTATTTTGTTGTTCTTCATTATCTGAGCCAGTGGTAGCATGTAGATGTTAAAGAGAAGAGGCCCCAAGATGGAGCCTTGAGGAACCCCACATGTCATATTTGTCAACTCAGATGTGTATTTACCTATAGAAACAAAATTGTTTCTGTCCTTTAAGTAGGATTCAAACCAATTCAGAACTGTTTCCGAAAGTCCCACCCAGTTCTCCAGTCGGTCTAGTAATATGCTGTGGTCAACAGTGTCAAACGCAGCACTGAGATCTAATAATACTAACACTGAAGTTCTGCCACTGTCTGTGTTTAAGTGGATGTCATTAAAGACCTTTACAAGAGCAGTCTCAGTGCTGTGGTTTGGACGAAAGCCTGACTGGAACACATCAAAACAGTCATTTAAATGCAAGAAATTACTCAACTGTTGAAAAACAACTTTTTCAATGATTTTACCTAGAAGTGGGAGGTTTGATATGGGCCTGTAATTGTTCATTACTGAAGCATCTAGATTATTCTTTTTTAAGAGCGGTTTAATGACTGCAGTTTTCAGGGCCTGTGGAAAAATACTTGAGTGAAGAGATTTGTTTACTATATGAAGTAGATCTGAGGCCATGCAAGGCAAAACATCTTTGAAAAATCCTGTTGGAATAATATCAAGGCAGCAGGAGGAGGATTTCAGAAGTTGAATAATGTCCTCTAGGTTTTTATCATTAATCTGATGGAATTGTGTCATGATGTCTGAATTGATGTTAAGTGGAGATAGGGACAACACATTTACTGTTCCTGATGCAGAGGCACTGACTGCTTGTCTGATTTTCTGAATTTTGTCAGTGAAAAAGGCAAAATCATTGCACGCCCTGGTGGATAGAAATTCAGAGGCTACTGACACTGGGGGGTTAGTTAGTCTGTCGACGGTAGCAAACAAGGCACGTGCGTTGTTTTTGTTTTTGGTAATGATGTCAGAGAAGAACGATTGTCGTGCGTTTTTCAATTCCAAATTATAGAGGCCAAGTCTCTCTTTATAGATTTCAAAGTGAACCTGGAGATTTGTTTTTCGCCACCTGCGTTCAGCTTTTCGACATTCTCTTTTTTCTGTTTTCACGGTCATGGCCTTTCTCCATGGAGATATTTTCTTGCCAGACACTTCCTTTACCTTAGTTGGAGCAATGGCATCTATAACATTTTTAATTTTTGAATTAAAATGATCTACTAGCTCATTTACTGAGATGTTGGCAGGGGCAAGTGTGGAAGAGAAATTCTGAGTAAACATTTCCCTAGTGTTTTCAGTTAAATATCGCTTTGTGGTTACCTCTTTTTGAACATTTTTGTGAACAGAAATAGAGCTCTCAAAGAAAACACAGGAATGGTCAGAGAGTGCAACATCAGTCACCACAACCTTAGAGATATTCAGACCCTTTGAGATAATTAAGTCCAGAGTGTGCCCCTTATTGTGTGTGGGCTCCGTCACATGCTGAGTCAGTCCATAGCTATCAAGAACACAAAACAGTTCTTTAGCCCCTCTGTCCTGGGGGTTGTCAACATGGATGTTAAAATCACCAACAATGACTAGACGGTCAAAGTCAATACACACTATAGACAGCAGTTCAGTAAAGTCATCAAAAAAGCTTGCACAGTATTTGGGTGGTCTATAGATATTTAGGAACAGAGCTCGAGAGGAGCATTTCAGCCGGAGGGCCACATATTCAAAAGAATCAAAGTTTCCATAAGATGTCTTCCTGCATTGAAGGGCATCATTGAACAGAATAGCAACTCCACCCCCTTTCTTATGCATTCTTTCCTGACTCATAAAACTGAAGTTGGGAGGGGTTGATTCGATAAGAACAGCTGCACTGTTATTTTGTTCAATCCAAGTTTCTGTTAAAAACATAAAATCGAGATTGTGCTCAGTGATAAAATCATTGATTAAAAATGTTTTTCCTGCTAAAGACCTGACATTTAATAAAGCTAGTTTAAGTTTGTTAAACACACTATCAGTCATGTTTTTTGTAACAAGCTGTGGCTGACATGCAATCACTGCTAAATTAGATACACTCACACAAACGTTTGAGCGCTTCCTGTTTCTATGATTCACCGCTCTTAATCTATTACCTATCAACACAGATATCGGCAAAGCTACTGGCAGGCAGGGCCCCGACATGTCCTTGAAAGAGTTGAGAGTGCCATACGCCCTTGAGCCTGGACCCATCACATATCAGTAAGAGTTTGTTGTGTTTTGTACACACACATCCTTATCAGGCTTCGGAGACTGCAGAAGCCCCCTCGAAGGGAGGGGAGGTGGTCGACGTAGGCACGGTGATGGAGACGGGCTAGATGGTGCGGGGGTAGAGGACATGCTGCCAGGGGGGGGAGGTGGTTGACGTAGGCGCGGTGATGAGGACGGGGGAGATGGTGCGCGTCTCCGCGGTGATTTTGGTGGGCGTCGTTGAGGAGCGGGGGTAAAGGACATGGTGCCAGCCCTGCGTATCGCCTTCGTTTGGTCTTTGAACTCCAGGAAGGAATCGGTGCCAACCCTCTGTATCTCCTTTGTGTGTTCATCGATCTCCAGCCGGGTGGGCGAGGGTGAAAGGGTGAACGGAGTATCCTCAAAGGCGTTGACAGGGGGGGGGGGCAGTGGAGACTCCTCCATGTGTCTCATATGTCTCCCATAATCAGAACATTCCTCAGGCGGGTGCAGTGATAATTCTTCAGGGTTTTCTGCGTGATGTGTTGTGTCTTTCTCGTGTTTTGATTCCTCCTGCCGCTTGTCCTTGGCAGAGGGAACAGATTGATGACGCAGGCAGTTGAATATGTTAGAGATAAACAATTTCACTCCTGACTTGTTCAGGCAAACTCCATTTGCCTTGAAAAGATGTCTGCGATCCCAGAAAAAGTTAAAATTGTCAATAAAATGAACAGAATGGTCAGTACAGGCCGTTGAAAGCCACGTGTTCAGTGCAAACAATCTGCTGAATCTCTCCACTCCTCTTCTGACTGGCGGTAGAGGGCCACTGATGAACACCTCTGCATTTAGAGAGCTGGCAGTTTCCAACAAACATTTAAACAAAAACAGCACTAAAGAGACACAAACTAAATGTGAAAATGACCAGAGATACTGTAAAAATGCCAAAAACTACAAGGAAACACTAAATGACTACAAACAAATAAAAAACTCTTAATGAAATATTCAAATACAGCCAGAAATACAGAAATACAAAATACCCACAATGAGATACTTAATGACTACAAAGAACCACATCACAACAAAAACAACAAAACCATTTCAAAAAGACAAATGAACTCAAAGAAGACTTAAAACTAAATAACACCTAAGAGACACAAAACAAGTCCAAGAACAGGCAGCACAACCTCGGAAGGAAACAACGAAGGAAAACCAAATTAAACGTACTTCCAGCAGCAGTGAAAGATGAACGGTATTAATATCTTCATTTGTTTTCAGACCAGATCGCTCTGCCGGACTTCGGCGCTGGAGCCATGGAGAACTGGGGTCTGATCACCTACAGAGAGACCGCCCTGCTGTTCAACCCTGACGTCTCGTCCAACGGAGACAAGGAGTGGGTGGCAACCGTCATCGCTCATGAACTCGCTCACATGGTAAGGAGACGTACATTGCAAGGATGACGTATTTTTGTATGCTAACCACGAAGTAAGCTTCACAAGGGCTCGCTCGACAAAAATGAAATGGGTCTTTTACATTACTCAGTGGTTAAGTTAAACTCCTGGTACTAGAATGGGTTAAAAGCAGAGAACACATCATTGTGTGCTGTGTGCTCTGCATGTGTGACCATTAAAGAGGGTTTCATCCCTCCCAATTCTTCTTCTTCTTCTTCTTCTTCTTCTTCTTCTTCTTCTTCTTCTTCTTAATGATACGTTTTATTCAGCAGGATAATCTCCACATATGAATACCACTTAATCTTATACTTAAGCGTAAATGCAATCACCAGAAGCAAAATGTTGGGCTTTAAAGGAACTACAGCACGGTCACATGACTTCACGTCACAACCGCTAAGCTAAAGGAAGCTAATGTTGGGCTATAAAGGAACTACAGCACGGTCACATGACTTCACGTCACAACCGCTAAGCTAAAGGCGGCTAATGTTGTGCTATAAAGGAACTACAGCACGGTCACATGACTTCACGTCACCACCGCTAAGCTAAAGGAGGCTAATGTTGAGTTATAAAGGAACTACAGCACGGTCACATGACTTCACGTCACCACCGCTAAGCTAAAGGTGGCTAATGTTGGGCTATAAAGGAACTACAGCACGGTCACAAGACTTCACGTCAGCACCGCTAAGCTAAAGGTGGCTAATGTTGGGCTATAAAGGAACTACAGCACGGTCACATGACTTTACGTCACCACCGCTAAGCTAAAGGCGGCTAATGTTGGGCTATAAAGGAACTACAGCACGGTCACATGACTTCATGCTACCACCGCTAAGCTAAAGGTGGCTAATGTTGGGCTATAAAGGAACTACAACACGGTCACATGACTTCACGTCACCACCGCTAAGCTAAAGGCGGCTAATGTTGGGCTATAAAGGAACTACAACACGGTCACATGACTTCACGTCACCACCGCTAAGCTAAAGGCGGCTGATGTTGGGCTATAAAGGAACTACAGCACGGTCACAAGACTTCACGTCACCACCGCTAAGCTAAAGGTGGCTAATGTTGGGCTATAAAGGAACTACGGCACGGTCACATGACTTCACGTCACAACCGCTAAGCTAAAGGTGGCTAATGTTGGGCTATAAAGGAACTACAGCACGGTCACAAGACTTCACGTCAGCACCGCTAAGCTAAAGGTGGCTAATGTTGGGTTATAAAGGAACTACAGCACGGTCACATGACTTCATGCTACCACCGCTAAGCTAAAGGCGGCTAATGTTGGGCTATAAAGGAACTACAGCACGGTCACATGACTTCATGCTACCACCGCTAAGCTAAAGGTGGCTAATGTTGGGCTATAAAGGAACTACAACACGGTCACATGACTTCACGTCACCACCGCTAAGCTAAAGGCGGCTGATGTTGGGCTATAAAGGAACTACAGCACGGTCACATGACTTCACGTCACCACCGCTAAGCTAAAGGCGGCTAATGTTGGGCTATAAAGGAACTACAACACGGTCACATGACTTCACGTCACCACCGCTAAGCTAAAGGTGGCTAATGTTGGGCGTGGTGACGTCGTCTCATTTAGACACTTGTTAGCAACCACCGTTTCTGAATTCACCAGTGGGTTATTTACTGAGGTATTTTATGTCATAGAACAAAAATCTCTTCAGCTTATTTCAGGCTAACAGCGAAACACGAACAAGCATTTTATAATTATTAACACATTATTGGGTTGTAGAACTCATTCCTGTTGCACCAATAAATGATATCCCTGCTCGTGAATGTTTTTATCTTTACGAACCTGCCAGTAATATACAGATGTCTCCTTTCAGTGGTTTGGGAACTTGGTGACGACGCGCTGGTGGAACGACTTGTGGCTCAACGAGGGTTTCGCAACCTACGTCTCGTATCTCGGAGCCGACTTCGCTGAACCCTCATGGAATATGGTGAGTTTTCTTCTCTTGCAGAAATACATCCAAAGAAATATCAATAAGATGGCTTTAAGTTAAGTGTATTTAGTAAGAAAACAGAACAATTTAATCAAGACTCGTTGCACTCGGTGTTGTGAGACCCGTGAAGTGGCGAAAGTCTCTTAATATAACATTCAGTACTTTTAAATGCATTTTCACATTGTTACCCTGCTAGTAATCCCCATCTCTTATACTACTACTCCAGTCTTTAATTTCTACTTATGTGCAGTTCCTTGTTCTGTTTTTATGCTGCTGCAAAGCAAACATTTTCCCAATTTGGAATCAATGAAGTACCTCTTATCTTATTATCTTTAATGTAGCAGTAATGTAATTACGTCTTTGTTTATGTTATTGTAAAGGGTTACAGTTTCCTTTTTGTTATACTTCTGTAATCCTGTTACATGTTATCCCTTAATCACTGAATTAACCTTATTCTTAAAGGTCCCATATCGTTAAAAGTGAGAGTCTTTTTATATTATTCTATATTAAGGAAGCATTGATGTATCCTATCTATAATATAAGGTCGATTTACTCAGGACTCTTTCTATGCAAAGAAATTGAAGAAAACTTTCTTTCTGGGTTATTGTTCTTAAAGAGACAGGTGCTAACATTGATCATTTCAGACTAAGGGGCGATACATGTTAACTCAGACAGACAGTATGAGAAAGATAAACATTTTCTTGTACAAACCCAAAATCGAAAAAAAGAAAAAAACGACAGCCGGAAAAAGTGAAAAAATAGGAAATTGAGAATAATAATTCCTCTTTAATGAAATTGCTCGTGTGAACCGTATAGAAATCAATGTAATGTTTAATGTGAAACGTGTTCGGTCATACCACAATTATTGTTTATAACCATTTTGTGTGTATTTTACAGAAAGATTTGATAGTCCTGAACGAGGTCATTGGGGTGATGGGAACTGACGCTTTGGCCTCCTCCCACCCGCTCACTTCCAAAGAGGAAGACGTCCAGAGGCCGGAGCAGATCAGCCAGCTGTTCGACTCCATCACGTACAGCAAGGTGAGGTATATTTATATAAAAAACACTACACAACTTACTTACTTTTAAGTATTGTTATCGCCAAATCCCACCAAAAAATATGTTTACTTCCACCAAACAAAAACAAGGCAAGGTGAGATGTGTTAATTAAAAGCAGCGGCAAAAAGAAAAGACTTCAGCCTGGATTTAAAAGTAAGTTTCAGCGGACCTGCAGGTTTCTGGGAGTTTGTTCCAGATGTTTGGAGCATAATATCTGAACTGCTCCATGTTTAGTTTAACTCTGGGGACAGAGAGCAGACCTGAAGACCTGAGGGTTCTGGATGGTTCATCATTTAGCAGCACACTGGAAAAAATGCTGCTCCAAAAACAAGTTAAACAACAATCAAAACCAGCTGTTTTCACTTGAAATAAGTAAAAAAGTGAAGATTTGCTTTGTAAGATTTCTTGAAGAAGGGATTTAGATAAATCAGATCTTATGATTAGCTGGGAGAACTCATGGAAATGTTGTGTTACAACATAAGCCGTGTTCTGTTTCTTGATGTTATTTGGTGAGTTTCTAATAAATATGTAAACAAATATGTGTTTCATCTGAGATACAACTCAAAATAAGATTATTTGACTTAACAAGATGATGCATCGTCTAAAAACAAGACCCGATATATCACTGCCGTGTTACTTCTGAAGTTATGATCAGGTGTAGAGACACATTCTGGCTAGGTATTAGACAAATATACTTGGCAAGATTTTGAGCTTTTGGAGTGTAAATGTATTTGGGGCCTAAACCATTCAGTGCTTTATAAACCATTCAGTGCTTTATAAACCATTCAGTGCTTTATAAACCATTCAGTGCTTTATAAACCATTCAGTGCTTTATAAACCATTCAGTGGTTTATAAACCATTCAGTGGTTTATAAACCATTCAGTGCTTTATAAACCATTCAGTGCTTTATAAACCATTCAGTGCTTTATAAACCATTCAGTGCTTTATAAACCATTCAGTGCTTTATAAACCATTCAGTGCTTTATAAACCATTCAGTGCTTTATAAACCATTCAGTGCTTTATAAACCATTCAGTGGTTTATAAACCATGCAGTGCTTTATAAACCATTCAGTGCTTTATAAACCATTCAGTGCTTTATAAACCATTCAGTGCTTTATAAACCATTCAGTGCTTATAAACCATTCAGTGCTTTATAAACCATTCAGTGCTTTATAAACCATTCAGTGCTTTATAAACCATTCAGTGCTTTATAAACCATTCAGTGCTTTATAAACCATTCAGTGCTTTATAAACCATGCAGTGCTTTATAAACCATTCAGTGCTTTATAAACCATTCAGTGCTTTATAAACCATTCAGTGCTTTATAAACCATTCAGTGCTTTATAAACCATTCAGTGCTTTATAAACCATTCAGTGCTTTATAAACCATTCAGTGCTTTATAAACCATTCAGTGCTTTATAAACCAGCAGCAGTATTTTGAAATCAATTATTTGACACACAGGAAGCCAGTGTAAAGACTTCAGAACTGGACTGATCCACTTTCTTAGTGTTAGTGAGGACTTGGAAACAATCATTAAGGGAAGAATATTTGAGCTAGATTTATCTAAAATGCAACAAAAGTAAGCATTCAGTGCTTCTCAAAGTGTGGTCCGCGGACCACTGGTGGTCCGTGAGCGCCCCCTAGTGGCCCGTGAGTATATTGGTAACATTTCATATTTGAAATAAATAAATATATTTAAGTTTTCCGCACCCTCGCGGGAATATCTCCGCAATGGAGCGAGCTTAAGTTTCACAACCCAGCGCAACACCTTCGTCACACATGTTGCCACTTGTTTGTACCATTTTCAGGCGATTTATAATCTGTTCTAGAAAAACGATGTGTTTTTTTATATTTGTGGAGTTAGGTGGTGTTTTGAAAAAGTTTGAGAAACACTGCATTACATAATAGCTCACTTGCTTACTTCAACATTACATCACAGAAAACGTGTAATACTAAAATGAATGGTCTTAATGTCAGTGATGAATGGGGAAGATTCAGGGTGATATCTATCGTTTAATTGACCCTATGTATTTCCTGACAGGGAGGTTCAGTCCTCAGGATGCTCTCAGAGTTTATCACAGAGGAAGTCTTTTCCAAAGGACTCCAGGTGAGTCGAGCAGTTTGAATGTAGTGTGTTTAATATTGTCATACCATCATTTCATTGAGCTGCATCCAACACATTGTTCTACCTCATCTAGAGTATAACAAATGACTCATTTTTGCAAGTCTGCACAGCACTCCACTTTAAAATAGAATACACTGTAGTTTGCCATATATACTCATTGTCCTAAGTGTTTGATTTGTAGCTTTTAAGGTGTACATACTTGTCTTAAACATCCTTTGTTAATGCTACATTATTTCTTCTTCTTACTTATTTTTAATTATCCTTATGTATTTCTTCTTTTACCTACTTTGCAACTTGTTTTTTTGGAACTAACTAAACTTCTGATTCTGACGATTGTGTTTCTGCAGACATACTTAGAGGAGTTCAAGTATTCGAACGCAGGCTACACAGACCTCTGGAGGAACTTGCAAAAGGTAAGTTAGCATTGACTTTCCTTAAAACAGCTTCTTATAAACAAAAAGACATGCATTCATTTATTTAAACATTCACATTAGAGGTGTTGTCGTACCTTTTTGGGCCACATGAGGGCAGTACAGCACATTGGAAACACACAGAACAGATCAAGCTAAAGTGTGTTAGCAAAGTGTTTCCTATTTAAACATCCAGCAAGAGAAACACATCAGCGTTTATTGTAGCTGAAAGTCCAACACTCAGACTCCTGTTTGCTCCATTTGGCTCTCCACCTCCTGACACCAATATTTAGCTCCTAAAAAGTCTACAATGAGTTCACATTCCACTGATGTGCAATGTGTGTTTTCAGCCATGTGTAATGTACTTGTTTGATTAGGGAAGCTGTAAAGTAGAGTTATAACATTTCCGTTTAACAAATTATTGGTTTTAATTTGCTTTCTTTAAGAAAAAAGGAGTCAGAATTCTCGTATTCCAGATTTTAAATTGTGAAAATGTTCCGTTTTCTTTACTCCTATATGACAGTTAACTCAGGCTGGTTCCTTTAGTCTGAATGTGTGTTTGATGCGTGATCATTATTCTTTAGAGTCATTGCGTGCCTATTGATTTGAACACGATCCGTGTATCCATCATTTCCTGGTCTTCTCTAAAGAAGAGGGACCAATGGAAACGTTGTCATGTTGCCGTTGTTCAGCATGGAAACATTCATTAGCTAACAATGACATTATTGTTCTATTAATATAAAGGGAGGTCAGGTACTCTTTAAAACAGCTGCTAGTTATGGGTACTTTTTACTGAAGTACATTTCAAAGCCTCTTTACTTTTACTGAGTAAAGAAGTTTAGTCAGTACTTCTACTTTCACCAGAGTATTTTTTAAACACGAGTATCTGTACTTCTACTTGAGTGAAGGATGTGTGTACTTTGTTGAAAACACAAATGCATAGAGTTCTTATCTACCTATTTCTTGTTTCCAGGCGGTGGATAATTCGAGCGTGGCGCTGCCGGCTTCAGTCGAGGTCATCATGAACCGATGGATCCTTCAGATGGGATTCCCCGTCGTCACCATCAACACCCAGACGGGAAAAATGACCCAGAAGCACTTCCTGTTGGACCCCGAATCTGTAGTGGACCGACCCTCAGAGTTCAAGTAGGAACATTTGACTTATACCTCATTTATGAATCAATAAGGGAAATGTATTCTGTTATCTACAATAAATCCACATAGGCCCAAAACACACGAGCAACAACTGGACCTACACTGAAGAAACTGAAACGTTGGCTTTAATTAAATGTATTATGTCAACAAATGCCACGTAATTGATTAGGTTAATATTATTGCTTTTAACTAACCTAATACAGTGAGGTGAAATCTGTTGACATAAAAACATTTAATTAAAGTCAAAGTTTCTGCAGTATACACTTGCATTATTGGATGACAAAACTATAATAAGGTATTTTAAAATCATAAGGCCCCGTAAATTGATAGAGGATAAACAAAGAAATACAGCTTTGTGTGATTGCTGACTTTCTAACACGATAATTCCCACATTTTATTTCTAAACTCAGGCTTTATTTCTCACTTCTTTAACATGATAGCGAGCTAGAGACAGCTTTTCCAAATCACATGAGGATATTCTTGATGATCCCAAGGTTACAGGTGTTTTTCATCTGATCAAATCTTGCAATGTAGTTACAACATATATTTAGTGTATGCCTGTTTATGCTGACATGATACTGTATGTATTTAACCATAACAATCTCATGCACTCTATTATTCTCTACGCTGTTTTTTTAAATGCACATTTTCCTTTTCTCTGGACGTAGTTATGAGTGGTTTGTCCCCGTCACCTGGATAAAGACTGGAGCAGCTGAACAGTCCTTCTGGCTTGTTGAAAAAGAAGGTAAGATTTATCTGCAAAGACACAATATCATTTTTCAAATTCTTTTTTATTAATGTATCTAGTTCAATATTGATGAAGACATATTTTTAAAGACAAGGTACAAGAAAACAAAGTAAGTTGAAGCCAGCCAAACATCTAGAAGGTTACTTTGATTGAAATGGTTGATGATAAATCATATTTGAGAGATTGGGATTCAGTCCATTCCCATTTCAACACCAATTACCAATTACACGGCTAGTCTGCTCTGATTGGTTAGCTGGCTGGCTCTGTTGTGATTGGTCAACCGCTTAGAGATGTGCTTTTAAGTAAGATATCTGAGAACTTCTTCCACCTCTTGAAGGATGGAAGGGATATGAAAAGGTTAGAAAAGTGTCAAAATAGCTATAATTTCACGGGAAGACTAGGGGTAGAGGAACGGGAGCATTTGGTTTGGGATATTTCCAAATATCTGGAACAAACTACCAGAAACCTGCGGGTCCGCTGCAACTCTGACTACTTTTAAATCCAGGCTGAATACTTTTATTTTTGCTTTTAATTGAACTATTCACATCTCACACTGCACTGTCACTTTTATTCATGTACCTGTGTTAATGTTCCTAATGTGTTTTATGCTCTTAATGTCTTTCTTTTAGGTGAAGCACTTTAAATTGCCTTGTGTTAAAAAGTGCCATATAACTAAACTTGCCTCTGATTATCTTCTAATATCCCTCCAGCTACGAACCCGAGCATGGTCACCGGTGCAGATGAGTGGCTCGTGGCCAACATTGACATGAAGGGTTTCTACCGAGTGAACTACGACGCTGCAAACTGGGAACGCCTCCTCGCCAAACTGAGCTCCAAACATCAGGTACAGTCTCATAATCCGATGGAAAAGTATTGCATTTCTTCTGTGGTTTTTAAAATGCCATTACAATCCCAAACACTCAATCCTTTGTTCACTTTCCAGGATATTCCAGTGATTAACCGAGCTCAAATCATCGATGACGCTTTTAATCTCGCAAGGTGAGGCCATATTTTTTAACAAAGGTCTTTTAAATATTGTCAAAGCTAATTTATTTTGCATATTTTATACACATAGGCAACCCACTGTGCTCTGCAGATTACACAAGGAACAAAACAGGAAACAAGTAAAACTATTTAAAAATGTAAAACAAATAATGAATTCAGTTATACATTTTAAAACCAGGTTTTTACATAATGACACTGTTGCTTTCAATTAAAACAACAATTAAATGTTATATATGTATTAAATGTAAGCTTAAATTATGTTTTTATGATATTTAAAGTCTGGGATATTTAAATTATTAGCAACAACTTGTTTTTAATGCTTCTGAAAAATACTATATATTAATGTATGTTTCACTTTCAATGACTTTACTCTTTTCAACAACGTCAGTCCTAATCATTACGACCAAATATTAATTTATTTTCAGAATTTAAACTATTTTAATGCCAGGTTTTTACATAATGACACTTACTTTAAGAAAACCAGGCCATACCGAAAGACATATTCCTAGAACTGCCTAAAAATACTGTATAACTTCCAATGAGTTAAAACAATTAATGAATAGCAATGGTAAACACCTAGGTCTTTAACTTGTCTTAAGTATCAGCTCTTCTTGCATTTTGTTCCAATAATAATGATTTATTATTATTATTAATATGAAGACTTTTTTAGTTTTTTTGTTGAATATACAAATATTACCATGAATGTGGATAAATACTTTATTTAACAATACGGTATTCTGTTTTTCACATTTGTTATTTTTTATTTTTTAATCTGTTCGAAATAAAGACTGAAAATTAAAAAAAAAAATTAAAAAAAATAAGATAAAAGCTGAGAAATTATTTTGGGTGTTTTCAGAGCGAAGATAGTGGACACCACTCTGGCTCTGAGGACCACCACCTTCCTGGATAAAGAGGTGGAATATATGCCCTGGGAGACGTTCAGGAGAAACTTAAACTACTACTTCCTGATGTTTGACCGCAGCGAAGTGTACGGACCCATGCAGGTCTGTGATGAACGGTCAACATGTGTAAAGCTCTTTCAATGAATTAATTCCTGTGCTTATCCCAGAAACCAAATGTGTTTGTAAGGGATTGGTTAATCGTGGGAAAATATAACTGGAATAAAAACGGTCCGATTTTGAAATGGTTTTGCCATCCCAGGAAAACAAATGTGTTTATAAGGGAAGGCATTGGGAGGATATAGGCGCTTTCACACCGCAGTACTTTTCCCACAAAGGTTCATGAGAAACTTAGTTCATGAGAACTCTTTAGCTCTCATGAACTAAGTACAGATCGCGTTCACACCGGAATAAGTCCCTGTGTTGCCATAAGTTAGTCTCTGCGTTTGTGCGCTGGGCTAATGCTAATAATGCTAATGCGAGGATAATAAAATGGCGGCTTCACAAAACTTTTTGGGAGTTTTACGGGGCGTGGTTTGCAATCCGCCCAGCCAATCAGACATAGGAACCTTTTTCTCCCACGAAAGTCCCTGCTCTCTAGCAGGGACGGAAAAGCATGGATGTATAATAAGAACTGGATACAGCGTGGGAGGCGGGGCCTCATTCATTCCTATGAGAGTTGCTCATTAGCGCATGATGACAAAATGGCCCAACTTTTGAGAGAGTGAAACGTCACAGATTACCCGGCATGCCTGAGAAGTACCCGTATGTGCACTCATAGAGCATGCGCAACTTTAACCAAAATGCTCGTTCACATCAAGCACGTCAATTTGCGTACACGTAACAGCACCGCGCGTTCATGACAGCATGGTAATGGATTGTTATGATGGATTTCATATTAACGAGGCGGCAGTTAGCAGCTTGCGGCTAGCTAGTAATTATGCTAATGTAACATCAATCGTTATGTACTTATATTATGCTGTAACAGGATCTAGTGATATCCAACAGAGCTTCATTTAGCATGAAATAATTATTGCACTGTAGGCTATATATATATATATTTATACACAGTGCAATAAGCTTCTTAGTGCAATAAGAAGCTACAGGGACGTTAATCTACGTCGGTAATATTAACTTTATTTAATACAACATTTACGGTACAACATTTGAACATCATACAGCCCATGTAGTAGGCTATAATATTTTACCAATGATGAATTACAGCAAACATGTGCAATATCCATTATTACAGCTCCGTGGGATGGCAGTAAGGCGATATGGTCCGTTCTTATTGTGCATCCATGGGTAAAGATAAACGCATGTAGTGCTGAACACGTAACATGAACGTGCCGGGCGGCGCGGTCCCGTGGGTTGGATGCGCGTTCATAATGCAGAGGGAAATAACTCTCAGAATAACGTTATTAGCACATTTTTACAACTTGAGGAACGAATGTTTTTAATAAGGGCTATACAAGTGTTCATACTGGGTTGTTTATTTAGTTTAAAAAAAATTATCCAACGAGTTACAGACCACTCTTTCCCCATGTAAGTCAATGGGAAACAGTGTTTCCGGGCCCAGCAACCTATAGGAAGTGTAGTACCGCCGTTTGGCCAGCACGAATATTCTCATCAGACTCCGGCGCACTTCCTGGGGGCTTGCGGAAAAGTGGGTAAAAAGGTTCTCATGAACACATTTGAGTTCCGGTGTCGGTACACGATGTGTTCGGGGTCCGTCTCTTACCAGTGACGTCACGACGTAATGACGTCACGCATTGTGTGAGCCTCAGTCACGCACTGACTGAGGCTTTCATAATTCAGGCATGAAAGGGTTAATAAAACACTCAGGGGAGTTTTCAAGCACTAGGCCCTGGGTAAATTAAGAGGCTGATCTGGGGCACTTTTGTCCACTTTCCCTGGTGCTAGAAACTCAAGTCAGACATCCCTGGAATCGTCCCAGAGAGTAGATGATCAGTGGGGCCTTCTTTTTACTGAAACATGATGTTTCGATGTATATTTCCATTGAAAATGCAAACCGCTAGCCGCAAAGCTAGCATCGCAGCCACACGCTAGGAGTATGGGAGTAGTAGTGTAAACATAATTATGTAAATAACCCAATTTGTGTTCTGTGAAACGGAAAAGGATTATATGGAAACAACATCACAGAGAAAAAAGTAATATCTTCTACATATAATAACGGACAAAGTAAAGAATGAAGTGTAGGCTATGTTTAAATGTTCGGAATGTTACCGTGTATGATGGTCCTCTTGAGTTGCCGTACAGCCAATGGCGTACAGCCATTGCTCCGTTTTCATGTTTTTTAAACATGTTTTTCACAAACATTTTCACACGCTAGGAGTATAGGAATACTTCAATTCGGTTCGTCATGATCTGTAGATGTGATTTGCCCCCGAGCACCCCTGGGTAAATTACCGTACAGCCAATCACAATGCGTACAATGCGTGACGTCAAGAGACGGCCCCCGAACACATCGTGTACCAACACCGGCTCTTTTTGGTGTGAACGCGACATTTCGGAACTATATCGGAACTAAAGTGGGAAAAGTACTGCGGTGTGAACGCGCCTTATAACTGGAAATATATGCAATGCTGATTAAATGTGTACCTTTTTCTGTATTCAAACATTAACGAAACTTGTCCAATTTCTTTCCTCAGGCTTACCTGAAGCAACAGGTCGAACCTCTATTCAATCACTTCAAAATTATCACTGGCAACTGGACAAAGATCCCAGAAATGCACACCGACCAGTAAGAATATTAACGTACCGAATGTTTAGTAGTGCATAATATATTCAAAAAGGTCTGAGTGCCAATGGGAAGAGATGTTTTTCATGATATCTGTTTCCTCTCTTCCTCCCTCCCAGGTATAACCAGGTGAATGCGATCTCCATGGCCTGCAGCACAGGAGTGGACGGCTGCAAGGAGCTGACCAGCAGCTGGTTCACTGAGTGGATGAATAATCCAGCTGTCAACAAGTATGTCAACACATAACAGTTTATATTCCTCAGGGGACGAAGGTAATAGAGTACATTAAATCAAGTAGTGTAAGCTACTCCACAACATTTTGGAAACATGTATATTGTACTTTTTACAACCCTACATTTATTTATCCTAAACCTGGTAAATGCTATTTTATTTTATTTAAAAAGGACATATTCTACTCATGTTCAGGTGTATATCAGTATGTAGTGTCTCTACTTTAAAGAGTCCTCTCCTGCTGATGTTCAGGTGTATATCAGTATGTAGTGTCTCTACTTTAAAGAGTCCTCTCCTGCTGATGTTCAGGTGTATATCAGTATATAGTGTCTCTACTTTAAAGAGTCCTCTCCTGCTGATGTTCAGGTGTATATCAGTATGTAGTGTCTCTACTTTAAAGAGTCCTCTCCTGCTGATGTTCAGGTGTATATCAGTATGTAATGTATCTACTTTAAAGAGTCCTCTCCTGCTGATGTTCAGGTGTATATCAGGATGTAGTGTCTCTACTTTAAAGAGTCCTCTCCTGCTGATGTTCAGGTGTATATCAGTATGTAGTGTCTCTACTTTAAAGAGTCCTCTCCTGCTGATGTTCAGGTGTATATCAGTATGTAATGTATCTACTTTAAAGAGTCCTCTCCTGCTGATGTTCAGGTGTATATCAGTATGTAGTGTCTCTACTTTAAAGAGTCCTCTCCTGCTCACAGAGCTCTTATCTCCTTGTTTCCAGGATTAGTCCTAACCTGAAGTACACAGTGTACTGCAGTGCGATCGCAGCAGGAGGAGAGAAGGAGTGGGAATTTGCTTGGTCCGCATTCAAGAACGCCACCATCGCCTCGGAGGCCGACAAACTGATGTCCGCTCTGTCCTGCAGCAAACAGCCCTGGCTGCTCAACAGGTCAGACACTCTGAAGCATGCATATCCATTCCTGTAACATGCTTTGAATGCATGATGAGTATTAGCAGCACCTCAGGTTTAGGGAATAACAGGATTAGCAACCCAGTTTCACGGCATTTCATGTTATAGTCACGAAATGTAATCTATTGATTCGTGTTCACCAACACGATTTCCCCGTTTTTTTCGTGTCACACAGAACGATTTTTTAAAAGCAATGTAAATAATAACAAATTAGAAGGAAACAAAGATTTAAAAAATACCGATTTCAGTATTCTGACACAGAACGATTTATTTTAAAAGCAATGTATTTATATTGGTAGTATGTGTTACGTGTGACTGGGGCACACGAGAAAATGATAGGACCCAAATGCACGACTCCAGACAAAAAAGGACGGTTCAAAAAAGGATTTGACTTTAGGTGGTTTGCAGGGCAATACAAACACTCATAATAAACATGGACTCCAAAAAATGACTTACTAAATACTAACACAACTTACTCTAGCTCAGATATCAACTGGCAGACAAATCACAAATAATATTTGTAAGGCTCAAGCGCTGGAAGGCTCGACTCTAAATCTCGAAACGATCTGGCACAGAGAAAAACACTCAATGTCGAGGAAGGCTGCTCCAGAGCCACTATTTCAAGGATGCTACATCATGGAGTGCCGCTGAAGGACTGTTCCAATGTCCAGCATACTTGGAATTCTACCGAGGCCGGCGTACTTCGTTGCGGGAAATTTCGAGGCTGCACATGTGTAGACTCCGCGGTCTTAAAATCCCCACAATGCTTTGCGCACGAACCAATTTCCCAAATCATTGGCGGAAAATGTAAGACGGGGCCTCTCATATGACGCACACCTGTTAGCCTCTTCCATTCTTCGTTCTCCGAATGCGAGGAGGGATTCTTGCCTCGCTTCTGAAGCAACTGACTCGGAGGTACATGTGCTACCAAGCAAGCGTACTCGACATTGAGAAACACCCACTGATTAAATAAACACACAGGGGCTCAACAGGTGCAAACAATAAGGGCGGGGCAGGTAATCAGGTCAGTGAGGAACATACAAGGGTAGGAGTCGAACTACCTGAAATGAGAAGGGAGATTAGTGCCAACGTAAAACAGGAACTGACAAACAGGAAATGCCAGACAACAAAAGGGTTAGCAGACGCGGACTTGACAATATTAACTTCACAGAGAAATAATACTAATTCAAATAAACAAGGATACAAAACTTACAAATCTGACGAGACACAACAGTATGTTTCGTGCCTGCACCAAATAATAACAAATTAGAAGGAAAAAAAGATTTTAAAAATACAGATGTCAGTATTCTGCGGCCCTGAGCCATTTATTTTCCTCACAGACGGCAAAAAAAGTCCGACGTTATACGATTTCAAATAAAAACAATAATCGTGGCTTGATATTGAGTAAAAACATGTTTTTATGAACCACACAGCTTCCGGTCTTCCGAGACCCGACCGGACAAAAATACGTGGTGCAGGCACGAAACACACTACCAATATAAATACATTGCTTTTAAAATCGTTCTGCGTGACACGAAAAAAATGGGAAATAGATTACATGTCGTGACTATAAGACGAAATGCCGTGAGACTGGGTTGGATCAAAAGAGGCAAGAAGAAGCTTAAAAACGTCTCTGGTCCCCCTCTAGTAGGGGTGTAACGGTTCACAAACATTTCGGTTCGGTACGTATCTCGGTTTTTTGGTCACGGTTCGGTTCGGTACGTTTTCGGTACAGCAGAATTTTTTTTCACAAAACAAAACATATATATATATATTTTTATTATTATTATTAAACTGTGAATAATGTATTCACTCAAATAAATACAAAATATAATAAAATAAACATTAAGGTGCAGCATTTCGATGAACTGAAATAATCTGTATTTGAACTGTACTGTACTAGTACCTAAGCAGCCAGCTTGACATTAGGACTTGCTTGTCATTGTATTTTCATGTTTTTTTTTAAAGAAAAATGAACTTGTCCACATTGCTTGCCGAAAGGGCAGATCTGCTGGCACTAACAATGTCTCCTGCTGTGGAGAACACCCTCTCGCTAGGGACAGAGGTAGCAGAAACAGCCAGGTAGCGCTTTGCTAACATGGCAACATAAGGATATTTGGCGTTTGTAATAGCTTTGGCTCGGTCTGAACTCTTTGCGAGTGGTGGAGGCTTAAATGCTAGCGGGAGTTGGGTTTGCACTTCAGTCTTTTGGTACCGGTGATATTCATGTTCGGGTGATGCCTTTTCAAGAGTGTGCAAGTTTGATGTATTGCCAGCCGCGTAACCAATTTTAGTTGCACAATGCCGACAAACAGCTTTGGTTCGGTCCACCTGTCTTTGTCCGTCATCCTTGTACGTAACTGCGAAACCAAAATGTTCCCAAACCGGAGACTTCAATGATGCTGGAGGATTTTCGAGCTCAACTTTATCTGCGTTCGCCATTAATTTTCGACAGTTCCTCAAATTACTGATTACATTTGAACGCATCCCTGTGACCAGCTCTCATAGTATGCCTCTCGTCCAATGAAATGACTTGCTCGCTCTATGCCGCGTTGAACCCAATGTGAGCAAATTACTCTGAATGCTGCGACGCAGCACCTGAGATTACTTCCAAAAAGTTGTTCACGTTCTCAATTTTTTACGTTTAACGTTATATTCGTTCGGTACACTTCGGTACACACCTGTACCGAACCGAAGGGCCCGTACCGAATAATTTCGGTACGGGTACGTGTACCGTTACACCCCTACCCTCTAGCGTTCATTGTTCATGAAAATAAAAGTTTAGGTCATCAGCATCCTTGATATTTGATTCATTGTTTTAAACGAGTCATGTCTTTGTACAAAACAACCAAAAAGAAATACAACGACAAGAAATAGCAAGCATCACTTCACAAGTCCTGCTCAGAACCATTCAGGATCTGGTTTCTAAATAAGAGTTTTAGTTTAGAAAAAGTTGCACAAATTCAAAAGGATAATGTGTGCTTGTCTTATATTGTACTTCTTAAATAAACAGTGCAGTAGTCATGTGTTAATAAGCCCCATTTTCAAATAAATTCAGTCAATTGAAGTAATAATAATAATAATCCTTATATTTATTATAGCGCTTTATCAAAGACTCTCAAAGCGCTTTACAAATACACATTACACATACAGATCATACATGTAATGGTCGTCTACTGTGGACAATACCCACAGGAGCAAATCCGGGTGAAGTGTCTTGCCCAAGGACACAACGGCCTGACGCAGTGGGGCGGGAGCGGGTTTCGAACTGGAGCTCCACAACGCCCCCTTGATCTGATGATCAAACGCACAGACCACTGCGCCACCCGTCCCGAAGTAGAAAACATTTTCCAACAAATCTTAGTTGATAAGAAAAAAGCCCAATCATTTATTTACCAATCAAGCTTGAAATAGACCCTTCATATTTCCCTTTATTATAATCAATCTGAGCTTCTGTTTTAAGGAATGAGCTGCTAACAAAGTAAATGAAACCTTATGGAGGGCTGTGATGTTTGTTTTCTTTAAAGCATATTAATGTATCAAGAATAATTAACCTACATTTGATTGCTAACTTATAACTTAACTTATGAGGCAATATACCTCTCCTCTAGTGAGGGAGCCCTTAGTGTGTGTTTCTGTATGTGGCCCTCGGTGAAAAAGGTTTGGACACCCCTGTGATACACAGATTAGGTTACTGAGTATTTTACAGGTAACAAGTCATTGTAATGCAGTATATTAGGCCTTTGTGCTCACTGTGAGTGTTTCAGGTACCTGGAGTATTGTCTGGACCCCAAAAAGATCCGCAAACAAGACGCCACGTCCACCATCATCTCCATCGCCAGTAGCTCCGTCGGTCAGCCTCTGGCCTGGGACTTCGTCAGATCCAGATGGGACTATATCTTCAACGAGTGAGTGTTCCCTTCCTCATGCAGACACATACACGCCTTTCCAATTGTAATTATGATTTAATGCACATATTTAGGTTTTTCTGAGTTTTATTCTTGTCATTCTTACTTTTTATTTGTATTTTTTAGTATATTTATATTAAGTTCAAACATTTATTTTACTTTCGCCTCTTTTCTTCAGGTACGGTGGTGGATCATTTTCCTTTGGAGGATTGATTAGTGGAGTGACCAGACGATTCTCCTCTGAGTTTGAGTACAAGCAGGTACAGTTTCTCTATTTGTATTTGTAAATACATTTTATTTTCAGTAGGATGTCATGTCTCTTCTACATCAACACGTGTCCCCTCTTCTTCATGTCTCTTCTACATCAACACGTGTCCCCTCTTCTTCATGTCTCTTCTACATCAACATGTGTCCCCCCTCTTCCTCATGTCTCTTCTACATCAACATGTGTCCCCTCTTCTTCATGTCTCTTCTACATCAACATGTGTCCCCTCTTCTTCATGTCTCTTCTACATCAACATGTGTCCCCTCTTCTTCATGTCTCTTCCACATCACCATGTGTCCCCTCTTCTTCATGTCTCTTCTACATCAACATGTGTCCCCTCTTCTTCATGTCTCTTCTACATCAACATGTGTCCCCTCTCTTTCATGTCTCTTCTACATCAACATGTGTCCCCTCTTCTTCATGTCTCTTCTACATCAACATGTGTCCCCCTCTTCTTCATGTCTCTTCTACATCAACATGTGTCCCCTCTTCTTCATGTCTCTTCTACATCAACATGTGTCCCCTCTTCTTCATGTCTCTTCTACATCAACATGTGTCCCCTCTTCTTCATGTCTCTTCTACATCAACATGTGTTCCCCTCTTCTTCATGTCTCTTCTACATCAACATGTGTCCCCCTCTTCTTCATGTCTCTTCTACATCAACATGTGTCCCCTCTTCTCCATGTCTCTTCTACATCAACATGTGTCCCCTCTTCTTCATGTCTCTTCTACATCAACATGTGTCCCCTCTTCTTCATGTCTCTTCTACATCAACATGTGTCCCCTCTTCTTCATGTCTCTTCTACATCAACATGTGTCCCCTCTTCTTCATGTCTCTTCTACATCAACATGTGTCCCCTCTTCATGTCTTCTATCATGTCTCTTCTACAATCAACATGTGTCCCCCTCTTCTTCATGTCTCTTCTACATCAACATGTGTCCCCTCTCTTCATTCTTCTTCATGTCTCTTCTACATCAACATGTGTCCCTCTCTTCATGTCTCTTCTACATCAACATGTGTCCCTCTTCTTCATGTCTCTTCTACATCAACATGTGTCCCCTCTTCTTCATGTCTCTCTACATCACATGTGTCCCCTCTTCTTCATGTCTCTTCTACATCAACATGTGTCCCCTCTTCTTCATGTCTCTTCTACATCAACATGTGTCCCCTCTTCTTCATGTCTCTTCTACATCAACATGTGTCCCCTCTTCTTCATGTCTCTTCTACATCAACATGTGTCCCCTCTTCTTCATGTCTCTTCTACATCAACATGTGTCCCCTCTTCTTCATGTCTCTTCTACATCAACATGTGTCCCCTCTTCTTCATGTCTCTTCTACATCAACATGTGTCCCCTCTTCTTCATGTCTCTTCTACATCAACATGTGTCCCTCTTCTTCATGTCTCTTCTCCTCTACATCAACATGTGTCCCCTCTTCTTCATGTCTCTTCTACATCAACATGTGTCCCCTTCTTCTTCATGTCTCTTCTACATCAACATGTGTCCCCTCTTCTTCATGTCTCTTCTACATCAACATGTGTCCCCTCTTCTTCATGTCTCTTCTACATCAACATGTGTCCCCTCTTCTTCATGTCTCTTCTACATCAACATGTGTCCCCCTCTTCTTCATGTCTCTTCTACATCAACATGTGTCCCCTCTTCTTCATGTCTCTTCTACATCAACATGTGTCCCCTCTGTGGAAAGAGACTCTGAAAGTTCCAGGAACAAAGATTCTCTCTCTTTTTGATCCATTTCTATAAAAACCTGTCTGAAAATTAGCTGATCAGATTTTGGCCACTATGTGATGTCATAACGATTTTGTGGCTTGTGTAACCATTAGCCAATCAGCAACCAAGGTAACCCCCCCCCCCCCCCCCCCCCCCCCCCCCCCCCCCCCCCCCCCCCCCACCTTATCACCTGAATCTCCTGGCGGCCCGCGATAGTTAATGTGACACGCTGAAATGCATGCGTTATATTTTAATCCTCCATGGTTGTATCTCGTAAGAATTAAAATGGAATTTAAGAATGGTAAAACTGCGCCCCCTGGGTTGTCATTCCTAAATTATGAATGACAGCTTGTGGAAAGTTTGCTAGACTACTGGTTGCATGGCAACTAGGCATCTCGCGAGTTGCGGTAATTGGTTAGTACAATAAAGAAAGGATTTGTTTTGGAATTATTTTGTGTTCCGTTTTTTCTTGGGCGGCCCTCAATCCAATATTGGGTACCTAAATTGGCCCTCACTCAAAACTTTGAGAACCCCTGATCTAAAGTAACAGACAGAGAATCAGCACTTTGGAAACAGGGCTGAAACAGAGGGGATTATGGGTAATGCTGCCATGATCTGTTTGGTGTTTCAGCCAATCAGAGACGTGTTCTGTATATATCTGAGACCTGTGATATATTGATGAAAAACAGTATAATAGGAGACCTTTAACTTTTGTCAAGAAGTAAATAAACAAATGTTTGTACTGCCTTAAATAAAATAAGTTACAACAAAGACTGTCATGGCACGATTATTGAATCCCAGTAACCCCCCACTCATCATTTCTCCCCAGTTGCTCCAGTTTAAAGAAGACAACGGGGGTAACTTCGGGTCGGGCACGGCGGCTCTGGAGCAGGCGCTGGAGAGGACCAAAGCCAACATGAAGTGGGTCGCTTTGAACAAGAAACCAGTTTTGGACTGGTTCCAGAGTCAGGTTCCTGCCATTTAAACACTGTGACGTTCAGCTGGAACCAAATGTATAAACCAGGGGTGTCCAAACCTCTTTCCCTGAGGGCCAAAAAATATACTAAATATTGCGTCATAAGTTACAGTAAGTTATAAGTTAGCAAAATCAATCAAATTATGCTTGATTCTTGAAAATGCTTTAAGAAAACAAACAGCCTTCAGCACAGCTATCCATAGGGTTTAATTGATCTTGTTAGCAGCTCATTCCTTAAAACTGAAGCTCAGATTGATTAGAATAAAGGGAAATATGAAGGGTTTATTTCAAGATTGATTGGTAAATATATTATTGGACTTATTTCTTATCAACTAAGATTTGTTAGAAAATGTTTTCAGCTTCAATTGACTCCATTTAATTGAAAGTCGTCTTAACACATGGATACTACTGTGTAATTTGTGTTTACATTTATATTTAAGAAGTACAATATAAGACAAGCACACTTTTCATTTGTGGGCCATATTCCATTATGCTTTTTGAATTTGCTGAGGGCCGATTCAAAATGGCCCCCGGGCCGATTCAAAATGGCCCCCGGGCCGTAGTTTGGACACCACTGGTATAAATGTCCTGAATGTGAAGGGAGCCTTTTGTAAATGTAAAAGTTAGAATTATGAATTTGTATGGGTAAAGATGACTATTTGAGATCTAAATCTGGTTTTGTATGTAAAAAGAAATGTTTTAATACTGTATATACTGCCGTCATTTTGGAAGATTTTAGAGGGAATTCAAGATTTTTAATAAATGTCAACGAACAAAAGTGTGATGTCTTGTATTTACTGGGCTGAATCTCCATTTTACTGCTTTTTCTGTCCATGCCAGTGAAATAAAACCAGCTTTTCCAAGACAATCAATAAGACAACAGACATTATTTGAGACAACCCTCAGGATTACATTACAATTTTCTGAATTAACTGTTTATTACATTATAGTTTATTATTATTACATTACAGTGACTTACATTTTTGTATATCTTTATATTGTTATTCCCCATTTTAAGGGCAGCGTTTTTCTCTGAATTTACCACTGTTTTATTAAATGTGTTTTCACCCTTGTTATACTTTTACAATACTAATGTTACGTTACTGTATCTATTATATGGCAGAAATAGTCTGTCTCATAACTGTCAGTGTTTGTCAGTATATCTGAAATGACTAGGTTAGCTCAGGGTTAGCTACGTTAGCTAGCTAGCTTACAGCAGATCTGCAGTAACATCAGAGTCATGTGACCACATTGTTAAAATAAGACCATCACACATTTCATGTGAGTTTCCAACAACAGAGACAACTTTATAATCCTGAACGTCACCATGTTCTCCGGTTCCAGCAGGATTTATAATTGTAATGGAGTATTTTAACACCATAGTATTTGTACTTTTACTAAAGTAAGGAATCTGAGTACTTCTTCCACCACTGGAAACGGCAAATAAACATCTTCTTACTCTCTCATCATTCAAACAATCAAAACTCACCTTTTCACTCTTGCCTTCAACTCCTAATCCACTAACCCCTCACCCTTATCCCACCAAGTTTAGCACTTTTTACTTTTGTTGTTATTTTTCTTCTTTACTTGCTTGTTAAGCGCTTTGAGCACCAGGAAAAGCGCTATATAAATCAAATGTATTATTATTATTATAATTATTACCCATTTTGAACACAGCAAACAATCCAGAGGACCACAAGTGCATTGTTTGAAATGGATTTCACTTTGGAGAGACAAAAAAGCCACAGCGCCATCTAGTGGCCTTATTGAGAACAGGCTTAACCAAGGCATCACCTGAAAGCCTATGTTCTGCTCTTTCAATAGGTTGGCTCAGTTTGTCTTTACCATGAACTGTCACAGAGATATTCAATCAGAAAGAGAATGATGGCGTCTGATCCAGACAGAACTGTTGACTTTTGTTCATATAGGGGTTGCATTGTTTGGACCCGCACTGTAGCTTTCCAGCAGCGAGTTGACCGGGTTGTCCACCCAGGTTGTGATCCTTGAAGGTCCTAGATATCATTTCTGGTGGACAACCTTTTACAACATTCCACGTCTGATTTCCCAAAACATGGGGTTTTGCCCCCTGGGTAGGAAGTGAATTACAGTAGCAGTCAAATGAAACCAGCATTTCCCCCAAGTGACTTAATCGATGGTCTGGTATTTATCACAGAGCCTTTTTAATTATTCAAACTACCAGCTTGTCAAGATCTGAGTTTTTGTGTTTAGAGTTTCCTGTTTTATTTAGATGTGTGTTTTCTCGTGTCTTACTTCCCGTGTTTCCCTCCTGTCTGATACCTGATCGTGTCTCAGCTCCGCAGCTGTCTCTTTTCTTGTGATTGGTCTTGTGTGTATTTTGTTTTATGTTCTCTGTCGGTTCGTCGTCGTTGTTTTCCATTCTCAATTATTATTTTATTGTTTACTCCTTTTCCTTTTGTTGATCGCGCCTGCTCCAGTATTTTTCTAGTGTTTGTTTTGGATCAGTTTTTTATTTATTGAAGGTCTCTTTTTGTTTATACTTATACCCCATCCTCTTTATCGCGATGACCTCCTTCTCCTGACACAGCCATGTTGACTCAGCAGAGGAGCTTCTTCTCCTCTCGGCGGGGGGTCTCTCCTCCAGGACCTTAGAGGGGATGTGCTGCCTGTTTAGCACCTCAGTCCCGCTGACAGCTGTTTATTTTAGGAAGTGACCAAGCACCAATTAGAAGACCCCAGTGTTTGAAGAAGTAGATCCTTTACTTAATTAAAAGTACTAATTATCTTAATCCATTTTAATCCATTTTAATCCATTGTATTTCTATTTAAATACTGCTATATTTGAACCATGACACTAAGTCAAATTCCTCGTACGTGTGAACCTACCTGGAAATAAACCTGATTCTGATTCCTGAAAGTAATCTGAGACGTTTAGGATTGTTTACTTCCTTTACTTCCTCCCTGCGTGTCTCTTGATGCCGCAGCGCAAACATTTCCCTCATTGGGATCAATAAGTACTTCTTATCTTATCTGATCTTAATGGCATCAAATATACTTAAAGTACAACAAGTACTCAGTCTGTACAATGACCCATTTCAGAAAGTACAGAAGTATTATCAGGTAAATGTACTTCAGGTATCAAGTACTCGTTTAAAGGATGGATCTTTTTACAGTATTATGTTATTATGGTTCTTATTTTGTTGTTAAATGCATTTGAGCCTTGGTTCTAAATATGGAGCCAATAAAGATACTTAAAATACTGCGTAGAGTACAGTACAGTACTGCATTATACTATATAATGTGTTTTTATATGTACAAAGTACCTGTGAGTGTTAACATAAATGTAAAAAGTAAAGTACACAGTTAAAAAAGTGAGATACTGAAAGAGACAAACTCAAGGGTTTCACATTTGATAAATAATGTTTATTCTGTTGTAGAAAAATGTAATAAATAAACATTTCTATGTACAATATTAAGGACATAAATATATGTTGTTGAAAATAACAAAAAGGAGACGTTTCGTCCGTTAAATAAATGTTCTTAGAGGTCATTGTTGCAATGAGATAAAGTGGAGTGGACTGGCGGCCTCAGCAGTGTCCGGGGAACGCTGCGCTCTGAAGGTGCCAGAACGGGTCGCTGCTGAAGAGAGAAGCTCCGTTTGAAACCTGAGGACGGAAGAAAAGCATTTCTGTTAGAAACGGATTCAACTTTAACATCTCTGACATTCAGAAGCAGTTCCATGGTTTGTTTGAGCATTTCATTTCGCTAGAAGTACTCAGATCTTGTACTTGAGTAAAAGTATAAGTACTCAGGTCTTGTACTTGAGTAAAAGTAGAAGTACTCAGATCTTGTACTTGAGTAAAAGTAGAAGTACTCAGATCTTATACTTGAGTAAAAGTAGAAGTACTCAGGTCTTGTACTTGAGTAAAAGTAGAAGTACTCAGGTCTTATACTTGAGTAAAAGTAGAAGTACTCAGATCTTGGACTTGAGTAAAAGTAAAAGTACTCAGATCTTCTACTTGAGTAAAAGTAGAAGTACTCAGATCTTGTACTTGAGTAAAAGTAGAAGTACTCAGATCTTGGACTTGAGTAAAAGTAAAAGTACTCAGATCTTGTACTTGAGTAAAAGTAGAAGTACTCAGATCTTGGACTTGAGTAAAAGTAAAAGTACTCAGATCTTGTACTTGAGTAAAAGTAGAAGTACTCAGATCTTGGACTTGAGTAAAAGTAAAAGTACTCAGATCTTCTACTTGAGTAAAAGTAGAAGTACTCAGATCTTGGACTTGAGTAAAAGTAAAAGTACTCAGATCTTGGACTTGAGTAAAAGTAGAAGTACTCAGATCTTGTTCTTGAGTAAAAGTAGAAGTACTCAAATCTTGTACTTGAGTAAAAGTAGAAGTACTCAGATCTTGTACTTAAGTACAAGTTGAAATACCACTGTAATGGAGTATTTTAAGACCATAGTATTTGTACTTTTACTTTAGTAAGTAATCTGAGTACTTCTTCCACCACATGAAACTGTGAAGAAGCATCTTTGGTACAGGCAGTCAAATAAAACCAACATTTCAGCCAAGTCTCTGTCTGGACTAAATGGAGGCTCTGAGACGTAGAACAGTAGAGCATGAAGAGACGAGCTCAGAGCATGACATGAACATACCTGATAGGAGGGCTGCATTGGGGTCGTGCTCATGGAAGGAAAGTCTGCTTCCTGCTGGGCGTAGCTCTCTGTCGGCTGACCCAGGAACTGCTGCAGATTTTGGGGTTCTTGAACAGATTCTGATGCTTTCTGCTCCAGAACCTCCTCGCTGAGGCCGAGCTGCGCCGACAGGTACGAGATGTATCGGATGGTGAGGCGCAGAGTGTCGATTTTGGTGAGGGTCTGTCCTTCTGGAGCCACAGATTCAGGTAAATACGTCCTCAGGTGGTTCAGAGACTTGGTCAGATCCCTCATCCTGTGCTTCTCCCTGTCGCTCGCTGTCTGGCGCTTCTTCCCCGGGTATCTGGACCTGGATTTCTTTGTCGTGGAGGCAGGAAGAGTTTGGGCGTCTTGGCTCTTTTGCTGAGGAACTGCCGGGCTTTTGAAGACCAAACAGTCCAAAGGGTTGGGTTCGTTCGTCTGGAAAGCGTTGGGGGAGAAGCAGAACGAGTCCACAGAGGAGGTGGGAGACAAGGAGCTGCTGCTGGCGCTGAAATAGCCAGGATCTAAAGCTGCATCGAAGGCCAAAGTGTTGTATTGTTTTTCCATCAGGGAGTCGAAGAGGAAGGCTTCGTGGTGGAGCTGCAGGTCGGAGCAGAAGGAAACATCCATGGCTGCAGGGCGATAGAAGCAGAGTGTGTTTCTGGTGAGGCAGGAGAGGAGAGTGAGGACTGAAGGAGACTTGGGATCCATATAAGAGGAGAGAGGTGTGATTTTGCACCTCCAGCGGCCACCTTGAGTCCTGAGAATCTGGGCGGGGGGTCTCGTGGGAAACATGGCAGCTCCAGGACTGAAGTGTGACTCGGTGATCCTCACACGGAGAGAAATGATGGAGAGAAATTCACACCACCCACTCCTGCAGCCTGGGAACAGGAGAGGAGTTACACCTTGAGTTAAAGACACGAAGCAATGAAAGAGAAACACGGGAACCCTTTACTTTACAGGAGACGAGTTAAAGGGCTCGGTCTGACCCGGAGGGCTCATCTTAGATTTCATGTAAAGCGTCTTTGAGCATTAGGAAAAGTGCTATACAAATCCAATGTATTATTATTATTTATTATAAGAAATTAAATGAAGCAGCTAAAGAGAAATACATTACACATTTAATCAGAATCAAGCTTTATTTATCCCACGCAGAAATGCGGGTTTTGTAACAGTTTTCAGAATCAAATGAAAATGAAAATATAAGAACAAATACAATATGTTTTTTGCATAGTTAAATAATGAAATGTATAATAACAAAAAAATCTAATAAATACAAAATTATTCCACAAACGTAACAAAATAAAGTAAAATGTTTGCATAAAACTTCAAAAATCAAATATAAATAAAATCAATAATGAAATAAAATACTCATGCAAGCATAATTTGAAGTTGAACGTGTGCATAATACTTCAATTATATGTACAAATATACAAATGTGTGCATTTAATCAAATACATATGCCTAAAAAAGAGAATACAAATGTCAGGCATTAAGAACAATGTATTCAACTTCATGTGGTATTTTATTTGTGTGAGAGAAAGAGCAAGTGTTCAATTCAATTATATCTCAAATAAGGAAAATTTGGTGTACTTTATGTACTTGTTGTGTTGTCATTAGCTCTCCTCTGTTCTGTTGTGTACTCGTTTTCAAAGTGATGTTTTGTGACTGAAAGCAGACCAGCGATCCCCCAGGTCTGAAATGGCTCTTGGATTACAGAATAAAAGCCTAAGCCCTCTAGCTGTGAGATCTCAGGTCCAGTGAAGCTCAACACTGCGTCCATCTTCTGTTTTGTTAATGTGTGTATTTGTGAGACTCATTAAAAGGCAGTCCTCCTCATTAACTCGGCCCGCTGTCCTCGGCCTGGAGAAGTGTGCCGGGCAGCAGCTGTGAAGTGTGAGGACTTTACACCTCGTGCTGTTTGGACAGCAGTGAGGCCTGGGGACACGGACACAATAACTCCTGACACACTTTACATATGAGGAATATCAACTAAATGTGTTCAAGTTGATCAGAAACACAGTTAAGGTCACTGTCCTGGGAACTGATCTCAAAGACAGACTTTCAGAACAACAACTGTCATGTTCTTGTTGTGCTTTTATGTTTTTTATGCTGAGAAAGCACTTTTTATGATGACATAACTCCACTAATGCATGGTGTTGTGTTTCAGCTCTCTCTCTGGATTCTCTGTGTTATTTCTGAGGGTGTCATGGTCAGGTGTGCTCTGTGGATCTGACCTCAGAGCAGCGTTCCCACTGAACGTCGCGTCACTTTTGACTCCTGCTCTGCAGCCGAGGTGAAACATGAGCAGGAGGTGTGAGGAGATCCCGCAGCAATCCTCTCTGAAGAAACCAAAACACAACTGAAGCAGCATGCTGGAATACATAAGTATTGTAATTAAGAAAATGTTTGAGGTACAAAATAAAAACCCTAAAATAAATAATAGAAAGGGCGGACATTAAGAACTATTTATTCGACTTCAGGTTGTATTTTATTGTTGTGAGGGAAAGGGCAATTAAGTCAATTATATCTAATATCAGGAATATTGTGTGTACTCAATGTCCTTGTTGTGTCTCTCTTGTATTGTGTTGTGTTCTACTTTGTTATGTACCTTTTTTTTTGCAAGGTGAAGTTTTGTGACTGAAAGCAGAGCCTTTTTCAACGATACCCCAGGTCTGAGATGGTTCTTGCGTTACAAAATAAAAGCCTAAGCCCTTTAACTGGGAGATCTCAGGTCCAGTGAAGAATGAAATGTAAATGTACCTAAGTGTTATAAATAAGAACATATTTTAGGTACATATCATTCAATATTAGTACAGACAATTCATGTAATTATTATGGTGTGACATGGGTCTGATAAAAGTGTAATACAGGCTTAATGACAGAATAACATGGAGATAACATTTCCAACCAAAACACATCTGGAGCTGGAGAAATATCAAACACAGGATTGGTGGAAAGTAATTGAGTGAATGTACCTAAGTAATGTACTTTTTTTAGGTACATATAATTGTTTTGGTAATTCAACTAATTCAATCAATCAATGTTTATTTATATAAATGTTATATAAATGTTACATTTGTCTCAGTGGACTTCACAGTGTGTACAGAATATCAGTATGACAATACGACACCCTCTGTCCTTAGACCCTCTGTCCTCAGACCCTCTGTCCTCAGATCCTCTGTCCTTAGACCCTCTGTCCTTAGACCCTCTGTCTTCAGACCCTCTGTCCTCAGACCCTCTGTCCTCAGACCCTCTGTCCTCAGATCCTCTGTCCTTAGACCCTCTGTCCTCAGACCCTCTGTCCTTAGACCCTCTGTCTTCAGACCCTCTGTCCTCAGACCCTCTGTCCTCAGACCCTCTGTCCTTAGACCCTCTGTCCTTAGACCCTCTGTCCTTAGACCCTCTGTCCTTAGACCCTCTGTCTTCAGACCCTCTGTCCTCAGACCCTCTGTCCTTAGACCCTCTGTCCTCAGACCCTCTGTCCTCAGACCCTCTGTCCTTAGACCCTCTGTCCTTAGACCCTCTGTCCTTAGACCCTCACATCGTACAAGGAAACACTTCCAGAGAAAACCCACAGTTTAAAGGGAACATGGGAGAAACCTCAGGGAGAGCAACAGAGGAGGGATCCCTCTCCCAGGACGGACAGACGTGCAATAGATGCCGTGTGTAAATCGAAAAGATAATACATTTTACAGCGTAGGTAGACCAAATGTTTGGAAAAACCAAATGTTTGGAAATGCATGTGTCTATAATAGGAAGATGAATCCACGAGGATGTCAGCAATCCTGTGGGAGCCATCAGGGAAGTAGTGTGATGAGAGTCAGGCAGGACCATTCAATATTAGTACAGACCATTCATTTTATTATTATGGTGTGACATGCAGGGCCGTCCCTGGCCAACATGAGGACCCGTCGTGGCCCCCTCCGCAAGGTGAGGCCCCACGCAGTCTGCATGATCGGCCTGTAGGGAGGGACGGCCCTGGCAACATGGGTCTGATAAAAGTGTAATGCAGGCTTAATAGCAACATAACATGCGGACCACATTTGCAACAAAACACATCTGCAGCTGGAGAAAAATCCAACGCAGCAGTGGTGGAAAGTACATTTACTTAATGTACTTAAGAACATTTTTGAGGGACAAATACTTTATTTTTTAGCTCTACTAATTCAATCTTAGTACAGACAATTCATTTAATTAATAATGTAACATGGGTCTGATACTAGTGTAATACAGGCTTAATAGCAGCATAACATGGGTGTAATACTTGTGTCATAATGGAGTAAGAGGGGTGTCATGTTTGAAAAACAATCAATTAATTTTCTAAAATAAGTATTTGTGATAAATAAATATATGTAATCAGCTATCTGTCACTTTCTAAAGCATTTGAAAAGTGTTTAATATACTAACATAAATAATCAATATATCATTATTATAAACAATATTTCTTATTCTTTATAACCAATACTTTTACTTCCTTTACTTTGTTTAATGATTGTGCTTTTATTAGATTTTTAAAAGCAGGACTTTGACTTTGAACAGAGTATTTTACCCTGTAGTATTGTTGATTAAAGTGAGACGCTTTACGGGTGGAATCCTTTCACTTTTCTCTATTTTCAGGGTGAAAGAAAATCCTTATAATCTATGAACTGATATTATTTCCCGTTACAAATCCTCTGCCGTTTCCCAGCTGTCACTCCTCTTCCTCTTGATGTGTCTTCTCTTAATCCACATTACGCTCTGACGGTGTTTACTCACATGTAATGAGAGAATAATCAGCACTGCGGTGTTAACCCTTTCATCACAGGCCCTTCAGAGCGTATTAGCTCTTCTCTGATGAAAGGCCTCAGCGAGTGCATTAGGCTTTGCATATGAAATGAGATGTGGCAAACTGAACACCAAGCTCATTCTGCAGAGCCATGAATATTAAAGCTGTGGCTCTGCGGGTAATTAACCGTCCGGAGGTGAGAGGAGAGGGCAGAGATCTGGATTATCAGAGTCTAGACTCAGCGGTGCCGAGGAGCTCGGAGTGTTTGCTCAACCACATTAACAGAGAGACACTAAATAAACCGAGTCGCCTGCAGGACGAGGAAGAAAAAGCACGAGAGGGAATCACGCTAATGTTTCAGGAAGTGCTCGAGTCTCTCATTGATCTGAGTTTAGATCATGTTTTTATGTTACTAGATTAGATTAGATTCTACTTTTGCATGTTTGCATCCAGACAGAACGTGCAAAGAAAGTGCACGAGGTTTCAATAAACTCACAACAAACATTGTGTAGTAAAGTACATAAATGTGTAATATCTTTAGATAAGGTGCAGGGTTTAGGAATATAAGGGCGATTTTAGGAAGTGATTTAGGTGAGTTGGTATAAAACAATACTTTGGGTCAGGAGAAATTCATAACTGTGCAGAAAAGAGCTAAAACAATGTGAACATATTATTATTAGACAGAGGCGGTAAGTAACTAAGTGCAATTATTCAAGTACTGCACTTAAGTACTACTTTGAGGTAGCCTACTTGTACTTTACTTGAGTATTTCCATGTTATGCTCCACTACAGTTCAGAGGTAGGCTACATGGTGTACTTTTCCTCCACTACATGTATTTAATACCTTCAGTTACTTCACAGATCTGGATGAATGATGTGAAATATAATCAAGTGTTGAATCAGACTTTAGTTCCACCTGGAGTAAATCCACCAGCTACCCTGCAGTATACAAAGTACTTCAAACTAGCTGCACCTTTACCAGCTTTGAGAACACTTTCATGATCAATCATTATAAAACACATCATATATATTATTCTGAAATGGACCAATCTCACAACAACTACTTTTACTGTCGCTACTTTCACTATATTTAGATGAGAATACTTTTCTACTTTTACTTGAGGAACATTTTGAATGCAGGACTTTTACTGTAACAGAGTATTCCTACGCTCTGGTACTTCTACTTTTACTCAAGTACAAGATCTGAGTACTTCTACTTTTACTCAAGTACAAGATCTGAGTACTTCTACTTTTACTAAGTACAAGACCTGAGTACTTCTACTTTTACTAAAGTACAAGATCTGAGTACTTCTACTTTTACTCAAGTACAAGACCTGAGTACTTCTACTTTTACTCAAGTACAAGACCTGAGTACTTCTACTTTTACTCAAGTACAAGATCTGAGTACTTCTACTTTTACTCAAGTACAAGACCTGAGTACTTCTACTTTTACTCAAGTACAAGATCTGAGTACTTCTGCTTTTACTCAAGTACAAGATCTGAGTACTTCTACTTTTACTCAAGTACACGATCTGAGTACTTCTACTTTTACTCAAGTACAAGATCTGAGTACTTCTACTTTTACTCAAGTACAAGATCTGAGTACTTCTACTTTTACTCAAGTACACGATCTGAGTACTTCTACTTTTACTCAAGTACACGATCTGAGTACTTCTACTTTTACTCAAGTACAAGATCTGAGTACTTCTACTTTTACTCAAGTACACGATCTGAGTACTTCTACTTTTACTCAAGTACACGATCTGAGTACTTCTACTTTTACTCAAGTACAAGATCTGAGTACTTCTACTTTTACTCAAGTACAAGATCTGAGTACTTCTACTTTACTCAAGTACACGATCTGAGTACTTCTACTTTTACTCAAGTACACGATCTGAGTACTTCTACTTTTACTCAAGTACAAGATCTGAGTACTTCTACTTTTACTCAAGTACACGATCTGAGTACTTCTACTTTTACTCAAGTACAAGATCTGAGTACTTCTACTTTTACTGAAGTACAAGATCTGAGTACTTCTACTTTTACTCAAGTACATGATCTGAGTACTTCTACTTTTACTCAAGTACAAGATCTGAGTACTTCTACTTTTACTGAAGTACAAGATCTGAGTACTTTACGTCCAGCAGAGGGCGCTCTGTCTTCCTTCAGATTAAAATACATCAATCCAAATAACTGTGAGATTAATTACCCGCACTGCATCATGGGAAAAAAGCTTCGAAAGATGACAAACACATGAACCAATTTTCAATATTTTATTATAAATAGTCGTATAAAGAAAATGTAAAAATAGTTGTTAAGACGTATCAATATTTACATGGAACATTTCACATGGACAAAATAAATAAAAAGTAAGATAGCATATATATATTAAATAAATTATAAATGTTTCACAGTGAGGCAGTAAAAACAGAAGTAGTTTGTTGTTGTTGGAGGAAGAGGAGGAGGAGGACGAAGAGGAGGACGAAGAGGAAGAGGAGAAGGACGAAGAGGAAGAGGAGGAAGAGGATGGAGCGGTTTCCAGATTTTAACCCCAGTACTCTCTGGGAACCAGCGGCATGCAGAACTCTTTCCCGGACATCTGTAATGAAAAAAGAAAATGGATTAGCATGTTGTACTTTTATTCAACAAGATGCATGTTTTTTGCACACTGCACTGTAAACCCGAATAAGTCACCGGAACAAACAAAAAACTAGTAAAACCGATTGCTTTTTAATATTTTAAATTGATTAATAAAGGTGAATGTTTTCAGAGCTTAAATGTTGTTGTTTACTTAATTTGTCAGATAGTCCAAATTCATCAAAAAATATCTAGTATCAGAGGAACTCAAAATATTGAAGGTACTACAACTTTTTCTTTAAATTGATTTAATCTTTTGTATTATTTTGAACTACCACACCTCTTTCTAACTCTGCACAGCTCTACACTTTGATTATAGTATTTGTCATATTTTATTTGACTTTACTCGTTTCTTATATATTTATATTTTGTGCAAATATCGTTTTGTAGATTACAATATAATATAATTTAAGGTGTATGTTTTGCCTCGACGTATTCTTCTTTCTGTGTGTTTTTGCATGCACCGTTTACACCAAAGCAAATTCTCGTGATAACATTCTGATTCTGATTCTGAGTCATGAACAACATGATTGAGAGGACGTTAACATACCTGACAGTAGGTCTGAGTTGTTGGAGGCGACTGCAGGACGGCGTCCAGGCTCCCGTCTCCTTGAGGAGCATCGTAGTACTGCCTGCTGTACTGATCCACTCCGAAACTACAACTCCCAGAATACACCTGGGCAGGGTACAGGCTCTGGTTCTGACCCTGCAGCTCCTGTGCTCCCATGATGGAGGATCCGTGCTGGAAGTATCCCAGGATGTCAGGCGAGGAGGAGGAGGTGTCGCTGGCCGAAGTGTCTCCTTGCTCCTTCCTCTGGAAAAGCTCCTCCTCGCTGAGGCCCAGCTGCGACGAAAGGTGGGAAATGTAGTTTATGGTGAGGCGAAGGGTCTCTATTTTGGTCAGGGTCTGTCCTGCAGGAGCCACTGAAGGCGGGAGGTATGAACGAAGATGATGAAGGGCCTTCGTCAGATCCCTCATCCTCATCTTCTCCTTCTCACTGGCACTCTCTCTCTGTTTGCTGCGTATCCGGTTCCCTCGACCCGACTTCCTGCCACGCTTTTCCAGTTTGGAAGAGCTCTGAGGCAGCTGCCGGTAGGACGGGGAGACGCTGGAGTCCAGAGAGGGAGAGAAGGCTTCTGAAGAGGAGATGCTGGAAAGGTCCGAATCGGAGAACCACAGGTTGTAGTTGAGCACTGAAGAAGAGGTATCCATGTTGTGTTGAGGGAGGCTGAGGTTTGACTGAGAGCTGCTGAGCTCCACTGGTATATAAGTGCAGGCCGCAGAGGTGTCACTTCACACCTCTGCTGATTCTCACACACACACACACACACACACACACACACACGCACACACACACACACACACACACACACACACACACACACACACACACACACACACACACACACACACACACACACACACACACACACCACACACACTCTGCCTCTCCACTGTGTCTGGGAACATTCAGCTACCGAAGTGTGACTTTTGACTCCTGCTCAAACAATAAACAGTTTTCCAGCTTTTCTTCAGGGTTCTGTCCCTGCAGCGACCCAGATGCATTCTGCACATGTTTGGGAGACGGGGTTTGTTTTGGATAATCTTACTTCTCCCGCGTTCCCTTTCTCACACTAAAGCCAAGAGACAGTGGTCAGCGAACTGGAGAAAATAATAAGAAAGTGTGGAGAGGTGATAGGCTGCAGATAAACAGCTTTCTATTGTGTTATTCCTGGAGAGATTGATTGATTTGATTTTGTTGTATTGTCATATTGGTTTTATGAGGATTTTTTGAGTTTATTGATGGGAATTATAGTTTATTTTAATCAAGCATTCCCAAACAAAATGGGCTCTCTTCTTTCCAAATGTGCAAATAACATTTGGTACCAGAATAGATAACATTACTGGATCACAACTCATGGGTTTCATAGTCATCAAGTCAACAAAATGAACATACATTTAGTTAATACTGCAGTAAAGGTACATCTGTTATGTACATGAAGACAGGAAAGTAAACCTCATTATCAATTTCACAGAGCTCATCCAAAAACAAAAAAATTGGCCAAAACAATCTAGATAGCAGAAGGTTTCATTACAATGAGTTCTTAACTTTTGACCCAATATAAATACATCTCTTTATTCTGTGCCCCCCCCCCCCCCCCCCCCCCCCCTCTAAAATATAATATGGTATACATTTGGAGACCTGATACCAGCAAATACACATTGATCTTATGAAGCAATGCATTTACATTCACATCATCTCTTCAAAAAGTGCATATATTGAATTACTACGATTAAATTCCAATCTATTCTAAATGACTTTTCTTTCTTTCAATTTGCATCTCTGAAGACCTACCCAGTTTGTGGGTAGAGACATTATTATAGTTAGGGAGTTTGATTGAAGTGAAATGTCTACTGAGTTCGAACATTTTGAGTCTAGCTTCAGGTTTAGTGTACTTTCATGATTCAACTCGGGTTCCCTTGTTTGGAAGTCAATGGTTTTCTGAATGTGTTTTTGGGTGAAATAAGGTCTGTGGTTAAGATACTTTTACGTGAAGTTATGTGACCGTGCTGTAGTTCCTTTATAGCCTAACGTCACAGAGGGGAGTTCATATGTGGAGATTGTCCTGCTGAACAGAACTTGTATCATAAACCTGGTTTGCAATACGACTTATTCTCGGACATGTTCCAAAAACCCAATCAGCTGCTGCTAAAGTGTATCTAGTCCTCATGTCCTTGATTCAGAAGTCTATACAGCAGATTATGATCTTTCTTTACCCTCCTCACTTCACTCTAACCTTGAACCTGGCATCCTGTGTGTTCTCCTCCACTTTATAACCCACATTTTCTCACCAACACAATCATTTAATTATCACAGTGAGTCAGGCTGTGATCTCCGACCCTTCACTTTCTTTATCTTGAATCGTCGATTAAAAACGTCCTCTGCTGCTACTGTTCCTGCTGTATGTGCTTCTGTGGAGGAGCCTGTGTCTCACATGGATGAAATGTAAATGCATTTAATGAAGCATAACGACCTGCATTACCCATGCAGTTAAGCGGAGGCGTGATGGTTTCACGCTGATGAGAACTGATGAGTCCGGAGGCGTCACTTCACACCTCAGCTGTGAGAACGGGAGTGATGCTGGAGTCACTGCTGACCTCCCTCTTCACCCTCTTCACCCGGGGTTTCTCCAGGTAGAAAAAGTGATCCTTTTTAAATCAGAAACTGTGAGTTAACTTTCAGAAAGTCCACCTTTTGTTGCACATTGTTATACTTTAACAAGGACAGCATTGAACTTTGTTGCTTGGTTTGTCAAATGATTTCCTTAAAAAAGAAAGTCAACATTTCTTTATCGAGTCATCTGCCATTTATTTTCTAGATTTATCCATCGATCATTTGGTCTATAAAATGTCATGAAATGCACATGTCCATCTTTGTTTCTCAAAGTCTAAGGTGATGTATTTACATGTTTTGTTTTTCTGTACAAAACCCAATTATATTCACATTTGGATAACATGTCAAATGTATTTAGAAAAAGGTATGCTTTTTGAATCAGAAAATGTGATGTAACTCTCAGAAAGTCCACCTTGTGTTGCTTAAAGCACATGACGGTATTGAACTTTTGCTGCTTGGTTAGGGTTAGGGTTAGGGTTAGGGTTAGGGTTAGGGTTAGGGTTAGGGTTAGGGTTAGGGTTAGGGTTAGCCATTGTTGCCATTTATGTTCTAGTTTTATCCATCAATCATTTGGTCTATACAACGGGAGTGATGCTGGAGTCACTGCTAACCTCTCTATTTACCCTCTTTAGATGTATTTAGAAAAAGTGATGCATTTTAAATCAGAAAATGGGATGTAACTTTCAGAAAGTCCACTTTTTGTTGCTTCAGAGCTCAAACACAGTGTTATAATTTAACAACACTACAACAACTCGAAATCTTGCCAAGTATATTTGTCTGATATCTAGTCAGAATATGTCTCTACACGATATGAGACACAATAACTTCAGAAGTAACAATGCAGTGAGATATCGGGTCTTGTTTTTGGACGATGCATCATCTTGTTGAGTCAAAAAAATTATTTTGAGTCATATCTCAGATGAAACACATATTCTCTTACATATTTATTAGAAAATCACCAACTAACATCAGAAAACTTTGGAGCATTTGCGGCTTATTTTGTAACACAACATTTCCTGATTCTGGTCAAATATAGTTCAACATTTGTTCTCCCAGCTAATCACAAGATCTGATTTATCTAAATATCCCTTCTTATTTCAAGAAAACAGCAATATCTGCCATTTGAGAATGAAACAATTACTTTGTTGATGAATGATTATCAAAATCAACTTAAAAATCGATGTTGTCTAATGAAAGAGTCAACTTGTGGTTACAGCATGTTCGGTATTCATCTTGTTAATCAAATCATGGTAACGTCACCTGTCATAAAACCAATCATTCCTCAAGTCAGATTCTTCTGATCTCACTTCATATGAAACACAACCACTTTTTGGGCTCAGTATAAAGAAAATATATCATCGTCCCTGATGGACGGCTGAGGAGCACAACAAATATTGTGTAAAACCAAACGTTGAAACACAAAACTGTCCTAAATGCAAATTGTTTAGTTTTTATTCAGGGTTTCCTTTAGCTTGCCGCCTCCTTGAGTTTCTTTGACCAGAAATATGAAACCCTGCCAGCTCAAGGGACAACACACATACATTGAATTATGAAAATACATATAATAATACGTTTATTTAGAATAGCACCTTTCACAGAAATACATTCACAAAGTGCTTCACAAGAAAGAACAAAGTTAAAATGAAGACCACAGAAACATGAATACAACAACAACACGAGGCAGAAATGTAAGGTTAACATAAAAACAAAACACAGACCACGCAGAGTCCCAAAAGGAACAAACAGAACAAATCACATCTCACGTAAAAACAAAAGCCATTGTAAAAAGATTGGTCTTCATGTGTGTGTACAGTAATATGACTGAGTGGGCACCCTAAACAGATAAGTGTGCTGTGTCAGTGTGAGGTCAGGGTGAACTGGGGTTGAACCAGTGAGCTAACCTCACCAGGCTGAGGCTGTGGGATCTGTCTGACCGGGAGTTTAGCACCTCTGGGTGGAGGCTCCCCCCCCCACAGGCTCCGAATCTGGGCCACCTGCCACCTGTCTGCCCCTCCAAACTCTATCAAACCCACTATGACCTCCAGGGAGCCCCCTCTGCGGGGACAACATCTTAATGACTCCTGTGGGGACATTGGGTTGGCGTCATGGAAAACATTAATACAGCAAAGACAAAAAAACATTACAGAGAATAAATACCAATACTGTCATTGCAAAACCCTCTCTGCTATCACATGTGCAATATTATTATTATCAACACTATTTTAAAATAACGTGCAATTACGTATCTGCCACTACGTCTTTTGCACTGCTAAATACTGTTAATATTTAGTGTACAGTTTTACTATTATGCTGCTGTGTTTATTCTATTTGTGTAACTCTGGCGCAACAATTTCCTTTAGGATAAATACATATTATGTTATATATATATATCCCATATCTTATCTCTCTTATCCTATTTTATTAGACTTCCAGATTATTCCACTTTGTTATATCTAATGTTCCATTTTAACCTCTAGCTTTTTTAATGAGTGTTTTTACATTTATATAATGTTATTTAATAATACTATATGTTGCTGTAGCACCATGTATTAATGCTTTTAACTAATAAAGTAATTTGTATTGCCTTGTGTTGCTGTAAGAATAGACTTGCCTTGATTTATAATTGGGATATATGACAAAAAAGGGGAGAAAATACAAATGCAATGGCATGAAAGCAGCATGGGATCAGAGGATTCAGCCTCTTCCAGTTTCATATTTTCATTGATTATGCATTCCAGGATTTGAATAACCCCTAGAGGTCTCCTCATCTCCAAAAGAGACGCTCCAAGGACTGACACAGATTAAAATACTGAATATTGCAACCTGTCCAACAGGGCGGTTTCTTCCTATAGGCGGACTATGCAGATGCATAGGGCCCCCGCGGCCACTAGGGGGCCCCCAAGCTGAAAGTTCAGGTTCAGCCTCAATATATTTGGGGAGAATTTAAATTAGCCATCTTTATTTGTAGACAGCCAAGCCCCCTCCTGTGTTCGGTGAAGCATTATATGCTTAAAAATCAAATATAGGATATAAACACAACTAAACTGCAATGATAGCAAAGCTGTGGCTTGTGTTTTTGGGGTAATACATTCCAAGGAAGGAAGAGGAAAAAGGTAAATGTAACATTGTTGAGAAAATGCTGCATCTCTTGCATTTATGCATAGAAATAGAGGAGCCTTATTGTTTACCTTTTTTAATATCATTTTTTGTAAGTTTCAATTGCTGGGTTTTTGTGAAATTAGCCTGTTTTCCTCTTAAAGTGTAACAGATTGATGCTTCTCCACAGATCATCTTAAAGGCTTCGGAATCCCCCCCCTTGTAGTTAAAAAACTAGGGCCCCCAAACAGCATCTTGCACAGGGCCCCCAAAAGGCTAGAAACGGCCCTGCTGTCCAAGTTAACAAACAAGTGTTATCACAAAAGAAGCTTGTTTATCTCGGAGGGGCTGGAAGATGAGGGAGTTGCTTACATTAGCTTAGCTTGTTCCTCTGATAACTTATGATTAAGACGTTAAGTAGAATTTGACTGGGTGCTGATTTATCTGCAGAGGTCTCCTCCTCTCCAAAACTTTAGACATGGTGATCAAAACTGCACAAACACGGAATAACATGGTTTCAAGTTTAAAATCAGTGTTGGAATAAGAGGGAGGCTAACTAGCTCAAGGCTAACGTTAGCTTAGCTTGTTTCTATGATAACTTAATATCCTGACCTCCAATAACTACATTTATCCATCCTGTTAATTATTATACCTGAAAACAACTAAGATCAGAAAAGTTTATGGTAAAAATGTGGGTTGAAACTGGAAAAAGTGTGAATTTATGAGGGCTACTAGCAACACAATGCTAACAGAGATACATTGAATCACAATTGTACACATTTCTCTATGTTTAAAAATGGTTGGAAACATTTTGGATAATGTAAACTAAAAACTCCCCAAAAATATATGCAAGGTATAGTTTTTAAACATGTTGTAATGGTAATGTTATATATATTACTGTTGATGAGGCTAAAATAATGTTATTTTAGATAAGTGTGACGAGATTCATCTTAACTTGTGTGGTATGCTTCACTGTGTGTGTGTGTGTGTGTGTGTGTGTGTGTGTGTGTGTGTGTGTGTGTGTGTGTGTGTGTGTGTGTGTGTGTGTGTGTGTGTGTGTGTGTGTGTGTGTGTGTGTGTGTGTGTGTTTGTGTGTGTCTGGGGTGGCAGGTGAGGGAGACAAATTCTGCACCCTAGGTGTGAAACATAGCTGGAACCGGAGGGGTCGGCCAGAGGTGGGCTGTAAATTTCCTCTAATTGTAAGACAGTGACATTCGCAGAACTTAACAAAATCCACCAGAGAAAAACTTAATAAATAAAATAAATAATACATCTTATCATTTAATTTTGTATTGTTAATTCTCTATTCCACTTTTTAAAGTATTTAAAGTATTGTATTATAAAGTCTGAACACACTTCTGCTTCTGTGACAAAATAATTTCCCAAAATGGGATCAATACAGTATCTATCCATATATCTATCTATCTATCTATCTATCTATCTATCTATCTATCTATCCATATATCTATCTATCTATCTATCTATCTATCTATCCATCTATCTATCTATCTATATATCTATCTATCTATCCATCTATCTATCTATCTATCCATATATCTATCTATCTATCTATCTATCTATCTATCCATCTATCTATCTATCCATATATCTATCTATCCATCCATCTATCCATATATCTATCTATCTATCTATCCATCTATCTATCTATCTATCTATCCATATATCTATCTATCTATCCATCTATCTATCTATCTATCCATATATCTATCTATCTATCCATCTATCTATCTATCTATCTATCTATCTATCTATCTATCTATCTATCTTTCTATCGAAAGGAATTCAAATACAATAAAGTGCTGAAAAAGGAAGAAAGGGGCACGAAATACATGTTGATAATATTCCATTATTTCTGACCTAAATCTAAGTTAATCAGCCTAAATGTACCCAAGTCAAGTTAGATAATATTAAATAATGGTCTTTAATGATCTTGTATTGGTTGCCCTTTAGTTTGACATGCAGGTGAAGCTGGTGGACGGATCAGCGGAGAGTCTTTCACACCTCGGCCAGAGTAAACACATCCTCCTACTGCTCACACTTCTGTGCTTTCTGTGTTTATACAACCTGCCCCCCCGACACACAGCTGCCACTGACATGGGAACATCATCCGCTCACTGCCACCATAACTGAAATATTATCATGTTTTACAGCCAGAGTGATGAATAAGCAGAAAATAAGATTAATAATAACAATACATGTGATTTATATAGTATAGCACGTTTCCTGGTGCTCAAAGCACTTAGATCAGTCTTGAAAAATAAATATGAAATCAGATTAAATACAATTACAAGTGTAATCTTGCTTCTTGCATTACCCCAACAATATTCAAATTTGTGTCAATTAAACACTTTTTATGATAAGTAAAATAAAAATTGGCATTCATCTTCTAAACTTAATGTTGGCATTGAAGCAAGTAAGTGCTCTTGCCAACATGTTGAACTATTCTTTTGGATGTGGACGGACAACTGTAAAAACGTGTAATTCATGATAAAGAAAATGTGTAGAGGACGTTACCATAACTGTGGTCCTCAAGAGATGTAAAGATGTCAAGGCGGATTGAGCGGAAAACACTTTAAATGTCCTCTTAAAGAAAGTTGAAAACACATTAGATGAATAGATTTAATCAATTACTAACCCCATGTTACCCGATATTCTTGTAGAAAATAATAATGTTTTTGTATGCCTCCACAGAGAAAGGTCTTTAGAACATTTGAAGTATTCAGGTTATGCAGGGTGAGTATTGGAAAACAAATGATGATTTTGGGAATGAGATATTGTTTAAAGGACCATTTAAAACTCAAAGTGTTTCATTGCACATTCAGCATGAATTATAAACCAGGAAACTGTATAAGCCCTCAGCTTTATTCAAGTCATGACGGAGCTACTATTTTACAACCGATATCCACAGGTCTACAGTATGTACAACAACAAATACAGTAGTGGTAGTCAGACTATCGTGTAAATTCACAGACATGTGGATAACAACCGCACACACAAACACACACAGCTCAGTCACGCCAACAAAACATAACATGCTCCTTAGAAATCTTGACACATGTTGTCAGAAATGCAGCAGGTTCTGTAAAACAGTTCTTCGGCAGAACATTCAAATGAGAGCATCATATCAAAACATCTAATTTCACTTATTTAGAAAAGAAAAATCAATAAACAAACAGTTCCTTATTTGATGTCATGGCAAGATGTGACAGATATTCTACGTTTTCACCACTCATAATCACAGCTCTACTTTAACAAACACACACAACGTGTTTTCGAGGGACAAGAAGGAGGAGAATCCAGTCCGCTGTTCCAATAAAATACAAATAAATAACTCCTACATTTCATTAAAGGTGGGGTAGGTAAGTTTGAGAAACCGGCTCGAGATACACTTGTTGTTATATTCCATGGAATGCTCTTAACATCCCGATAGCAATGAATATCTGAAATGCTTTGACAAAAAATCCATTATGAAATCTCATCCGTGGAAGCCGTGGCGCTGTAAAAAGCTCGACCAATCATCTAAGCCGGCTAAAGTAACTGGATGGCCTACCTGCCTGTCAGCCTTCCATCTGGGCACAAACTTATCTCGTGCCCTCATTGGTCATGTGCGCGTTCGTGTGTGTTGGAGGAGGGAAGGAAGGAAGGAAGGGGCAGATTTCTTCCGGCTGTGTATTTTCAAATTCTAGCGCACTCGAGCTGCTTTCTCCAAAATGACCTACCCCACCTTTAAATGGTCAATCCAGGTTTAAGTCTGAGCAACAACATGTGGACTAAAGAAGACTATACACACAGGACGGACAGAATAAATAACGTCTGGTGAACAAAAGAGGTGTTTTCTCGGAATAACAACTGTGATATTGCTGCTGAGACTCGGCGAAAATACAACGGGATTCAAATCCAATTCGACTATAAGTCCTTCCTTTTTCGTATCCAGCGGGGGAATGAAATGAAAGCACAACATGGTAACATGAACTACCTTTCAAGTACACACATCTCTTATTCTGTTACACAAACCTCAAACAAAACACATGTTGCTACAGTGTGTGTGTGTGTACACTGAAGTGCATTATGTCAACAACTTTCCCATAATTAGGTTATTTAAAAGCAATCATATTAAGTTGAACCTATTTAAATGATTGTTTTCAGCTAACCTAATACAGTTATGTGGAGTTTGTTGACATAATACATTTAATTAAAATCAACGCTTTAGTTTTATCAGTGTGGAGGACGGAGAGTAAATGATAAAAAGGAACCACTAGTTTTTTTTAACAGGAGCCTGAGGAGCTCACAGAGGGAATAGAAAGCAACCACAGGTTCACGTAGGCAACCAGACAGGTTTTCAATTTTTTTAAATTATAACACAGCAACCAATTCAGTTGAAGCTGATACACTTTCCCAAAAAGCTTTCCTCATAGCGATACAGCGGTGGATGCTGCAGGAGTTTGGCTGTTCACTGGAGGATTTTCTCCCGAGTTTCCGGCAGCTTCAGGGCGACCAAACCTCCGCAGACGAGCGAAGCGAAGGCCAAGAAGATCGGGACTATCTTCGTGATGCCGATGAATTTGGCGAAGATGAAGCTGGCGAGGATGGCGGCAAACTTACAGATCCCGTTCAGGATACCGAACGCCGTCCCTCTGCAGAGACACAGAGCAATATTACCGAGTGCCAGAGATGGCAAAAGTACACACATCCTTTACTCAAGTCAAAGTAAAGAGGCTTTGAAATGTACTTCAGTAAAAAGTACCCATAACTAGCAGCTGTTTTAAAGAGTACCTGACCTCCCTTTATATGAATAGAACTATAATGTCATTGTTAGCTAATGAATGTTTCCATGCTGAACAACGGCAACATGACAACGTTTCCATTGGTCCCTCTTCTTTAGAGAAGACCAGGAAATGATGGATACACGGATCGTGTTCAAATCAATAGGCACGCAATGACTCTAAAGAATAATGATCACGCATCAAACACACATTCAAACTAAAGGAACCAGCTGTTTGGAAAATGAGAGAAGTAGAAAGTACAGGTATTTGAGTTCAACATGTAAGAAGTAGAAAGTACAGGTATTTGGGTTCAACATGTAAGAAGTAGAAAGTTCAGGTATTTGAGTTCAACATGTAAGAAGTAGAAAGTACAGGTATTTGAGTTCAACATGTAAGAAGTAGAAAGTACAGGTATTTGAGTTCAACATGTAAGAAGTAGAAAGTACAGGTATTTGAGTTCAACATGTAAGAAGTAGAAAGTACAGGTATTTGAGTTCAACATGTAAGAAGTAGAAAGTACAGGTATTTGTGTTCAACATGTGAGAAGTAGAAAGTACAGGTATTTGAGTTCAACATGTAAGAAGTAGAAAGTACAGGTATTTGTGTTCAACATGTAAGAAGTAGAAAGTACAGGTATTTGAGTTCAACATGTGAGAAGTAGAAAGTACAGGTATTTGAGTTCAACATGTAAGAAGTAGAAAGTACAGGTATTTGTGTTCAACATGTAAGAAGTAGAAAGTACAGGTATTTGTGTTCAAAATGTAAGAAGTAAAAGTAAAAAGTCGTCAGAAAAATAAGTAATGGAGTAAAGTACTGATAGCAGAAACATGTACTTAAGAACAGTAACGAAGTATTTGTACTCCACTACTTCCCACCTCTGCCGAGTGCTGATTTCAACATGTTTTCACAGTGCAAGTCATTATTTCCCTCCTTGGTGAGAAAGATTCAGACTCATGAATATAAAAAGATTATATTGCAAGAAAGGAAAAGTTCTAGGTGTGCTGGACGAAATGAATAAGCGCCTCGTATCAGATGACCTGTTGTCTTTGTACAGTTGAATGAGATTTTCTTTTAAATTCTCAGCCAGGAGAAAGGGCAACGTTTCCCTGGATCTTTGGTGCAAGAGGGTTGGGCCATAGAAAAAGAAGTAGAAGTGACATTAAACTATTTGCCGTGTTGTTTGGTTGTCAATGCATACTCTTCATACTCCTGAAACAACGCTAACTTGTATCGGTCATAACCAGCCACATGGCTTCAGATGTTAAACGGTTGTTGTTCCTTTTTACGGTTGTTTCCTGTTTTTAGGTCACAGTTTATTATTTTTTACAAGCATTTATCTCTATTTTGACATGATTGCTTATATTTGTTCTGCTCTTATTCTATCTCTTTATGAAGCATCATGACTTTGAAAACTTTTTACAAACCATTCTCTTGTTAGCTGTACACGAATCACTGGTTTAGCTAACAGTTCAATATCACTCTTGAACACATTTAAAACAACCTCAGTTGACCAAGGGAACAAAAACAATATATAATAATTAGGGCCGGGACTTTAACGCGTTAATTAAGATTAATTAATTACACAAAAATTAACGCATTTTAATCGCACTTATTTTTGCACCGCGGAACGTTTCTCACTGGATGAGTTTCAGGCGTACCGATTATACTGGAGCACCAACTAACGTTCATGACTTCAGACAACAACAAACCACAGTGAACAACAGTGGGAAATGTTGTTTTAAAAAACGGACGGATGGAAGCGTCGATAAGAGCACGGTTGTGTGCAAATTATGCAAAAAGGAATTCGCATATCACCGCAGCACACCAAGCCTCAAGTATCACCTCAATGCAAAACATATAGCAGCTAGCGTGGAAGCTAGCGTGGACGTTAGCCTCTTTTATCGCGTTCACACCAAAAAGAGCCGGTACTAAAATTAGTTCATGAGAACCTTTTTACCCCCACGAAAGTCCCTGCTAGAGAGCAGAGAGCTGCTAGAGAGCAGGGACTTTCGTACGGCTCTCTTGTGAGAAAAGAGCTATATTTCTGATTGGCTGGGCGGATTGCAAACCACGCCCCGTAAAACTCCCAAAAAGTTTTGTGAAGCCGCCATTTTATTATCCTCGCATTAGCATTATTAGCATTAGCATTATCCCAGCGCAGAAACGCAGAGAGACTAACTTATGGCAACACAAAATAAAACATGGGAGCGGTGGAGATGAGGAGGTGTCGGCGTTCTGGCGATTTACTCGGAAGGCTGCTGGGACTCCCAGCAGCTTCTACTGAAGCCAGTCCCCAACTCCGGGGACTTCCGGCCGGGGACTTTGGGCGGCAGTATACGCCGTGAAGTGGTTTGCGGCCTGCCAGTAAACCCAAAGCAGAAGAAGAAGAAGTGACGTCAGCGGCTTCATTTGCCTAATCCTCCCCCAGGTTCAAAGAGTTCTCATGAACTAAATTCTCATGAACCTTTGTGGGAAAAGTACTGCGGTGTGAATGCGCCTAATGGTATACTAAAATCCATGCGAAAAAAATTGCTTCTCACTGTTCTTAGGTCAAATATTTATATGTGATTAAAAATGCGATTAATTTCGATTAATTCATTACAAAGCCTCTAATTAATTAGATTAATTTTTTTAATCGAGTCCCGGCCCTAAAAATAATACAATAGTAGTAAGATAATAAAACAATAATTAAAAACAAGATAACAACATATAGAAATGTCTAAATGTCATGTTCAACTAGCATTAAGATTGAGATTGAGCTAACAGTTAATTAGCAGAAACACTTAGGGAAGTTGTAGAGACAATATTGGAGAAGATTGGACTGGATCTCTGGATCTAATGATGTTCGATACATAACGGTTTTTGCACTAAATACTGTAAATATTTACATTAATTATGTGACCATCCATGTTTCCTGTAATTATTGAATTGCTCTTTTTACCGCACTGTTAGTGTACAGTTGTATTATTTTTGTGCTGCTGTGTTTATTGTATTTTTGTAACTTTGGCACAACAATTTCCTTCGGGATGAATAAAGTCTTATCTTATCTTATATGTTCCCGTTGGGATAGTTGTACTTTACCTTTTGGCGGAGGGGTAGAGCTCCACAGAAATGACCTGTAAGCCGTTCCAGGCCGCCACGCTGGTGCCGTAGAAGAGACACTGCCAACATATTACCGCTCCTTGACTGAAACTCAGCAGCAGCAAGAAAGTACAGGCGGCCGACGCCAACATAGAACCACCTGGAAACACAGATTCAGATTTTTGTCAAAAACAACACTTAAAAAACCCTCTAAAATGCTGCAGGATTTAGCTCTGAAACCTGGAAATGTGATAGCACTTTAGCACGTTCTGTTCCCCCATCTGGACGTTTGTTTGTTGTTGTCAGCCTGAAATAAGGTCTGTGGTTAACACAAGCTACTACTTAAAGTTTGTCAGTAAATACCCCACTGTTGAATTTAAAAACGGAGTGAAAAAGTGTCTAAATGAGACGACTAAACGTCATCACGTCCAACATCAGCCGCCTTTAGCTTAGCGGTGGTGACGTGAGGTCATGTAACCGTGCTGTAGTGCCTTTATAGCCCAACATTAGCCGCCTTTAGCTTAGCGGTGGTGACGTGAAGTCATGTGACCGTGCTGTAGTTCCTTTATAGCACAACATTAGCCGCCTTTAGCTTAGCGGTGGTGACGTGAAGTCATGTGACCGTGCTGTAGTGCCTTTATAGCCCAACATTAGCCGCCTTTAGCTTAGCGGTGGTGACGTGAAGTCATGTGACCGTGCTGTAGTTCCTTTATAGCCCAACATTAGCCGCCTTTAGCTTAGCGGTGGTGACGTGAAGTCATGTGACCGTGCTGTAGTTCCTTTATAGCCCAACATTAGCTTCCTTTAGCTTAGCGGTGGTGACGTGAAGTCATGTGACCGTGCTGTAGTTCCTTTATAGCCCAACATTAGCCGCCTTTAGCTTAGCGGTGGTGACGTGAAGTCATGTGACCGTGCTGTAGTTCCTTTATAGCCCAACATTAGCCACATTTAGCTTAGCGGTGGTGACGTGAAGTCATGTGACCGTGCTGTAGTTCCTTTATAGCCCAACATTAGCCACATTTAGCTTAGCGGTGGTGACGTGAAGTCATGTGACCGTGCTGTAGTTCCTTTATAGCCCAACATTAGCTTTTTACTTCAATAATCATAAAGTGGTGTTAATATGTGGAGATTATCCGGTTTAACAGAAAGTTTAAGCGTCATAAATGTTCGACACAGAGTTTATATTCTGAAATGTTCCAAAATCCAATGTAAAAATCCCTTGCTTGCGATGCTAACTATAATGTGTTTCTTCCACATGATGATCTCACCTATAATTCGTATCCTTCCTATCTTGTCCATGAACAAAGCAGAGAGGATGTTCCCCGGTAAGACGGCCAGACTCCCCAGGAAGCTGACCATATATATTACGATGTCGTTTTCCTCCAGGAAGTTCAGGTGGCAGCCTTTCTTCGGGTGGAGGAAGGTGGTGTTCTCCATCTTGCAGTCTTTAAACTTCTCCTCCCAGAGGTCTGCAGAGAACACAGGGATATTAAAGGATAAACATTTTTGATTTACATTGTAAACTAATTATTGTAACTCTTAGAGCTGCATGATTAACATATTTGCAAAGTATTAATACTTTTTATTTAATTTCTCATTTATGGCAGCATTAAAGTTTCAAACTATATATTTTTTTTTATTTGAACTAAATCAACATTTCTGGCTGAAGCTGAGAGCAGCAAAGTTACTGAAATATTTTGTAACAAACTATCATCATAATATCCAGATTTATTTATCTCGCAACCGTGAGTTAAACTTTTTTTTTAAATAAAATACATCCAATGAATTGTGGATATTTACCATTAACACATCAAAGCTATTTGTTTTGTTTCTCTAATATAAAATCAAACCAAACAAAGATCCCACAAAATGAATATTTTTCCATCCATTACCTTCAGTTAACTGTTTATTTTGTCTTTTATAAGTACATTTATTGAGCCATAAACTTTAAGAAATCCACGTAAAGTAAAAGTCATATTAAAATGTTTTTACTAATTCTGCATGGTACCTGTGTTATAGAAGACGGTGTTTTTGATGGTGCAGTTCTCAAAGAAGGTGTTGGTGGACCTGACATCCTCAAAGTAGCAGTTTTCAAACAGAGAATCCTCGAACTTCACAGACTTAATCTCAATGTTTGCAAACCTGAATGAAAGGAAAAGGAATCTCATCAAACATAAACCTAATGTGCAGGGGCGGTTCTAGGGGGGGGGCTTAACCGGGGCCAGTGACCCCGTAACACTGACCAGGGAACCCCCTGTGGCCCCCCTCCAAAAAAAAGGTTACAATATTACGATTTATTGGAACTAAATAAAATCAGAGACCCGGATGTACAGTGGAGATTAAACTGTCCATTACCTTATAATAGCAAATACTGTTTATGTTTTTTAATTAAATTGTAACTTAAATGTACTGAAACAAATACCTCTACAAAAACAAATACCAATTACTGTATTTTATGTTTATTTTACACAATTACTTTATACTGTCTTTGTCTTTTTAACCCGCTTTTATTGTGCCCTTCTCATGAAATAACTGACCCCACCCAGCCTGGCCCCCCCAGTAAAATTGGTCAAGAGCCGCCACTGCTAAAGTGACTTTAAAGATCTCCTATTATACAATTTTTAGGCATATATAGGTCTCAGATATATAAAAAAACATGTCTTTGATGTGTTTTGCTAGAAAACACCAAACAGATCACCCATTCTAGCCTCATGCCTCATACTCCTCTATTTAAAATGCTGATTTAGCTTTTTAAAAAAAATAATAATAGGGGGTGGAGCCAATGCCTGCTCAGAATTCTACCGGCAGATTCCCAGCTAAATGCTGCCGTGATTAAACGACATATCATGTTCCAAACCACATCAAGGATTATTTCTGAAACAGTATGGAGCTCAAACTCTTTCTCTCTCTCAGGTTTATCACAAGGTGAGTTCCTTTTTATTTTCTGCTTTTTTACACATGCTCTCTCCAGTAGAGGTTAGCTCTGAGTGTTAGCGATGCTAATGTAAACAAAGACCATATTACGTCTAAAACACGTCAGGCATTGTTTTTGATAGCAAAGTTTCTGATAGGGCCGTGGGTCTAAAGCCCGCCCACATTTCAGATATTACGTCATATCGGACGCCAATCTGGATCATCTCCGTTGTAGTCCCGTTTTTAAAAGATTTGGGTACGGAGGAAAAGAGAGAGGGTTTTATTTTCTGACACTTCGTGAGTTCCCTGACACACCGGGGACACATAGTTATGTAGAAAAGACATCACAAAGTGCATTTTGCATGATAGGAGACCTTTAAAGGGCAAATGTAATATGAATATATGCAGTATGTTAGGGACGGAGAGTAGGAAACGTACTTGTCGTGGATGTACTCGCCCTCGCGGTGGATCTGGTTGACTAAAGAGAAGTTGAAGTGGAAGCGTTCGACTCGTTCTCGGTGAAACACTCGGACCTTGGACTCGTACTCTTCGTACTGCATGTATTTGATCATATCAGGAAACCACACTCCCAGCCCGTGGTAGCTGAAGCACAGAGAAACATAAACAAACTAAATAACCTTCATATATACACTTTTACACTTCTATACTTAAGCAAAATAAACAAAAACAATATTAAAATCTAGATATTATCAAGTGAGAAAACCTCTTTTTGTGATTTGGACATTTTACATTTCCAGTGACTAGTATAAGAATATCCACCCATATACTTAAAATACATGATTCGAATGAATATCCACCAGTAGGGATGTAAAAGTATTATATTAGGATATTTATGCCTTAAATCTCAACGATATAGTGCATATTATATTATATTATATATGTAGTATCATGGTATATAAGGGTATGAAAATGTACGGTTATCATGCGGTGCTCATTTGCTCAGTATTTCTTATAACTGACTCATAACTTGGATTTTAAGTTGAAGGTACACATGTTGTAAGGTCCTAGCCAGCAAGTTCATTTTTTGTCATCATTCTGATATTCCTGTTTTATTTTGTTTCTCACCTCTCCTCTCATTTCAGTGTCACCACTTCCTTCCTGTGATTGAACCCCACCTGTGTAACCATCCCTAATTAGTCTCACCTGTGTCCCGTTATCATCCCCCCCATCTGTATTTAGTCTGTGTTCACATTCCCCTCAGTGCCAGTTCATCTTTGTTCTTTCCAGCAGTACTTTCTTTCTAGTATTTAGTTTCCACGTGTACCTGACCCTGTTCCGGCCTCGCCTGTTTTGGTTTCCTTCCTGAGTGACCTACCGTGTACCGAACCTTTGCTTGTATAGACCTTCTTTGTAACCGAAGCCTCTGTCCCTAAGTCGTGCTATTGAGTCCTCTACTTGTGTTCACTCAGTCGTTACACTTGTGGATTATTCAAAGTCATATGACGTGTTTTAAAGAGCTACCTGAAGGCCAGGCAGAACCAGACGATGAGCAGGAAGAGGCCCTGCAGCCGGAGCTCAGCGGCAGAGAGCGACATGATGTTAGCCATCACCTGAAACACACACACAGGTAGATAAGGTCTGCAGAACTACACATGCAGTTTAAGTCATGCAGTCATAACATGATAAAAGACCTACACTTGTAATGATTCTGTTTGACTTTCTATTGGGTACCAGTCCCTGACAAAATTGTCAAGACTTCCTTTTAACACATTGGATAACGGTTTTTCAAATGATGCTCAAATATAATTACACTATTTGTGTAATATTGTGAGGTGTGCATTTACATGTGTCTGTGGTCAAAATAAGAGTCTAATCCCAGAACTAAATGATACAGATTTAGTGGTATCCATCCCAAATGCTTCCTGGGAAAAGGTTCAAATGAGGGCGCAACCACATACCAGGATAATATTTACATAGATGAGATCACATGTGTTATGTCGATACAAGTAAGTGCTATAATGTATGAAGTGCAGACCTGCTGCAGCATGGTCATGTGACGGACGGTCCAGCGCTGGAAAGCCGTCCCCGTGTCGCTCTGGATCTCGATGAAATCGTCCTCCTCAGTCTGTGGAGTCTTGATGTTGGTCGCCTTCACCAAAAAGAGAGGAGTTTGGATATGAACACAGTGATAACCTCCCGGTATGTCGACATACATGCTTATATTATTCTATCTCTTTGTGAAGCTTTCATTTCAGTCCAACACGATAAATAATACGTCATTGTGAGATAAAGTCGAGCATTTGAACTTTATATATGAACTATTTTAGATTAAGAAATTAGAGTTTTGGAAAAATAAATAGTCTTTTACTATCATGTGACCGAGAGAGAGGGAACGTCATGTGACCGAGAGAGAGAGGGAACGTCATGTGACCGAGAGAGAGAGGGAACGTCATGTGACCGAGAGAGAGAGGGAACGTCATGTGACCGAGAGAGAGAGGGAACGTCATGTGACCGAGAGAGAGAGGGAACGTCATGTGACCGAGAGAGAGAGCGAACGTCATGTGACCGAGAGAGAGAGGGAACGTCATGTGACCGAGAGAGAGAGGGAACGCCATGTGACCGAGAGAGAGAGGGAACGTCATGTGACCGAGAGAGAGGGAACGTCATGTGACCGAGAGAGAGGGAACGTCATGTGACCGAGAGAGAGGGAACGTCATGTGACCGAGAGAGGGAACGTCATGTGACCGAGAGAGAGGGAACGTCATGTGACCGAGAGAGAGGGAACGTCATGTGACCGAGAGAGAGGGAACGTCATGTGACCGAGAGAGAGGAAACACGTTTCATGCCAACCTCTTTCATTTATAATGCTATTATTGGGTACCAGTCCCTACAAATATCTTCGAGACATTGAATAACAGTAGATTGAAGCTTTGATTGCTTTTAAATTGTCTATTGTTTTTTACTTGCACTTGTTTTATGGTGTGTGAGCTGAGCTGTGTGATACTTGTGTTTATTTTACAGAACTTTGGTATGGAGGTTTTAAAGTTCTTTATAAATAACGGTGTATTGTAACAAAAGAACAAATCATTAAATATATAGATTTTAAACCGATTTAATGAAAATCTGAAAAGGTAAATAAATCTATTAAAAGTCTTACCGTGAAAACTCTCTCTGGTTCCCCCTTTGCCTTCCAGTTGGTGTCGTGAACTCGCCTGAGAACCATCCACGCTTCATCATGTCGAGCAGCCTGAAACACAAACAAATAAACACGTTTTTATTTAGCTTTGGAGGTCGAAGAAGTACTCAGATCTTGTTCTTGACTAAAGTAGAAGAATTCAGATCTTGTTCCTGAGTAATAGTAGAAGTACTCAGATCTTGTACTTGACTAAAGTAGAAGTACACAGGTCTTGTACTTGAGTAAAAGTAGAAGTACTCAGATATTGTGCTTGAGTAAAAGTAGAAGTACTCAGATCAGGTACTTGAGTAAAAGTAGAAGTACTCAGATCTTGTACTAGAGTAAAAGTAGAAGTACTCAGATCTTGTACTTGAGTAAAAGTAGAAGTACTCAGATCTTGTACTTGAGTCAAAGTAGAAGTACTCAGATCTTGTACTTGAGTCAAAGTAGAAGTACTCAGATCTTGTACTTGAGTCAAAGTAGAAGTACTCAGATTACATTACATTACATTGCATTTAGCTGACGCTTTTATCCAAAGCGACAATGCTACAATAAGTGCGTTCGACCAACAAAATACAAACTTGAAGAAAACAGAATCATAAAGTACATCAGGTTTCATAGAGCAAAAACATTTCAAGTGCTACTCAACTGGCTTTAGGTAAGCCAGTCCTTTATTAGTATAAAAGTGCTTTGTTAATAGTTCTATCGCTCGAAGTGGAGTCGAATGAGATGAGTTTTCAGTTTGCGCCGGAAGATGTGCAAGCTATCTGCTGTCCTGATGTCAATGGGGAGCTCATTCCACCATCTTGGAGCCAGGATAGCAAACCCACGTGTTTTCGCCGAGGGGAACTTGGGTCCCCCTCGCAGCGAGGGTGCAGCGAGTCGTTTGGCTGATGCAGAGCGTAGTGCACGCGCTGGGGTGTACGGTTTAACCATGTCCTGGATGTACGAAGGGCCAGATCCATTCGCAGCATGGTAAGCAAGTACCAGTGTCTTGAAGTGGATTCTAGCAGTTACCGGAAGCCAGTGAAGGGAGCGGAGGAGCGGAGTGGTGTGGGAAAATTTAGGAAGGTTGAAGACCAGACGAGCCGCTGCATTCTGGATGAGCTGCAGAGGTCGGATGGCACATGCAGGTAGACCAGAGGGAGTTGCAGTAGTCTAGGCGTGAGGTGACGAGAGCCTGGACCAGAACCTGCGTCGCTTTCTGAGTCAGCTGGGGACGTATCTTCCTGATGTTGTAAAGCATGTATCTGCGGCAACGGGTTGTAGCAGCGATGTTTGCAGTGAAGGACAGGTTGTTATCTAGGGTCACACCCAGATTCCTTGCAGTCTGAGTCGGGGAAACAACAGAGGTGCCGATGTTGATTGTTAGGTCAAGAGTGGGACAATCTTTTCCCGGGAGGAAGAGCAGCTCAGTCTTGTCAAGGTTGAGCTTGAGGTGGTGAGCGGACATCCACTGAGAGATGTCAGCTAGACAAGCAGAGATGCGTGCGACGACCTGGGTCTCTGAGCGGGGGAAGGACAGAATTAATTGGGTGTCGTCAGCGTAGCAGTGGTAAGAAAAACCATGCGGGCTAATGACTGATCCGAGCGAGTTTGTGTACAGGGAGAAGAGGAGGGGACCAAGAACAGAGCCCTGAGGGACCCCTGTAGTTAATTGACAAGGGTCGGACTCAGACCCTCTCCAAGTCACCCTGTAGGTACGGTCTTTCAGGTATGAGGTGAGGAGGGAAAGAGCAGAGCCTGAAACTCCAAGTTTTTGGAGAGTGCGAAGGAGGATCTGATGATTCACCGTGTCGATCTTGTACTTGAGTAAAAGTAGAAGTACTCAGATCTTGTACTTGAGTGAAAGTAGAAGTACTCAGATCTTGTACTTGAGTAAAAGTAGAAGTACTCAGATCTTGTACTTGAGTAAAAGTAGAAGTACCAGAGTGTAGGAATACTCTGTTACAGTAAAAGTCCTGCATTCAAAATGTTCCTCAAGTGAAAGTATAAAAGTATTCTCATCAAAATATAGTGAAAGTAGCGACAGTGAAAGTAGTCGTTGTGCAGATTGGTCCATTTCAGAATAATATATATGATATGTTTTATAATGATTGATCATGAAAGTGTTCTCAAAGCTGGTCAAGGTGCAGCTAGTTTGAATGGCTTTGTATACTGCAGGGTAGCTGGTGGATTTACTCCAGGTGGAACTAAAGTCTGATTCAACACTTGATTATATTTCACATCATTCATCCACATCTGTGAAGTAACTGAAGGTATTAAATACATGTAGTGGAGTAAAAGTACACCATGTACCTCTGAACTGTACTGGAGTCGAATTACACAGTAGCATAAAATGGAAATACTCAAGTAAAGTAACAGTATGTCAAATTGTACTTAAGTAAATGTACTGAGTTACTTCCCACCTCAGCTGTTCTTCCCAAAAGCACTAAAACCAGTTGAGTTGTTCCCATGAGGTCTGCTGCCTCTTATCAGATGGGGAAATGTGTGATCATTCTGGTGTGTGTGTGTGTGTGTGTGTGTGTGTGTGTGTGTGTGTGTGTGTGTGTGTGTGTGTGTGTGTGTGTGTGTGTGTGTGTGTGAGAACATGTTGGAGCAGTCACATACAAACACAATACCACATGTGGTCAGAGGTCTTTGTCCTGGAGGAGAAACGTTGGGTGGGTGGTGGCGCCTTAGCAGCCTGTCGCTAACTTAGCACAGCAGTGGCATGTTGCTGAGGATGACTCAGCATAACCAATGTTTAACACTCATATATAGTCTAGTTGCCACCATGGTGAACCCCGGAAATGTTGAGTACCCCAAGATTCTCACAATTAGCATAAATTGTGGGCAATAGTTGAAAATGGCTTGGTCGATTTCAACAATTGTGGAGTGGTTTTGGGGATCATTGAGGATGCTGAATCCATTTCTGACGTTTTAAGGATCAGAAATTTCCATATTATTACCAGAAAGTAGCAATATTTGTCCTCTCGGTGGACTGATTTTTACTACCATGAGCAGTGTTGCAACCATTGGATATAGAGAGCACAAGATGGAAATTATTGTGCTATTATGACAACTTTTCTTCCAAAAAATAGGCAATCTGTCCAATTAAAATGATCCAGAATCCACTAAAATCTCAAAATAGACGCAACATTTATAAAAAGTAGTCCAAAAATATGGCAATTTTCTGGTTAAAACTGCCACTACGGATCCTGAAAATATCAGAAACTGACATAATCTTAAATAACCCCCCAAACTACTTGTCCAAATCGGCCAAGCCACATCCAAACTATTGTCCACATACTGTAGGCTATAGTGGTAATTAATGCTAATTAACGCAACTTGTGCTAATAGTGCATATTGCCCAACATATGCAAGATATAATCCGGCAGTTTCTATGAGCTGGGGACCCGTACTATACATTTCTAACATAAAACGTTGGTACTCAACATTTCTGGGTTCACAACAAGACTCTGAGCCGTCAACTAGACTTACAGCATAATGCATATTAGGATAGAAACGCTACGTGTTATTGTGTTCGATGTTAATCTTGCTTTCAGTGTTTTTATGTTTTGCAGAAAATAAAACCACTTGTTATTTGAATTAATTTGGAGACATTGGCTCTGACCTCCAGGAGGAAACGAGGGCTCTCCGGCATGAAGATGACTCCGATGAGAGCAGCCAACGCAGGGAAGAGACACACGAAGATGAATAATCTCCAACTGTGGATCTGGATCTCTGTCCCGATGGCGAATCCCCAACCTGGGAAACAATCAGGAGAAGAGTCTGTTAGAGAGGCCCTATTCTGCTTCTTGGGGTTTTCCCTTTCCTGTAGTTTGTTCGTTTTTGTGCATGTTAGAAGTAATGGGCTTTGAAATGTACTTCAGTAAAAAGTACCCATAACTAGCAGCTGTCTTAAAGAGTACCTGACCTCCCTTTATATTAATAGAACAATAATGTCATTGTTAGCTAATGAATGTTTCCATGCTGAACAACGGCAACATGACAACGTTTCCATTGGTCCCTCTTCTTTAGAGAAGACCAGGAAATGATGGATACACGGATCGTGTTCAAATCAATAGGCACGCAATGACTCTAAAGAATAATGATCACGCACCAAACACACATTCAGACTAAAGGAACCAGCTGTTTGGGAAATGAGAGAAGTAGAAAGTACAAGTATTTGAGTTCAACATGTAAGAAGTAGAAAGTACAGGTATTTGAGTTCAACATGTAAGAAGTAGAAAGTACAGGTATTTGAGTTCAACATGTAAGAAGTAGAAAGTACAAGTATTTGTGTTCAACATGTGAGAAGTAGAAAGTACAAGTATTTGAGTTCAACATGTGAGAAGTAGAAAGTACAGGTATTTGAGTTCAACATGTGAGAAGTAGAAAGTACAGGTATTTGAGTTCAACATGTGAGAAGTAGAAAGTACAAGTATTTGAGTTCAACATGTGAGAAGTAGAAAGTACAGGTATTTGAGTTCAACATGTAAGAAGTAGAAAGTACAGGTATTTGAGTTCAACATGTGAGAAGTAGAAAGTACAGGTATTTGTGTTCAACATGTGAGAAGTAGAAAGTACAGGTATTTGTGTTCAACATGTGAGAAGTAGAAAGTACAAGTATTTGAGTTCAACATGTAAGAAGTAGAAAGTACAAGTATTTGAGTTCAACATGTAAGAAGTAGAAAGTACAGGTATTTGAGTTCAACATGTGAGAAGTAGAAAGTACAGGTATTTGTGTTCAACATGTAAGAAGTAGAAAGTACAGGTATTTGTGTTCAACATGTAAGAAGTAGAAAGTACAAGTATTTGAGTTCAACATGTAAGAAGTAGAAAGTACAGGTATTTGAGTTCAACATGTAAGAAGTAGAAAGTACAGGTATTTGAGTTCAACATGTGAGAAGTAGAAAGTACAGGTATTTGAGTTCAACATGTGAGAAGTAGAAAGTACAGGTATTTGAGTTCAACATGTGAGAAGTAGAAAGTACAGGTATTTGTGTTCAACATGTAAGAAGTAGAAAGTACAGGTATTTGAGTTCAACATGTAAGAAGTAGAAAGTACAGGTATTTGGGTTCAACATGTGAGAAGTAGAAAGTACAGGTATTTGTGTTCAACATGTAAGAAGTAGAAAGTTCAGGTATTTGGGTTCAACATGTAAGAAGTAGAAAGTACAGGTATTTGAGTTCAACATGTAAGAAGTAGAAAGTTCAGGTATTTGGGTTCAACATGTAAGAAGTAGAAAGTACAGGTATTTGAGTTCAACATGTAAGAAGTAGAAAGTACAGGTATTTGGGTTCAACATGTGAGAAGTAGAAAGTACAGGTATTTGTGTTCAACATGTAAGAAGTAGAAAGTTCAGGTATTTGGGTTCAACATGTAAGAAGTAGAAAGTACAGGTATTTGAGTTCAACATGTAAGAAGTAGAAAGTACAGGTATTTGTGTTCAACATGTAAGAAGTAGAAAGTTCAGGTATTTGGGTTCAACATGTGAGAAGTAGAAAGTACAGGTATTTGTGTTCAACATGTAAGAAGTAGAAAGTTCAGGTATTTGGGTTCAACATGTAAGAAGTAGAAAGTACAGGTATTTGTGTTCAACATGTAAGAAGTAGAAAGTTCAGGTATTTGTGTTCAACATGTAAGAAGTAGAAAGTACAGGTATTTGAGTTCAACATGTACGAAGTAGAAAGTACAGGTATTTGTGTTCAACATGTAAGAAGTAGAAAGTACAGGTATTTGTGTTCAACATGTAAGAAGTAGAAAGTTCAGGTATTTGTGTTCAACATGTAAGAAGTAGAAAGTACAGGTATTTGAGTTCAAAATGTACGAAGTAGAAAGTGCAGGTAGTTGTGTTCAACATGTAAGAAGTAGAAAGTTCAGGTATTTGTGTTCAACATGTAAGAAGTAGAAAGTACAGGTATTTGTGTTCAACATGTAAGAAGTAGAAAGTACAGGTATTTGTGTTCAACATGTAAGAAGTAGAAAGTACAAGTATTTGAGTTCAACATGTAAGAAGTAGAAAGTACAGGTATTTGAGTTCAACATGTGAGAAGTAGAAAGTACAGGTATTTGAGTTCAACATGTGAGAAGTAGAAAGTACAGGTATTTGTGTTCAACATGTAAGAAGTAGAAAGTACAGGTATTTGAGTTCAACATGTAAGAAGTAGAAAGTACAGGTATTTGGGTTCAACATGTGAGAAGTAGAAAGTACAGGTATTTGTGTTCAACATGTAAGAAGTAGAAAGTTCAGGTATTTGGGTTCAACATGTAAGAAGTAGAAAGTACAGGTATTTGAGTTCAACATGTAAGAAGTAGAAAGTTCAGGTATTTGGGTTCAACATGTAAGAAGTAGAAAGTACAGGTATTTGTGTTCAAAGTGTAAGAAGTAGAAAGTACAGGTATTTGTGTTCAACATGTAAGAAGTAGAAAGTTCAGGTATTTGGGTTCAACATGTAAGAAGTAGAAAGTACAGGTATTTGAGTTCAACATGTAAGAAGTAGAAAGTACAGGTATTTGTGTTCAACATGTAAGAAGTAGAAAGTTCAGGTATTTGGGTTCAACATGTGAGAAGTAGAAAGTACAGGTATTTGTGTTCAACATGTAAGAAGTAGAAAGTACAGGTATTTGAGTTCAACATGTAAGAAGTAGAAAGTACAGGTATTTGTGTTCAACATGTAAGAAGTAGAAAGTTCAGGTATTTGGGTTCAACATGTGAGAAGTAGAAAGTACAGGTATTTGTGTTCAACATGTAAGAAGTAGAAAGTTCAGGTATTTGGGTTCAACATGTAAGAAGTAGAAAGTACAGGTATTTGTGTTCAACATGTAAGAAGTAGAAAGTTCAGGTATTTGTGTTCAACATGTAAGAAGTAGAAAGTACAGGTATTTGAGTTCAACATGTACGAAGTAGAAAGTACAGGTATTTGTGTTCAACATGTAAGAAGTAGAAAGTACAGGTATTTGTGTTCAACATGTAAGAAGTAGAAAGTACAGGTATTTGTGTTCAACATGTAAGAAGTAGAAAGTTCAGGTATTTGTGTTCAACATGTAAGAAGTAGAAAGTACAGGTATTTGAGTTCAAAATGTACGAAGTAGAAAGTGCAGGTAGTTGTGTTCAACATGTAAGAAGTAGAAAGTACAGGTATTTGGGTTCAACATGTAAGAAGTAGAAAGTACAGGTATTTGAGTTCAAAATGTACGAAGTAGAAAGTGCAGGTAGTTGTGTTCAACATGTAAGAAGTAGAAAGTACAGGTAGTTGTGTTCAACATGTAAGAAGTAGAAAGTACAGGTATTTGGGTTCAACATGTAAGAAGTAGAAAGTACAGGTATTTGAGTTCAAAATGTACGAAGTAGAAAGTACAGGTATTTGAGTTCAAAATGTACGAAGTAGAAAGTACAGGTATTTGAGTTCAAAATGTAAGAAGTAGAAAGTACAGGTATTTGGGTTCAACATGTAAGAAGTAGAAAGTACAGGTATTTGAGTTCAAAATGTAAGAAGTAGAAAGTACAGGTATTTGAGTTCAAAATGTACGAAGTAGAAAGTGCAGGTAGTTGTGTTCAACATGTAAGAAGTAGAAAGTACAGGTATTTGGGTTCAACATGTAAGAAGTAGAAAGTACAGGTATTTGAGTTCAAAATGTACGAAGTAGAAAATACAGGTATTTGAGTTCAAAATGTACGAAGTAGAAAGTACAGGTATTTGGGTTCAACATGTAAGAAGTAGAAAGTACAGGTATTTGAGTTCAAAATGTACGAAGTAGAAAGTACAGGTATTTGTGTTCAACATGTAAGAAGTAGAAAGTACAGGTATTTGAGTTCAACATGTAAGAAGTAGAAAGTACAGGTATTTGTGTTCAACATGTAAGAAGTAGAAAGTACAGGTATTTGGGTTCAAAGTGTACGAAGTAGAAAGTGCAGGTATTTGTGTTCAACATGTAAGAAGTAGAAAGTGCAGGTATTTGTGTTCAAAGTGTAAGAAGTAGAAAGTACAGGTATTTGAGTTCAACATGTAAGAAGTAGAAAGTACAGGTATTTGGGTTCAAAGTGTAAGAAGTAGAAAGTACAGGTATTTGTGTTCAACATGTAAGAAGTAGAAAGTACAGGTATTTGGGTTCAAAGTGTAAGAAGTAGAAAGTACAGGTATTTGTGTTCAAAGTGTAAGAAGTAGAAAGTACAGGTATTTGAGTTCAACATGTAAGAAGTAGAAAGTACAGGTATTTGTGTTCAACATGTAAGAAGTAGAAAGTACAGGTATTTGAGTTCAACATGTAAGAAGTAGAAAGTACAGGTATTTGGGTTCAAAGTGTAAGAAGTAGAAAGTACAGGTATTTGAGTTCAACATGTAAGAAGTAGAAAGTACAGGTATTTGAGTTCAACATGTAAGAAGTAGAAAGTACAGGTATTTGAGTTCAACATGTAAGAAGTAGAAAGTACAGGTATTTGAGTTCAACATGTAAGAAGTAGAAAGTACAGGTATTTGAGTTCAACATGTAAGAAGTAGAAAGTACAGGTATTTGTGTTCAACATGTAAGAAGTAGAAAGTACAGGTATTTGAGTTCAACATGTAAGAAGTAGAAAGTACAGGTATTTGTGTTCAACATGTAAGAAGTAGAAAGTACAGGTATTTGGGTTCAACATGTAAGAAGTAGAAAGTTCAGGTATTTGAGTTCAAAATGTACGAAGTAGAAAGTGCAGGTATTTGTGTTCAACATGTAAGAAGTAGAAAGTACAGGTATTTGTGTTCAACATGTAAGAAGTAGAAAGTACAGGTATTTGAGTTCAACATGTAAGAAGTAGAAAGTACAGGTATTTGAGTTCAACATGTAAGAAGTAGAAAGTACAGGTATTTGTGTTCAACATGTAAGAAGTAGAAAGTACAGGTATTTGTGTTCAACATGTAAGAAGTAGAAAGTACAGGTATTTGTGTTCAACATGTAAGAAGTAGAAAGTACAGGTATTTGTGTTCAACATGTAAGAAGTAGAAAGTACAGGTATTTGGGTTCAACATGTAAGAAGTAGAAAGTACAGGTATTTGAGTTCAACATGTAAGAAGTAGAAAGTACAGGTATTTGTGTTCAACATGTAAGAAGTAGAAAGTACAGGTATTTGGGTTCAACATGTAAGAAGTAGAAAGTACAGGTATTTGAGTTCAACATGTAAGAAGTAGAAAGTACAGGTATTTGGGTTCAAAGTGTAAGAAGTAGAAAGTACAGGTATTTGTGTTCAACATGTAAGAAGTAGAAAGTACAGGTATTTGAGTTCAACATGTAAGAAGTAGAAAGTACAGGTATTTGGGTTCAACATGTACGAAGTAGAAAGTACAGGTATTTGGGTTCAACATGTAAGAAGTAGAAAGTACAGGTATTTGGGTTCAACATGTAGGAAGTAGAAAGTTAAAAGTCGTCAGAAGAATAAGTAGTGGAGTAAAGTACTGATACCAGAAAAATGTACAAAGTATTTGTACTCCACTACTTCCCACCTCTGTTTAATAGTGTGTGTGTGTGTGTGGTGTGCGTGTGCGTGTGTGTGTGTGTGTGTGTGTGTGTATGTGTGTGTGCGTGTGTGTGTGTGTGTGTGTGTGTATGTGTGTGTGTGTGTGTGTGTGTGTGTGTGTGTGTGTGTGCGTGTGTGTGTGTGTGTGTGTGTGTATGTGTATGTGTGTGTGTGTTACCGTAGTGTGGGATGATTCCCCAGGCGGTGAAAGAGGCGTAAAGCCCCCCCAACATCCAGAACATGCAGAGCCAGCTCAGATGTTCTCCACGTTTATCCATCTGCAGGAACTCAGTGAAGTAGGTGTAAACGATCGGGATGGAGCCGCCAATTCTGGGGAGGACACGCAAATATAAATCTCTAAAACAACACTTGATCGTTGGAGGATTTAGTGGATCATTTCCTGTGGTGTCGGGCATTTGAATAAAGGTGCATAAAGAAGGAACTATGTCAAACATTATTTGTAGTCACTGTTGGGTTCATAAACATATTTGGGTCATTTTAGGATGATATCTTATCGTTTGTTTTAGTTAATAATAATAATAATAATACATTGCATTTCAAAGCGCTTTTCCAGGTGCTCAAAGACGCTTTACAGTGGTGATAAAACATGATAAAATAGAATTTAAAAGTTATTAAAACAATATAAAATAACACTTAAAAGTTATTAAAACAGCAATACAGCATAATTCACAGATTAAAAGCCAGTCTGAAGAGGTGTGTTTTGGTCAGTGTTTTGAAAGTGGGGGGGTCAGTGCAGTCTCTGATGTGTTGTGGGAGGGAGTTCCAGAGGGTGGGGGCAGCGATGGAGAAGGCTCTATCCCCCCAGGTTCGGAGCTTGGTTTTCTTGGGGATAGAGAGGAGGTTCGCTTCTGATGAGCGAAGGCTGGGGAAGGGGTGTAGTGGTGGATCAGGTCGGAGAGGTAGGGGGGAGCCTGGTTATTGAGAGCTTTGTGTGTTAGCAGAAGGATTTTGAAGTGTATTCGTTGACGAACAGGGAGCCAGTGCAGGTTTTGAAGGACGGGGGTGATGTGGTCTCTGGAGCGGGTGTGGGTGAGGAGGCGGGCAGCGCAGTTCTGGATGTATTGTAGTTTATTTAGTTGTAGCTTAGACCCTACATTGCATTCCTTTGTATGGCCGATGCACGTTTGTTACTTCTGATTGAATGTGCATTGTGTGCTTTGTTATTGTTCAAATACATCATTTCTCAACATGTATTGGACCTGAACTCCTGACCCAGCTTTCTTTTTTACAGATAGTGCGTTTAAAAAATGATAGGGACACATTCTGCTGTTTGCAAAGCTCACCAGTGTAAAGGACGCCTGTGGGAAACACGACTGCATGTATTAATGCTGTCATTGTTCTGTTGACTTCACCTGGAAGTTTTACCTTCTGTTCTAAAACAGCACTTCTCACTACTCCTCATATCTAGCTATACAGAAAATACGGCTGCTATCCAAGAGGGAAATCAAATGATGTTTAACTTCAAAACAATCATAGTGCTCCCTGTGTTTAGTGAAGAAACACGGGGACAGTTAATCAAGGGCCTCAGACGACTTGTTATTCTTTGGCTCAGCAAAAACATAAATGTTGCATGTCTAGGTACACTCAGGCTGTTATCATTATCAAAGTGTGACAGCGGCATCAATCTGTGCACAGCGACGGTTTCACCCCGAGGTGTTCGAGACAGCAGGAAGTCCGCAATAAAAAGCTCACATGAAAAACAAGAGCATTGTTCACTAATTGGTGCGATAATGAACAGAGTAAACACACACACATCTCCTGTTGTGAGGCATATGTAAATGTGATTTATATTTGAAGGAAAACTGATTGATTCACCGTCATTATTCAGTGCACTGTTATTTTGTATTGTTGTGCTTTTATCTTAATGTGTGTATACATGTGTCTGTTGATTGTGTATATATAGGATATACATATCTTACACATATTTTTATATATATTTGTGTTTTTGTATTCAGGATTGTGGGGAACGGTATTTCGATCTCTCTGTCTGCACACACAAACTGAAAGATTGACAATAAAGTTGACTTTCATTACTCATCAAACTTTAAATGTCAGGCGTCTTATTCCGGAACAAATATCATTAAAAATGCGAATACGGGGATTTGCTTTTCCCGTCAAACTAAAGGATCAATTATGGAAAATGACAGTTATTATAAAATCAACTCTGGTGGTAAAGGTAGATGTGCTTTTCCCGTCAAAATGTGACAAACTAAAAGGATACATTATGGAAAAGGTCAGTTGTTATAACAAAAACTCAACACAACACAATTAGCATAGGTTGATGGCTCGACCGATTTGGACCATTTTGAAGATGTTTTGGGGGTAAGTGAATCCATTTTCTGACATTTTCAGGATCCTAACGGCCCCTACACACGGCGGCGTGCGTTGTCGCTTGCCGGCGGGAGGGCTGAAACTCAACCAACAACCAGTCACAGGAATCTCCCGCCCCAGACACACAACCACGCGGTTTGATTGGCTAGAGCTTGTACTGGCATATTACATGTTACTTGTTAGACGCTTTTTATCCAAAGCGACTTACATACTCAATACTGTGGGCAATCCCCACAGGAGCAATTAGGGGTGAAGTGTCCCAGAGACACAACGACATGCTGACTGCAGTGGGGTTTGAACCTGTGCTCCCCGGATCCGAACACCAACGCACTAGGCCACTACGCCACACGCCTCCCACTCCCATATGATTCGATTGGCTGACGCTTCCGTCGAGGCGTCAAAAGTAGAACATTGCTCTACTTTTGCAGCGAGCACCGCGAGAGAAGCTACGCTTTGCTCCCACAATGCAGTTCGGCGAATCGCGACGTCATCCCATTCAAAGTGAATGGGCAGAAGCGTTGAAGCGGCACGCCGCCGTGTGTAGGGGCCGTAAGTGGCAGTTTTAACCAGAAAATAAGATAAGATAGAGCTTTATTGTCTCCCTTAGGAGAAATGTGTCTTGGGCATCGAGATAATACATAAAACATTCAGGTCAATCAGTCATAGATACAGAACAGAGATCACATATCACATGGCAAAGAAACAAACAAGAAACATACAGGTACAGAACTTTCCCTATTGCACACACATGGTCCTATTTGTGCTCCCGGTGGACTGATTTTTATATTCATGTAAAATGTGCCCTCTCACCCGAAGCCGGAGCAGATCCTGAAGAAGAGGAAGAAGCCGTAGCCCTGCGCGAAGCAGGAGAGGAAGGAGAAGACCAGGTCGATGCTCAGGACGTAGATCAGACACTTCCTCCTGCCCATCTTATCACTCAGACCCCCCCACACCAAAGCCCCCACCATCATCGCCACGTACACCAGCAGACCTGCAAGAAAACACACAAACCTCATTATAGGAGGAATTTGACATTTTACACTCAAAGGACAAGTTACATTTTTACTCCAATCGGAAAAAATAGGCCATTGTTGGTCGAAGCACTGCACGTACTTCACTTAAGTTAAAGTAAAGATACTATGGACTTAAAGGGGCTCTATTATGTTGATGTTCAGGTGTATATCAGTATGTAGTGTCTCTACTTTAAAGAGTCCTCTCCTGCTGATGTTCAGGTGTATATCAGTATGTAGTGTCTCTACTTTAAAGAGTCCCTCTCCTGCTGATGTTCAGGTGTATATCAGTATGTAGTGTCTCTACTTTAAAGAGTCCTCTCCTGCTGATGTTCAGGTGTATATCAGTATGTAGTGTCTCTACTTTAAAGAGTCCTCTCCTGCTGATGTTCATGGTGTATATCAGTATGTAGTGTCTCTACTTTAAAGAGTCCTCTCCTGCTGATGTTCAGGTGTATATCAGTATGTAGTGTCTCTACTTTAAAGAGTCCTCTCCTGCTGATGTTCAGGTGTATATCAGTATGTAGTGTCTCTACTTTAAAGAGTCCTCTCCTGCTGATGTTCAGGTGTATATCAGTATGTAGTGTCTCTACTTTAAAGAGTCCTCTCCTGCTGATGTTCAGGTGTATATCAGTATGTAGTGTCTCTACTTTAAAGAGTCCTCTCCTGCTGATGTTCAGGTGTATATCAGTATGTAGTGTCTCTACTTTAAAGAGTCCTCTCCTGCTGATGTTCAGGTGTATATCAGTATGTAGTGTCTCTACTTTAAAGAGTCCTCTCCTGCTGATGTTCAGGTGTATATCAGTATGTAGTGTCTCTACTTTAAAGAGTCCTCTCCTGCTGATGTTCAGGTGTATATCAGTATGTAGTGTCTCTACTTTAAAGAGTCCTCCTCCTGCTGATGTTCAGGTGTATATCAGTATGTAGTGTCTCTACTTTAAAGAGTCCTCTCCTGCTGATGTTCAGGTGTATATCAGTATGTAGTGTCTCTACTTTAAAGAGTCCTCTCCTACTGATGTTCAGGTGTATATCAGTATGTAGTGTCTCTACTTTAAAGAGTCCTCTCCTGCTGATGTTCAGGTGTATATCAGTATGTAGTGTCTCTACTTTAAAGAGTCCTCTCCTGCTGATGTTCAGGTGTATATCAGTATGTAGTGTCTCTACTTTAAAGAGTCCTCTCCTGCTGATGTTCAGGTGTATATCAGTATGTAGTGTCTCTACTTTAAAGAGTCCTCTCCTGCTGATGTTCAGGTGTATATCAGTATGTAGTGTCTCTACTTTAAAGAGTCCTCTCCTGCTGATGTTCAGGTGTATATCAGTATGTAGTGTCTCTACTTTAAAGAGTTCTCTCCTGCTGATGTTCAGGTGTATATCAGTATGTAGTGTCTCTACTTTAAAGAGTCCTCTCCTGCTGATGTTCAGGTGTATATCAGTATGTAGTGTCTCTACTTTAAAGAGTCATCTCCTGCTGATGTTCAGGTGTATATCAGTATGTAGTGTCTCTACTTTAAAGAGTCCTCGCCTGCTGATGTTCAGGTGTATATCAGTATATAGTGTCTCTTCTTTAAAGAGTCCTCTCCTGCTGATGTTCAGGTGTATATCAGTATGTAGTGTCTCTACTTTAAAGAGTCCTCTCCTGCTGATGTTCAGGTGTATATCAGTATGTAGTGTCTCTACTTTAAAGAGTCCTCTCCTGCTGATGTCCAGGTGTATATCAGTATGTAGTGTCTCTACTTTAAAGAGTCCTCTCCTGCTGATGTCCAGGTGTATATCAGTATGTAGTGTCTCTACTTTAAAGAGTCCTCGCCTGCTGATGTTCAGGTGTATATCAGTATATAGTGTCTCTTCTTTAAAGAGTCCTCTCCTGCTGATGTTCAGGTGTATATCAGTATGTAGTGTCTCTACTTTAAAGAGTCCTCTCCTGCTGATGTTCAGGTGTATATCAGTATGTAGTGTCTCTACTTTAAAGAGTCCTCTCCTGCTGATGTCCAGGTGTATATCAGTATGTAGTGTTTCTACTTTAAAGAGTCCTCTCCTGCTGATGTTCAGGTGTATATCAGTATGTAGTGTCTCTACTTTAAAGAGTCCTCTCCTGCTGATGTTCAGGTGTATATCAGTATGTAGTGTCTCTACTTTAAAGAGTCCTCTCCTGCTGATGTTCAGGTGTATATCAGTATGTAGTGTCTCTACTTTAAAGAGTCCTCTCCTGCTGATGTCCAGGTGTATATCAGTATGTAGTGTCTCTACTTTAAAGAGTCCTCTCCTGCTGATGTCCAGGTGTATATCAGTATGTAGTGTCTCTACTTTAAAGAGTCCTCTCCTGCTGATGTTCAGGTGTATATCAGTATGTAGTGTCTCTACTTTAAAGAGTCCTCTCCTGCTGATGTTCAGGTGTATATCAGTATGTAGTGTCTCTACTTTAAAGAGTCCTCTCCTGCTGATGTCCAGGTGTATATCAGTATGTAGTGTTTCTACTTTAAAGAGTCCTCTCCTGCTGATGTTCAGGTGTATATCAGTATGTAGTGTCTCTACTTTAAAGAGTCCTCTCCTGCTGATGTTCAGGTGTATATCAGTATGTAGTGTCTCTACTTTAAAGAGTCCTCTCCTGCTGATGTTCAGGTGTATATCAGTATGTAGTGTCTCTACTTTAAAGAGTCCTCTCCTGCTGATGTTCAGGTGTATATCAGTATGTAGTGTCTCTACTTTAAAGAGTCCTCTCCTGCTGATGTCCAGGTGTATATCAGTATGTAGTGTTTCTACTTTAAAGAGTCCTCTCCTGCTGATGTTCAGGTGTATATCAGTATGTAGTGTCTCTACTTTAAAGAGTCCTCTCCTGCTGATGTCCAGGTGTATATTAGTATGTAGTGTCTCTACTTTAAAGAGTCCTCTCCTGCTGATGTTCAGGTGTATATCAGTATGTAGTGTCTCTACTTTAAAGAGTCCTCTCCTGCTGATGTTCAGGTGTATATCAGTATGTAGTGTCTCTACTTTAAAGAGTCCTCTCCTGCTGATGTTCAGGTGTATATCAGTATGTAGTGTCTCTACTTTAAAGAGTCCTCTCCTGCTGATGTTCAGGTGTATATCAGTATGTAGTGTCTCTACTTTAAAGAGTCCTCTCCTGCTGATGTTCAGGTGTATATCAGTATGTAGTGTCTCTACTTTAAAGAGTCCTCTCCTGCTGATGTTCAGGTGTATATCAGTATGTAGTCTCTCTACTTTAAAGAGTAAAAAAGAGTCCTGATTTCCACAAGGGGGCTCTCTTTACCCTTGTATGAGTTCTGAGGTTTAGAGAAACAATAATAAAACCCTCTCAGCTTGAAGTCACTGTGATGCTCTGATAATCTGAATATTCATAATGATGTACGGAGAACAATAAATCCACGTTTGCCTGATAATAGCATTCCCAGAAAAGCTGAGTCATAAAGGTCATTGAATGCATCGTTTCCACAATATTTTACCTTTCAAATCTGACATTTTATTTTTGTTTATTGCAAAATGGATTTCTTCTCGCCATTTTATCTGCAGATTTCCGCTCTGAGTGACAGCGAGGTGGAGCCTTTTCCCAGCATGCACCAGGCAGAAAGTCCACTTTGGCATTTCATTTAGCAGTGAAGCAACAGCTTTTTACCAGCCTCCAACTGCGCTGCCCATTACTGCTGCAAGGAGATAACAATGATTATATTCCTGCTTTTCTTAACGACTCTCCGGGAGAGAGAGGCGTCAGGATTTAAATCCTACAACCTGGGCACTTCTCTTCTCCGTGTAGTTTTAAATCTTTACCTGCTGCCTGCTCCGTGTTTTTACTACACAGCCCTAATTACAGCAGGAATAAGCTGCTTAACGGCACGAGGATCCATAGTGTTCACCTTGTGGATTACTCGACTATCCAAACACGCCAAGCCGCAAAAAAACGAACAAGACAACGATAAGGACACCTGGAAATAAAGCTTCAAGGCTAATATGTCACCTCTTATCTTGGCCAAGTTGTTGCTTAAGGCCATGTGCATGCTTTTAAGGTGCACACATGGACAGTTTGACAGGATGGCCTTGTGATTGGACAGCCTGTCCTTCAGGTGGAGGATCAAACTCTGCAGAAACAAGCCGCCATGCACCTGCTAGTGTCCTTGAGAACAGGGAAGACAACGAATCCCTGCAGGGGAAATGGGGATTTTGTCATTTCCTGCATTATTAGAAGTGGAAGCGGACATCTGGATAAAGAGATAATGACTCGGGAGAATAAATAACGTCAGGCACTGGAGTAGCATGCCTTCCAATATCGACCGTGTGCATTATCAAAGAAAATGAGGCTTTTCTAGATGACTTTTTAGAGTGTTATGACCACTGAGCGATGGACACCCTGCACAGGTTGAACCAAACAAGCTTGATTACACTTCATTGAAACTCTGGTGCATCCAATCGTTCTGCTTTTCTTTGGTTGACTATTGAATGATTTTGTCACGATCTGTCTTTATTGTATTTTGTCTTGTCTTGTTTCATGTTTTATGTTGAAAGGTCTTCACCTCCTGTCTTGCCTGTTTCTGTCTGCGTTGTGTCTTGTTTAAATCTGTCTGTGGTTCCCTGTCGTTAGTTTCCCTGGTGTGTCTAATTTACCCGATTGTGTTCACCTGGTGTCCCTGTGTTTTCTCCTCCCTCCTCACCTGTGTCTTGTTTGTGTGATTAGTCTTGTGTGTATTTAAGTTCTGGTTTTTCTGTCTGTCTTTGTCGGTTCGTCTTTTGTCATGACTAGTTCGTCGGTGAGTGTTCTGTTCTGTCTGTGTTATCACCTAGCCTTGAAATAAAGGAACTTTCACTTTAATCTGCATTTGGGTCCTACCTGCTTCACACACCGTGACAGATTTAGTAGCAATTCAATGAGTTTCAAGTGTTGGTCTGCAGCCTGAACCATCTGTTCATAAATTCAAAATTAAGAAACCCTATTTTGAATGTTGTCACAAATGAAATGAACGTTATCAGTGGGTAA